CCCCAACACCCCCATATCTTCTCTTACTGCACCTCATGTTATGACCATTCCCCGTACCCATTCACTCACCATCCCCTTCTACTTCACGAATTGTTCGTCCACATTCCACTCCTTCTGCAGATACCCCCCATCGTTGCTGGAGAACCCACCCCCACGTTGTCACGCAGGTCCACCCCTCGAAAGGACACGGATGCGTGATACGGCGATCGGCTGCATGACGAATGGTCTGTCCTAGAGACCTCCGATGGCAATTTGCCTGGACGATCTCGACTCCCTCCCACCATCTCAGCGACTTCCCGACAATCCACCCCCTTTCAGGAGAGCTGACGCCATCGGCCTCTCGTCCCATCGATTTTGTGTTCTCCCTGTCGGTCGCCAGGGATGAGTTCCAATACCGCGTTCGCCGACGCCTTCAGCCCCGGGACGAGTACAAATACCAGCCAGAGATCCACCTCGACCGTCCGCTCTCGCCCTCGACGCCTGGTATCGTTCACTGAGGATGACGAGGATACCACCGGCCGACCGCTGCAGTCCTCTGGGCTCTTCTCCATGTATTCTCCGGAGCTGTCTGCGCTGCGATCGCGCGGCAATACGCCCTCTCCCCACCCGTCGCGGGGGGTCTCCCCCCTGCCCATGAGACATCCTTCGCGGGCGACCACAACTAACGAGTCTCCCAATCGGGGCGCCGCTGCAGCCCGTAATAGTAATTCTCTAGGTGGGTTACGCCGTGATGACCACGCCCGTCTCAATCTCGCTGAGTCGTCGCGGGCCGCCGTAGACTTCTTGGATGCATCCTGGTCGTCGCTCCAGAGTCTGGCGTCTTCTGTTCTAGGCAGCGACATCGCCCGTCCCTCGACCAATGGTACTACTCGCACGCATACCCGGAAGCCCTCGCGCCCCGACCCATACATGCGGACCGCGTTGTCCCGAACATCAACACCCACGTCCTGGGGACCGTCGGCGCCGTCAACGCCGGAGATCGGGGCGGGAACCCAGGAGGAACGCCAGGCGCTGGTGCAGGCGAAGAAACGGGAGGCATTGCTGTTGGCGGATACGGGTCCGGAATGGGCTCGCGGTCCCCGACACAAGCGACGGGATTCCGGCGATCAGTCGTGTCGAGCGAACATCGATGCGGAACAGGACGAGGAGGCGCTTGCCTACATTCACCATGTTCAGCCAACAGACAGTATCACTGGTGTCACGATACGATATGGGTGCCAACCAGCGGTGTTCCGCAGGGCCAATGGGTTTTGGCCGAGTGATAGTATCCAGGGCCGAAAGACGGTTCTTTTACCGGTCGATTCGTGTTCCGTGAAGGGACGCCCCATTTCGCCGACAGACCATGATCTTTTAGACACCGATCGTCCGAAACGCAATTCTCTTGAAGACCCGAACGGGAGCTCAATTGCTCCCGCTCCTGTGGAACCCGGACCGTCGTCGCCGGACACTACGCCCACGACGGATGCCGAAGCAGACCGCGTTTGGAAGCACGAGTCATATGTGAGGATTGACGGGTTTCCTACGCCAGTGGAGATTGGCCGCGTGCCCCGACGGGCGCTAGGCTTCTTCCCTCGCTCACGACGGAAGTCGATGTCGTATACAGATTCCGGACCGCCCTCCCTCTTGGAACGAGAAAGGTCAGGAACGGACTTTGCGACCTCTTCTCCGTCCGAGCCACGATCTTCGCAGTCCAGCAATACACCCGGAAGTCGCCCCCATGCCGATTCATCCGGATCTCGCGCTTCGTCGAACACCAGGCCGCGACACCAGCGTCAACGCAGTAATATCCACCTTTCTGGGCCCGGCGTCGGCACGCTCGATCGCGATACACAGATTCCCGGACCGGCTCTCGACGGTCTGAGCAAGTTTTTCGCGCAACACCTCCCAAACCTTGCCCCTACGCCTTCACCCCCGAGTTTCCCCAATACCTCCGAATACACCTCCACAGCGAGCTCGAACACCACCAGCCTCGATAGCCTCGGTGGCGCCGTCGAGGGCTGGGTGCGGAAAATGACGACACGGGCCAAGTCCAGTCTCACCGAGCTGCAGAACGGGCCGCCCAACCGTCAGCCCAACGGTCTCGGTCAGGGGACCGGACGGCGAGGCATGGGCGATCTTATTGAGCTCAACGATGGGCTGGAGTCGCGGAACTCGTCCGGTCTTCTGGCCGAACCCCGATGGGAGCCAGACTTTCAACCCGACGGGGCATCTGTGAGAGGACGCTTCCCCAGTCCTTCCTCCGGGACGAGCAGGACTCGTTATCGGTCGAAGGACGACTGACTTGGAATCATAGCAGACGCTACCGCATTGACTTCTGTTCTTTCTACTTATTTTTGGCTATTGCGCAGCACGGGGATTCCTTGCGATATAAGATACCTATCACCTTTCTTGTCCGCTTGAAGCATAGCGTGGCGCAACAGGACACGGTTGGCTTCGAGCTACTGTCGTCCCTATTATCTGTTCTTCTGTTCGTTTGATTCCTTCCGATTTGCGGAGTAGATGTTAGACGCGGGCATCGAGAATAGATTAATACACTGTTCATATTGACTCTGCGCTAGATCTGTACTCCGTGCAAGTGACTCGCGGAGAAACTCCAGACGATCTCCTGCACTAGTGAGCCCCGGATCAACTTCCACCTATGACCATCCTCAGCCTTCTACAGTCGTAGGTAGATTCTCCGAATCCCCTCACAGCCATCTCCAGACGCAAACCCCAGACGCAAACATCACCGGTATATCTTCACCCACACCCCATGGTACGTCCCAGGCCCAATCCAACGCAGCCATGGTCCCCCAGACACTAACCTACCTGCTCTCCGCAGCAATTGCAGCCACCGCGCTCCCAAACGCCCACAATGCCACCGCCCATCCCACAGTAACTCTGCACCCGACAAGCCCCCACACCCCCAAGACCGTCTTCGTCGGCCGCGCCCTCCCAGAGTTCAACCAGGACCTCTTCCTCGGCATCAAGTACGCCGACAAGCCCGCGCGCTTCACCCCGTCCGCGGTGAAATCCGTCTACGCCGCCAACGACTCCAATGCCGGGCCGTATACCGGCCGCGTGCCGGGCGTCGGCCACTCCGCCGTGCTGTACGACGCCACGGCGTACGGGAACGAGTGCCCGGGGTACGGGTCCGACGAGACCAAGCTCGTCAACTCGGGCACGATCCGCCTGGACGAGGACTGTCTCAATCTGAACGTCATTCGGCCGCGGACCGATGACGGCGCGCTGCTGCCCGTGATGCTGTGGATTTTTGGGGGAGGGTGGCAGCAGGGCGCGACGGCGGATCCCAGGTAAGCTCGTGCTGTGTTGTGTTGTGTTGAGACTGAAAGCTGACGGGATAGGTATAACATGAGCTACGTGGTGCGCCAGGGCGAGCTGAGCGGCAACCCGGTGCTCGGCGTTTCGATCAACTACCGCGTTGCGGCGTTTGGGTTCCTCGATTCGGAGGAGGTGCGGGTAAGTCTCGTTGACCCTGATGGTAGTAGTTTATGGCGATGTTGACGGCATAGGCCGCCGGGGTGAATAACCTGGGCCTGCGCGATCAGCGCGTCGCCATGCGCTGGGTAAAGGACAATATCAGGGCGTTTGGTGGCGACCCGGACAAGGTCACGATCTGGGGCGAGTCCGCGTATGCTTCGTTCCTCCGGGCGTGTATCCAAGGTACCTACTGACCGGCACAGCGGCGCATACAGCGTGGGCGCGCATCTCGTCGCCAACGGCGGCGACCACGAGGGTCTCTTTCGCGCTGGTACCTCTCCCTTCTCCAGATGCACGTTCCTATACTCACTCATCAGCGATCATGGAATCCGGCAACGCCGTGGGACCCCCGTGGAACGGCACAGACTGGCACCAGCCAATGTACGACCGCATCGTCAACAAGACAGGGTACTCCCACTATTCCCCTCATATGAGACGCAAACTCACCCCCGCAGCTGCACCTCGTCAGCAAACACTCTCGAGTGTCTCCGTAACACCCCGTACGAGCTCTTCTACGCCTCCGCCAACGAAGGCCTAGAATGGTTCGGCGCCATCGACGGCGCCTTCATCCGCGAATACCCCCAGATCAGCATGACAGCCGGCCGCATCGCCGCCGTCCCGATCCTCCTAGGCTCCAACACCGACGAGGGCACCAGCCTCGGCACGACCGGTACCAACACCGACGAGGAATGCATCGCGCAGCTCATCTGTACCCTCCCTTCATCCCACCCGTCCTCCGCAGCACTAACACACCGCAGCATCGAAACGCTGGGTGCTCACCCGCGCCCAGGCCACCAAGCTCCTCAGCTACTACCCCAACGACCCGGCGGCCGGCTGCCCCTACGGCTGGGGCAACGTCACCTGGCCGAGTCTTGGGGCCATGTACAAACGCTACGCGTCGATGGCCGGCGATCTGACCATGGCCGCGCCGCGGCGGCTGCTGGCAGAGACGATGGCGCGCCAGCGGCAGCGGGTGTATTCGTACCGGTGGGACGTGGCGGCGCTGAACACCTCGAGTACGATTGGGGTCGGGCATTTTGCCGAGGTATGTCTCTGTGCTCTTTGTGTACGTCCTGTGGACGACGCTGACGAGACAGATCCCGTTTGTGTTTGCGAATCCGGTGCAGGATATTACCCCGCTGGGCGACGATCCGGAGCGGCTGGCGCTGGGCGAGATGGCGGCGCAGATGTGGACGTCGTTTGTGGTGCATTTAGATCCGAATCGGCATGCTGGTATGCTCATCTCTTTTTTCGTGATGGTGTGTTGGATGCGGTGCTGACGCTGCTAGTATCGCGGATCCCGACGTGGCCGGCGTATGCGGCGCGGCCGGCGAATCTGGTGTTTCGGCTGCCGCGGAATGCGAGCTATGTGGAGGAGGATACGGATCGGGCGGAGGGCATGGCGTATATCAACAGTCTGGCGCGGTAGGTTGGTTGGTGGGGGTGGGCTACAGGACTAGACTACGAGCTACGACGGAAGCAAAAGACAGCGTGCGTTCAATTGAGAGGCTTATCCTGTCCAAACTTGATCTCGTCCGTATCCGTCTAGTTGATCTTGAGCAGCTGCACCTCACTAGGATAGTCGTCAGCACTGCACAACCAAGTGTATATAGTAGACATGTCGAGAATTTGACTTACAAGATGAGAGTCGCGTTGCCGGGGATGACGCCGCCGATGCCACGGGCACCGTAGCCGTAGTCACTGCAAACGTTAGCATGTCGGATCGTCACGGGAGCAGACGGTCTTACGGGGTGATGGTGAGCTTGGCCTTCTCGCCGAGGCTCATCTGGGGGACACCCTCGTCCCAGCCTAGCACGCGTCAGTGTTTTCTTGCTCGATAGGATATATCGGTGGATGGCGCACCCTTGATGAGACTGCCCACGCCGATCTTGGTCTGGAAGGGCTGGCCGCGGTCGACGGAGCTGTCGAACCTGGAGACAGTCAGTGGTGGTCAATAGCTCGACGTGTTTTGTTGGCGTACTTGGTGCCGTTTTCCAGGTATCCGGTGTAGTGCATGGTGACCTGGTCGCCAGGCCGGGGGTAGTTCTGGCCGTCACCGGCAGTAATAACTTCCTTGGTAACACCCATGATGAGTAGGTAATGAAGATATGAATATGGATAAGAGTGTGAGGGTTGAGGCAGTGAGGTGGAAAGAAAGAAGAACGTGAAGCGGGGGACTCAAATAGCGATGAGGTCAACTAAGTGGGGGTCTGCACCCTAATTGTCCCGCACAATTCCTTCCCTCCCGCCCACGGGAATTTGTCTATCGGTGTGCGAGTATACGTACAGCATACAGCGCGGGGATTGTAGATCTTGTCTAGAATGGCGAATAGAATGGACGTCTGCCTCTTGGCCGCTACATCTTCCCTCCATCGGATTGCATCATCGGCCGCCCAGACAACATAGACGGACGAGACCCCTCACTGCGGTCCGCAGCAAGCGAGCGCCCAAACGTACGGAGTACACAGTGGATAGGATAGTCTAGTAGTCCTTCCAAAAGTCCTTGGCCTGGAGCTCCGCCAGCTCCATCGCTCGGAGGCGCGTACGAGGGAACCGCGCATCAACCACCGCACTGTCCTTGCCCTCGCGCGCCAAATCCAAGTAATGCACCGTCGCGATGCCCACCTTCTGCAAGAACGCCAGCACGCGCTGGTAATTCAGCCCGACCTGGTCCAGCCCGTGGCTATCATCCGACAGACAGAACCGGCCGCCGCGTTGGAGGAATTCCTAGACACAGCCCATTAGCCGCCTTACCACCCCTGCATAGACCTCTCCAATGACAACTTCATCTTCATACGTACCGTACAAATCTCCGCCTGCGGATACGGCTCGCTCATCCCCTTCCTCAACGCCGCCGAGTTAATCTCCAACAAGCCCCCGTAGGACGCCACAAAGTCCAGGTTCCGTAGCACCTTGTCCCACACGCCGGGCCACGTGCGGAAACTCCGCTCGGGATCATCGCTCTTCAGCCGGATCAGATCGAAATGCCCCACGACCAGCGGGCGCAGCTGGCGCAGCATGTCGAGCTGCTCGTCGAAGTACGCGGCGAAGAGCGCCTCGTCGGAGCCGCCGGCGGCCGCGCGCGCGCTCTCGTACATCGCGCGGTCGTAGTCGATCGGCACGGTGCAGGTGTGGTGCACGGAGCCGATGAAGAAGTCGAACGGGTGGCGGGCCAGCGAGGCCTCGATCAGGGCCTGCGAGGCGGCGCCCCGGATCCAGTCGCATTCGAAGCCGACGAGGAGCTGGATCTGCGCGGCGTATTTGGTGCGCAGGCGCTGGGCTTCGGCGACGTAGGCGGCTTCGTTGGTGATCATTGCCGCTGTGGTAGTGCCGGCTTCGATCTGGGGGGTTCGTTAGTTGGGTGGTTTGGAGGGCGCACGGGGGGATGGACGTGCTTCTTCGGGGTACAAGTCGTCGTTGCCGCGGGGCATGTGCTCGGTCAGGCAGAAGACTTGGAATTTCTTGGAGATGGCCAGCTGGACGATCTCCTCGAGTGAGTCTTTGGCGTGGCCTGGGCAGAATTGGCCCGAGTGGCTGTGGTGGGAGAAGGGCATGTCTGTGTATGTGTCTGTGTATGTGAGTAGTTGCGAATGGTTGATGGGTGTGTAGGACTTACATGTTGCGCAGTCAAAGATGGAGAGGTCAAAGATGGAGAGGTTTATTTGATTTACGGTTGTCCAAGAAGTAGATATATGAGTATGACTCAACAACGGTAAGACATTGGCTCGTGAAGATGAAGTAGGAAAAGTTCGGGAGAAGCGGACGTCAAGCGGGTTACCGCTTTGGGCATATCGGCATTATCTACATACAGGTACATTCGCATTACTCATTATCTCAATCGACAGTCATTACATGCTTGCATCTATATCCCGATACCCAGCCTAGTCGTCGGCTGTATCACATCAAAACGCACAATGGCACTCATCCATCATCCCAGTCCCGAGGCGCACGCAACGACCCAATTCCGCATCGCGGCGGCATCCGCATGCAAGCCAATCGCATCAGCATCACCCGGCACATGCGGCCTTCTAAGCTAAATCTGGGTCTCACAGCATAGCCCACCAGCCGTCCGTCTTATCGCATCGCAATGCGCTCAACAACTCAAGTAGTATCATATCATCCACCCCATCCATGTAATCCTCACCCCGCCGCCAGCACCGTCGCAACCACATACTCGCCATCATGCGAGATGGACAACTTCCCGACCCGCCCCTCGCCCGTATAGACCACCTCCGGGCGACCCGTCGCCTCGTCCTGTCCCACCCGGACCAGGACGTCCTTCCATCCGAGACTCGCTGCGCCGCCGGGGGCGGCTTTGCGCGCGGCCTCTTTCGCTGCGAACCGGCCCGCGAGCCAGCGGGCCATGTCTGCGGATACCGGGGGCGGGGAGGGGGGATGTGGGCGGTGGTTGACGGAGGGGAGCGGGGGGAGGGCGAAACGCGTGCGAAAGTCGTGTTGTTCTTGGTCGTGGAGGATGCGCCGGACGAAGCGCGTGAGGTAGTCGCCGCGACGGAGGAGACGGGCGATGCGTGGGATGTGGACGATGTCGGTGCCGATGTTGAGGGCGTAGGGGAAGGGGATTGGTTTCATGGTGATGTGGATGGAGTGTGATGTTGATGTTGATGGTTGCATTGCGATGCTTTGCTTTGAGGGTGACTAAGCGGTTGTAACTACGACTGCTACCATGTAGTAAGTAGGGAGTCCTAAGGTACCTTACGTACAGTCTATTTGGCTCTGATTACGGGCTTGGATACACTACAGACATGCACAGTAAAGCTGCACATACCACAACATACTAGTCCAGGCATAATGAAACACGGCTCAATGCGGTGTATACCTCTATATGTACAGATCACACACCCCGCCACCAACATGGCAATCCATGCGGTCCGACATTCAGGACATCCCCGAGCCCCGTGGATAGCCCGTCACATTCGTTATGCGTTATGGAGTTGGCGTCCAGGGAAAGGTAGTATCGGGTGATGTCCTCCACTCGTTCCTCGTTATCGCGGTTTAATGATCGCTCTTTTTCTCCTCGCCGTTCACTTGCTTCAGGAAGTCCCTAGACGGCGTTAGCCTCGTCATCCGTACACTCCAGCGTTGTCCCATTTTGTCTGTCTGTCATATCTTCCGTGTCTCCCTTCATCCGAGAGGGACACTCTCGCATGATTGGACCCCGAAAGTATATCCCAGACCATCCAAACACAAGGAATAAGCAATGCAGGTACATACTGGATGAACGTCTCCTCATCCTTGGAAGAAGCCTGGATGGGAGGAGTAGTCTGCTTCTGCTTGTCACCACCACGGGTAGCAAGGAAGACACCACCGAAGAGGGAGCCGAGAACGCCCATGGCAAGCTAGACACACGCAGCAAGACAAAGCGTTAGCATGAATTGAGTCCTAGATCGCTCCGAACGGGAGCATCATAGCCGCGGCCGACGGAAGAATTTGGATAGGGGAGCCCGGCCGACCGGGCGGGTAGCCGGGGAAGCACGTACGACGTGAGAGCCGACCTTCTTGCCGGCGAGCTGGTAGTAGACGACCATTGTGACGGTTGGAGACGGAGATGGACTCGGGGGGAGGATGGTAGGTGGGTTTGCGGCGCAGAGATGCGAATGGAGGTTGCGTTGGTTTCCGCCGGCTCGCGAGAAGTCGCCGCTGTGGTTGTTGCCGTGTCGGGTTAGTGTGCTGAGTCAGCCACGTGACTGTCCTGAACTGTGCCTGAAGCCTCACATCGTTGGCCTTTGGATGTTGAAACGATGCCTCCAGGGCACAATGTAGTACAAATGTTTCCAATTAGATGTCAATTGCACCTGTTGTGGCGCCAGAAGTGACATCATCTTCGTCTCATTGGCTTCGGTGAGGTCCCGATGGACAATACGTCCATCCGCCGTCAGTCTGGTCCAGATTGGTGGGTATGACCTCAATTGATGATTGATTGATGAAACAGACCAAGTCTGTCTGCAGACAACGTCAAGATTCTCCCGCCTGCGTATGGAGTCATCCAGCCCACTATGATGTATGAGGCTATCTCGGATGACCATCATATGGAGTCATGATGAGGTCCTAGACATACTGCGCAGGATATATATACCTACCAAGCTGCTCACCTCGTCTCTCCCCAAATCGATACTCAATCCACACCATTCAGACTACTGCTACAGAATATACCAACATGTCCTCCAACCCCAACCCCGGAAACTTTGCCAACCGCCCGCACGAGGAGGTGGAAAACATCGCCCGCAAGGGAGGCCAGTCCAGCCACCAAGGCGGGTTCGCCAGCATGGACGAAGACAAGCAGGTACGCAGACAATCAATGCTGTCTTCAGACCCGGGCTGACTCTTATGCAGAGAAACATCGCGTCCATGGGCGGCCAAGCATCCGGTGGCAGCTTCGAACCGGGCGAGACTCGGGCGAGAGAGGCTGGCCATAAGGGAGGCCAGGCCTCTGGTGGTAGCTTTGAGCCGGGCGATCCCCGGGCCAAAGAAGCTGGACGAAAGGGAGGTTCGAGCAGACATCAGCCTGACGAGTGATCTTGTTTGGTATTGGAATATACGAAGCTGTATCTATCATGATGTATTGAGCAACACACTCTCTTATGACGAACCATATTATCACTTATAACAACAGTATCCTATTTCTATCACGGCGTTTGGTCTTTGTACTAGTAGAATGTAATCATCAGTGTCGTATGATGGATCTCAGCCAAGGGTAATCTGACGTCTTGAGGTATCTATATGACAGGCCAATTCACTGCAACTATGATCAACATCATTACAGCATCCATTCATCTAATGCCATCTCATGACTGGGCAAATCAACTTCATCACACAAAATAATACACCATCTAGTCTATCTTCTTTCTTTGGCGCTTCAGCAAATCCGGTAAATCCTCCACCTTGGCCGATCCCTCCAGAATCCCTACTCAGTCAGCATCATCCAAACCTATACTCGGCAGCAGGCAGCAACTCACCATGAATCGCCGTAAACAGCGGAAACTTTTCCGTCATCCCATGTTTCGACAGAAACTCCCACACCGCATGCGCCGTCGACGTGCCCTGCAGCTTCTGCCCATTCAACTCATTACGCTCAATCTCCTCGACACTCACCCCCTTCTCGACAGCCCGACACGCAGACCGATAGTTCCGCCCGGCCGCGCACGACGCCACCAAATCCGCAATCCCCGCACTCTCCTCAGTAAAGGTGCGCTCGTCCACCGACTCGGGGAACCACATGCGCCCGAAACGGATCATCTCCAGCACGCCGCAGCGGATGACGGCGGCCTTGGTGTTCTCGCCCCAGCCCATGCCGGCGACGAACCCCGCGGCCAGGGCAACAATGTTCTTCAGCGCGCCGCCGAGGGCCACGCCCGCGACGTCCGAGACCACGTGCACCTGGAAGTAGGGGCGCTCGAACAGCGCAGTGAGTAGATGCGCGTCGACGTGCGGGTAGCTCTGCGGGACGTGGTGCAGGCGCACGCTCGTGGGCTGCGACTTGACCTGGCGCTGCTCGTCGATGCGGATGAGGTTGTGGGTGTCGTGCGGCGAGCCGTCGGGCTGCACCAGGTCCATGGGCGGCGGGTGGTAGCCGATGGTAGTTTCGCAGAAGCGCTCGGCGGCGACTTCGGGGGCGATGTTGGCGCCCGACAGCGCGCCGCAGTAGATGGCCAGGTGCTCCATGATCATCTCGGAGAAGAGCGTGACGGTGCCTTCGGTCACGTCGACGCCCTTGGTGCAGGAGATGGCGCGCGCGTAGGGCAGGTGGTGACCCTTGATCTGGTCGAGGGTCTTGGCGAGGAATTGGTGCGGGAGGTTGAAGATGAGGAGAGTGGCGCCCTGGACGGTGGACGGGAGGTCCGGGCTGGCGATGAGGTTGGACGGGAGAGTGATGTCCGGGAGGTACTTGACGTTCTCGTGGACGGTGTTGATGACGTGGGTGAGCTTGTGCGGGCCGTCGCCGAGCTGGGCGTGGTGTTTGGAGTCGCTGGGGATGTCGATGTCCTCTTCGAACACCCACATGGGGACGTCTTTTTCAAAGAGATCCGGATGGGCGGCGGTATTTTCGGCGACAATCTTGCCGATCGTCGAGCCCCTGGGCTGTTAGAGAGTAGAGAGGTAGCTCAGGTAGGAGAGGGGCGTACCAATTGCCGGAGCCGATGATGGCGACTTTGTGCTTTTGGTCTGGCATTGTGTTTTGTTTCTGGTATATACAAAGAGCAGCTGTAAATAGTGTGAGATCTGCAGTGTTAGTTAGATGGTGGAGGTTGAGATTATATCTAGATCTAGATATCTGACTTACGTGACTAGGACGTCATCGCGGTGTTTGCATATTGAATGCGGTCATGGCGGAGAAACCGGATTCGCAGATGCATATTGCGCATCCTGTCAGGATGGTACCTGCTCGACAGGGCCAATGTTGAGGAAGGTGAAGTACCACCATCTGTGTCTATCGAGTATAAACAGTATATGATGATCCCGATCGGGTTAGCTGACAGGAGACATGCAGCACGTGACTCTCCGGATCTGCCCGAATCACGTGCACCCGGAAGAGACTCACGGGATTCATCAGTCAGTCTGGGGTAGGAGTAGACACAGTAGATACGAGTATAGACAGAAGAGGGAAGTATAAGAGAGTAGGGAAGAGGAGATGGCGATGATGATGTAGCCAAAGCATATCTCCCTCGCCAAAATGGATCCCCGTCAGATGAACAGCCTCTGCGCAAATCACCGCATCTGACGGGGGCTGAACCTCGGGGGAAGTATTCTCTTCCCTGGCGCAGCTTTAGTCTTACCCCGGCTATGCATGGCCGGCCACGGCGAGACGGAGACGGAGACGGGGCCGGGTGTCGTGTGCGATCGCTGAGTACAATAATATTAATTAATATATTATATAGTGGAATGATCCTTTTTTCTGCTGTTGGCTCTGATCTCATCCCATATCCTCAGCCACCCCTGGGGCCTTTCCTACAGGTACCTAGTAGTACAACGATACTATCTTACATTTACCAGAGACATACTCTACCGACCTTATTCAGACATCAAATTCAGACATCGGACCAGACGAAACAAGAATATCAGAATGTTCGGGGGTTCTCACCACCACGACGCCCCCGTGGACCAGCCCATCGCGCCCGAGCAGCTGCCTCCCCAGCTGCAGCGCATGGTGGACCGCGATGACAGCTTCTATGACGATATCTACTCGCCTTAGTACATCTCCCTTCCCTTCCCTTTTTCCCCACCATTCCCCCATCTCACAACAACACCTTCATCAACACCTCAAATCAATCCACCATGGCAGAAAACCCCCCTACTAACCCCTCTAGCTCCGTCGACTCAACTGAAACCCCCTACCGCTACGCCGGCTACGCCAACCGCCTCCGCACCATCCTCCTCTCCGCCCACCGCTACGTCGCCTACACCTCGGACATCGGCGAGTCCTTCCGCCCCGTCGCCCACCCCTACCTCGTGCGCTCCGCCTACGCCATCTCCTGGTCCTACCTGATCGGCGATGTCGTCCACGAGGGCTACAAGGCCTACCTGCGCAACCGGCGGGTTCTCGCCCCCCCCTGCGACGCCTACAAGGACGCCTCCAACGTCGCCCTGGGCATGGTCACCGGCAACCTCTCGGGCCCGCTCACCTCCGCCTCCCCCGCCGCATCATCGGCCGTCACGACGGACAAAGATACCCTCACCCCCTGGCCCACCACCCGCATCCCGCTGGCTGAAGACTACCGCATGGTGATGGCCAAGCGCGCCGTGTTCCAGAGCGTCGCCAGCATGGGTCTGCCCGCCCTCACCATCCACTCCGTCGTCAAGTACTCCGGCCGCATGCTGAAGAACTCCAAGATGGTGTTTTTCCGCACCTGGGCGCCTATCGGTGTATGTTCCTCCCCCATTCCTGTGTCCTTGCCTCTTGAGGGAAATGCTAATGCGTGATGGTGCTGCAGCTCGGCCTTAGTGTCGTCCCCTTCCTCCCCTACATCTTCGACGAGCCCGTCGAGGAGGCCGTCGAGTGGGTCTTCCGCACCGGTCTGCGCGCCTATGCTGGCGAAGACGCCGTCCGGCCCCTCCCGCAGCCGGCCCACGCCGCCGACGAGGATGCCACCTCGCTCAGCCATCTGCTGCATGTCCAGCGCGAACAGGGGCATCCGGCGGACGCTACGGCCACCTCCGCCACGCTGTCGTGGGAGGAGTACAAGGAGGAGCGGCGGCGGGCCAAGGAGCAGCGCAGGCACCAGCGCGAAACCGATGGGCGGGGTGGTATATTGGCCATGTTGGGGCTGGAGAAGAAGAAAAACGAGTAACGTCTTTTTCTTTTCTTTCTCTCGACTCGACTCTTTTCCTTTATTCACGGTCTCATCTCCATGTATATACATCATAGCGTTCATCCACTTACATCTACAATTCACCAATCATACTCCGTACTCATGCAGCGCATGTATTCGCTCTACTAAATACATCTGTACAAACAACCACACAAAAGGCCAGTAAGTTATCGCAGGACATCACTCGTCACAGATACACCTACCGCCCAACCATTAGAGGGAACATGTAAAGGAGGTCCGAAATGACGAGGGATGAGGGAAAGATGGGAGAGCGAGTCAAAAATTGTAAAATAATGATTGCGGTGTGGGCGAGGTTCTGCTCTGTGTCACCATCAAGGAAAGTAAGAAGAGAAGGCAATGTCAACACCAAACATATGGGGAATAAGAAAAAAAAGAAAATGGAAATATGTGAGAAAGAAATGAAAATGGTAAATGAGACACGTCCGCCGACGTAATATCCAAATTGAATACAGATAGAATGAAGTCACCCAAAGGCAGTTTGCCTTTGGTTAGCCGTTTCGTTTTCGCCCCTATGTTCCCGGGTTAGTCAACCCATCTTTCGATTTTGTACATGCTCAGTTCCATCCGAGCGAGTTCTCCGCCATGACCGGCGCGCTGATCATCTGCGTGCGGGCGCTGCCGCGGCTGTTCTGGCTGTTGCGAGAGAGCCGTCCACCAGTGGCGAACACAGATCCGGCCCCGGGGCCTTCGCTCATCTGCTCCACGGTGGAGCTGGAGCGCTGGTGTCCCTGGCGCTTCTTGCGGTAACGACGCGCAACCCAGAACATACCGGCACCGTACGCCGCAGCACCGGCCACGACACCAACACCAATGCCCACCGAGCTGGCGCGGGCGGGCGAGCTGTTGCTGGCTCCGGCGTCCGAGTTGTCCGAGTTGTCATCGCTCGTATCCTTGCCGTTGGAGTTGGAACTCGATCCACCGCTGGAAGAAGAGCCGCCCGACGACGAGCCAGACTCGCCCACAAGAAGAGGAATCGACGGATCGATCATCGAGAAGAGCGTCTTCACAGACTCATTGGGCTGCTCATACAGGCGCGAGATCGGGTTATGAAGCATCTGACGCAGGGTATCCACCTGGTCGGTGGGGATGTATGCCAGAGCCACGGTCGCAATGTAGCCGGTCGTGGCCGAGTTGTCATACGGCTGGATGGCGAACATGGACACCTGCTTGCTGAGCACCGAGAGCGCATACTCCAGACCTTGAGGGACGTAGAGGAAGATCTGCGACGACGACAAGGTGGTCGTGGCCACGAAGCTGTACCGAAGCTTGTCGTTGAAACCGATCTGGATCAGGGTGGAGTCGGCAGGGATATTGGGAAGGCCGCCACCAGGGGAGATAGATCCAGGTAGCTGCGTGGGCGCGCTGGTCGCCGTGGCGGTGGCATGGGTAGCCGTTTCTGTCGTCGCCGGGCTGGGAGGCTGCACGAGAATGGTCGACGGGATCCAGTCATTTGACTCGCTAGTGCTGGTGCTGGTGCTAGTGGTCGAAGTCTCCGGTGCCTTGGTCGTCTCGGGCTGCTGGGTGGTGGTAGGCGCTTCGGTGCTGCTGCTGGAAGCGGGCTTGCTGGTGGAAATCGGCGTGGCCGTGGGCTTGCTGGTGGGAGCTCCAGACCCCGAAGGCAGGGCGGTGGAGCCGATCGGGCCACCGGTCGAGCCCGCGGGTGACGTGGTCGGGATCACACCTCCACTCGTCGCCGTGGGAACACTGGGACTGATCGTAGAGAGCGCAGGACTAGTGGTCGGTCCCTTTGAGCCAGAGCCTGGAATCAGGGGAACCGATCCCGTAGGCAGGGGAAGACCGGTCGTAGGCGCAGGGAGACTAGTCGGCGTGCCTGTCAAACCCCAGAGGCTGCTCCAGGTGTCTCCCAGATCCAGGCCAGAAGAAGAAGATGGAGTCGTCTCGGGGACGCTGACAGAAATGCTGGTGGGCTCCACGGTTCCAGTGCTGTTATTCGGGCCAGCGCTGGATACAGTGGCGTTGGCACCGGAGGGAGCGTTGGAGGGGGCGCTGGTACTCGTACTCGAGGCCGTCTCGGTAGTGTTACCCTGGCCGGTCAGGCCACCCACAAGAGATGAGACCGCACCGTCGACACCGCCGAGTAAACCAGAAGACGAGGCGGTCGGGGACGCGGAAGACTCAGTGGAGGAGGCGCTGGTGCTCGTACTCGAGGCCGTCTCGGTAGTGTTACCCTGGCCGGTCAGGCCACCCAAGAGAGACGAAACCGCACCGTCGACACCGCCGAGTAAACCAGAAGACGAGGCGGTCGGGGACGCGGTAGACTCAGTGGAGGAGGCCTTGTCAGTGGCCTTGTCGGTCGAGGAGGCCCCGTTGGTTGAAGAGGCCTTTTCGGTAGTCTTGTCAGTGGACGAGGCCGTGGCTTGGCCCTTCTGGGAAGCCGCACCACTGGTGGAAGTCGCATCGGCAGAAGCAGCCGCCTGCGAGCCAGGCTTGTTATCGGTACTGGTGGTGGAATCGGTAGGGCTGGTAACACCGGGGACGGTGGAGGTGGAGCTCGAAGAGGCGCCAAAGAGGCTGGACCAGATGTTGCCAAGCTCATCGCCCAGGCCCTCAGAGCTGGTCGCGGTTGACTTGGCGGAGGAAGATTCCGATTCCGAGTTGGATGTCGCAGTCGGCTGGGGGGCGGTGTTCTCGGCGGGCTCCTTCGACTCGGCGGTGGTTGTCGCGGTGGTCGTCGCGGAGGCCGCAGGAGGTTTTTTGTCCGAAGTGACGGTCTGACTGGTCACCGTCTGAGCTCCAGAGGTGCTCGGAACGCTCCCCGTCAAGGTGTGCGTCACGCCGTTGGGATCGATGGAAAGCGTAACGGGGATGACGACGACGGGAGGCGACGGTTCATTGTGAGTGGTGGTTTCTCCCTCACGGCCCAAGGATTGCAGAAACGATTCGAGCGGGCCCGACGCGGTTCGAGAGAAGAGATCGGACGAAGGCTTGTAGTTAATCTGGCGCTTGAGGTGCTTGGGGATGAATCGCGGCTTGACGGCCTGTCCATTGGCAGAGGCCTCGGCTGTTACCAGCTCGAGCCCGCCGAGGGACAAGAAAGCCGCGAGCCAGGTTGCTGTTGACGGGATCATGATGAGCGTGAAAAGAGCGTTAAACTTGGCGCAAACGAGCGATTAAGTATCGAAGTATCGAGGGAGAATCGCAAGTGCATGAATTCGGTGGCTGGCGTGTGGGTGGTAGATGCGGCGGGGGTAACCTGTCCGGCCTTCTTTTTTCCACCTATTTCTTTTCTGTTTTGTTTTTTTCAAAATCCGACTTCTTAATTGATCGACAATTGAGACGACGGAATATCCAGAGCGAGCGAGTGGACGACGGTCGACGAAGCTTCACGATGGATAAGCGGTAAACAATGAGTTGAAAGAGCGGCAGGGGTTGACGAGCAAGCCCCTTTGTTGTTTGATGGATATATTTTCAGAAACAAGCACAGTAACGAGCGTGGGTGGCGTAAGGAGCGAACGACGAGATCTGAAAGGAAAGCGAGGTGTCAAAACTGGGACGAAGGGGGGTGGGATGGGGAGGCTGATATCGAAGTGTACCTGAAGCGCGACCGTGGGAGAGAGAGGGGGCGGTGGAGGGACGCAAGGAGAGTGAGTCCTAGCGAGTAAATTGTCCGGTCCCGACGGGTCGTTGACGTGGAAAGGAGATGCAATTAAGACGCCAACGACAGCACCAAGATGCGAAACATCCGATGGAAGAAGAGATGGGAAAGGAATGACAGGGAGGGAAGAGGAGAAGAAGAGAGTAAGAGAGCGAGAGAGTGAAAGAGAGAGAGAAATGAGTAGGGAGATGCTAAACTAAAAAAAGGTTGGGTGGGTGAAAGGGGGAAAAGGAGGGGCCCCGTACGGTATGGTGACGGCGGTATCACCACGCACCTTATCACACGGGGGGAGCTGACCCACTATGGCGTATTTATCGGTAATGATACGGTTTTGTGTACCCTTTGACTGCTATGATGAACACCGCGACGTGGCTGACTGCATGTCACTACCAAGTATCCAGGTACGTAGGTAAGGTACCTAGAAGATAGATGCATCTTTCTCTTTATGGGGACTTCCAGAGATATCAGGGCATCAGCAAATGGACCAATGTTCAGTCATTTTGTACGACATATGGTTGTACGGAGTACACATATCCACCAGACCATGGTGGAGGCCCGGTCTCCAGACAAGGACTAAACAAAATTAACCAACTAGTCCAGCGACTTACTCCGTAGGCAGTAAGGCTGGTTACCTCACAAGGGACGGAAGAATCCTCCTCGCTAACAAAGACTGATCCAGCTGTTTCCACGCACACCGATGGACTCGATTGTCTCCGCTGCGCTCTGATGGACGGAGTAGTGCAAAGTCTAGACGGTGGTGTACTAATTCGGATCGACAGTCTCGCCATTGAACTTTCTGACGGAAGTCTATTGATACCTGAACATTCATGATTGCAACATACGTGAAGACACCAGAGCTACGAGATGATCTACCGGCTGCCTCAATAAAGTCTCTTACGGGGTTCAATTCATATCTACAAGGCTTGCACCGTCATACCCAGCCCCAATCCATCAGCATGAGGGAAACCAGATTAATTTCTCTGCCGATCAGTTGGACCGCACTGCACATCGCAATTCCCGCAGGAGCTTCTGCGCTGGAGCAAAATCCCCGTCTAGATTCCCGGCCTAGACCGACGGCGTCGTTTAGCGTGGATTTCTGGCCCGCGGTGGAGAGTGCGTGGTGATACGAGATGCTCTGCGGCTTCACCCGTTCTCGCCCAGTTCCATTGCAGTTCTCAACATCAATATAAACATATCACGGCAGTAAGGATGATGGTTCTGCTACAGGAATGTCAGCCTAAGAACCTGGGCTCTATCCAGGCGCAAGAAAAATCTGGTTTCTCGGCTGTCCAGACCGCCGTCCCCCATGCAAGTTACACGGACATCGCCCACTTGTCTCACCATCACCACTGCCACCATCCCCTTCCCCATCGTCAACTCCGACCAGCCCGTGAGACTTGCGGCCGTCTATTTTCTTAGCCACCGACGCTATTGCCTCGCCTGGAGGGATTGCTTAGAACGGCACTTCGCCGACGACTAGCCCGGATAGTGCTAGTACGCTCTTCACCAAGAGCAGGCTGAAGACTACTCTTAGGTAACCCAGCATAATCACCTCAAAACAAATGAAGCCACGTGCCTTTATCCTCTCATTCTTGGTTCTTTCCATACCGAAGACCGCTTCCTGACTTCACCCTGACGTCCCAGGAATGCCGAACCGGCCACTCGTCCCCGTCAACATCCACACCCGTCAAGGCTGAAACCGTCCTCAATTTCCATCCCTTGTGTCTCAGCAACGTCTGTCGGCCAGAAAAGGCCAGAAACGTGGGACAGGAATTCAGCATTGTCCCCTGACAAGCGAGCGTGCGCCTTGCATGCCAAGTGCACTGGTCGATTCCGTCCGGAGAATGTCAGGACAAGGCAGCCGACATTATCCGGTCAGGCCTTGCTTGCCTGATGGACGTATCGCAGGACGCCCTGATCGACAGTCCATGCATCGCATTCCGATGTCAGAGCGTTCTGCGTTCTTGCATCCGCAGCATCCATCTAATATCAAGGAACGGGTACTCCGTATTTATAGTGTTGATGCCGTGCACATAAGAATGATAGCTGATCGTAACCAGAGCCAGAGAGACTATGGCTCGTCCCACCGGAAGCTCATCTCCCTCCATCCAATCTGGAGGACAACCAGACTCCGGGAAAATTACGCTATTCCTGTTCCTGACAGCCCGGACCCATGGCTATCCGTGGTTCCATTCGTTAATAGTCCTCCAGTTTCGGGTATGGCGTGGCCGATCCACACAGCTGACACATCAACCTGCATAACTGTACACGTCATGCATAGTCATTATTGCCTTTGAATACCACTCACTACTCAGCGTCCGTTTACTGATGGAAGAGTGCAGTCGTAGAGTATATGGAGGTTGGGTATCAAAATGCTTAAGATTGGGTATATCCGCGTACAAACTACGTTACTCCATAAGTGCTATATTGACTCATCGACCCGATATATATTTACCAAGACATCATGTACAACTCACCTAGCATGAATAGAACCCAGATACAAGTCTATGTACACCATCCCCAAATGATCATCTCACTATATCCATTGTACTACTTACCATACCAAGTACATAAGATCTCAATCCGCACCAGCAACCAACAGCCTACAGACGAGCCCTAGTCACAGCAGCCGTACACTCAATCTCCACATCCGTCCCCATGGGCAGCGTCTTGGCCGCAACACACGTCCGCGCCTAACAGCGTCAGCACATCAAGCATCCCAGACAGCTCAACAAACCAAGAGAACAGAGCACATACTGGCTTCGGATCTGGAAAAGTCGCAGCATACACCTCGTTGACCTTGCCGAAATCGGCCATGTCCGCCAGGAAGATGTTCACCTTGACCACATCCTTAAGACTGGAACCGGCAGATTCGAGCACCGCGCTGAGGTTGCGCAGGATTTGTTTCTGCCCCAGTCAGTGAGGTTACAAAACAGGATAGACATGACCGCCCGCAGTTACGTACCGTGCGCTCCTGGATCGGGCCCTCGACCATCTTCCCCGTGCTGGGGTTGACGCCCACTTGACCGGAGCAGAAGACTAGGTCGCCGGACACGATGGCCTGGGAGAGGAAGGGAGGCGGCAGGGGCGCATTATCGGTGCGGACGGGGACACGGGAGGGAGCCATTTGGTTTGAGGATTAGGATGATGGTTGGTGAGGATAGAATGGGATGGGAATGTGTCATATTTATCGTGGGGGTGGTTGAAGCGGGGAGAAGAGCCCCACTGGCATGACTAAGATATAGATCTGTTGACAGACATCAAGTAGATATAGACATAGATATAGATTTACCTGTTGATTTTTCTTGTTAATTTACTACTATATACTCAATGTAGTCTAGATATAGTCCAGTATGGTACGAAGGAACTGCTTGGCTATTAACAAAGGACCTTTGTATAGAGCAGTCATCTTCACCTCCAATTATAGAATGTATAAGAATCTAGAAACAGATTCAATGCTGTCTGTATACCGTGCAGAAACCGAATAATATTGGGTGCTCAGTACCAAGGCCTTCCTCATGCCCTCATTCATCACAGCACCAGACAGCATTCACTGCCATCTTCCCCCACCACCACCACACTCCCACCTCTTCAACCGATACTCTCTCCAGCCTCTCACAGCCCAAAATGTCAGGACCAGCTTCTCCTCGGTCTACTACCCTCTCAAGCATGCAGAATCCACGCGAACCTGCAACCTCACCACCCTCACCTCAGACAAAAACCGTCAATATCCAAGTCCACGGCCTCAGAGCACACTACTTCCTCAACCGGCCTCCGGAAGACCTCGTCCCAGCTCGCTACCTCCGCAAGGCCGACAGATCGCGTAAGGCCCCGGCATTCCTTCTATATCACAGTACTGACCCTGTAGCTGTTGTCCAACGCGCCCCATGGATCTTCCGAGCCTCCAAAACCCTCCACAACGCTGACGTCAAACACTGGTCCAAGGTCGACATCCGCTTCCGCGGCGTATTCCAAACGCTGGAGAAGGTGCCCTCGTTCCGCGCAGGCCTGTACGAGGACGACCACGGGCGTCTCAATGACGGCGACGAACCACCGCCGGACTTCCACGACGCTGCGGGCGCCCAGGGACTCGTCATCTACGCTCTCCTGCATGAGATCCTGACCATGATAGATATCCGGCGCGAGGCCGAATCCCACAAGTCGTTCTTCTGTCTTTGGTATGCCCATCCCTTCAACATCCCAAACTCCCACTCACTCACAATGCCATATATAGCCCGCGCCTCTTCAGTCTGAACCTGGAGTACTGGACCGGCTACCAAGAGAGACACAAAGACGGCCCCCGCACCGCCGGACTCGTCACGCTGACCGTCCACCCAGAGCAGCACGTCGTCCGCGCCGTCTTCCCCGTGTCGACGGTACGTACGTTCCCCGCGTGGCCACCGCACCCGCTAACCGCACCAGACCACCCGCGTTGGCGTCTCCCTCGAGTCCGCCCTGCAGGACAAGTTCAAGCTCCTCCTCGCACAGTTCCTCCTCCACATCCACCGTCTCCACCCGCCCGGCGACAAGATCCCCGACCAGGAGGTCTACCTGCTCGGGCTGCACGGATCCAGACTGCATCTGCTCCGCGGCATCTTCCCGGGCCACAAGACGTCCCGGCTGTGGAGCGGGCGGCACATACCCTCGCCAACGGGGCTGTCAGCATCGGCCGACGAAGAGGCGGTCGAGATAACGGCGCAGATGGAGCCGGGACGCCCCGCCGAGCGGTTCTACTCCAAGACGAACCTTGAGCGCTTCATGCAGCGCGTGGACTGGTTGAGGCTGTCGGCGTGCGATAATGAGCCTGATCCGCGCGTGTTCCGTGTGCTGGGCAGCCGGGAGTATGATCTGTGGGTTGCGGAGGACTTTCGCGCGGCGATGAAGCTGCTCGTGGGGTTGTTCTTGTATCTGATGAGTGGGCGCGCGCGATGTGGCGTGCTGCAGGATATGTTTGAGATGTTCCCATATGATGAGGAGGATGAGCCTGAGTCTGAGGGCGAGGCGAGCAAGGAAAAGGAGAAGGCGGCCCGGGAGGAGAAGCAGATTGTCCAGAAGGAGCGAGAGCTGGAGGAACGGGAGCGGCAGAAGCGCGAGGTGGATCGCGAGAGGTTCTGGACGAGAGAGGCCATGCGCGGCTCTGTGAATGACCGCATTGCTGGGTTGCGGGATTCCCGCCAGCCGTGGTGGGATTGGGTGTGGGAGGACAAGAACGATGATGGTCACAGGGATGATGCGGATGTTATCTTTAGAGGGGCGTGATGAGTGCTTACATTCGTCTGTCTAGGAGGAAGCTAGAGCGGATCAAGTTGGGATTTTTCTTTCTACAGTCGAGAGGAGAGACATGTGTCCAGTACAAAGTCCGCAAGAGAGGTAATTAGAGAGACAATTTAGGATCGATGACCACTCTCTTCACGCTCGCGTTGTCGTCGTTCGGACTCAAATTCGGTGAATCCGTCGATGCCCCGGCCATCTTGGCCTCCTGTTCGGAAATACTCAACGACGACACCGATCGCGTAGCATGTTGCTGCTGTTGCTGCACCGCTGATAAACATTCTTCGAACCGTTCTGCCGAATCTTGATTCATTCTTGGTAGATTCGCTCTGGGTAGAGTGTTCATCGGAGGACTTCCCGGAAGCAGACGACGGATTCGGTGGACTTGCTCCTTCACTCATAGGCTCTCTTATCTTTTCAATTTCATTTAATAGAGACTCATCCCTAAGGTTGGCATCGAATTCTTGCATATCCGAAGGAGCGCTAGGTGTGCTTCCTCTTCGGAATACGAGAACATCTCCACTGCCAGAGACAATCTCGTAACCATCAGCGTGCATCTTCGAGATATACGGCATGAATTTGGCCGGATTGTTCAGCAGAGGGAGGACTTCTGCTGGGTGGAACGACTCATTCGTGGCGCGTGTGGAGGAACCGGTCTCTGCGTGCGTCATTTGGAAGGTCGACGGATCATAGGCAAGGACATGGTAGATTTCAGGAGTTGCGGTAGGGTTTGCAGACATTCCATTTGCGGCGTTGACTTGGTCCATATTTGGCGAAGAGTGTGTAGCTTCGTCATGGACTGGTGGTTGCGAAACCGTGGAATCTTCCCCAGATTTCAGGCTTGACTCGGTTGTGGACTCAGGGCTGGGAGACTCAGGTGCGGATTCCTTAGCAGGCTCATGTGCCTGATAATGTTGGAACCTGCTCCGAATGGTCTGAGCATCTAGCTCGCCCGCAGGGTCTGCATGTGAATCGAATGACTCGTCGAGAGCTTCCCGCCGGGTACGCTTTTGATCCTCGGTATTCTGTTCCGGAGCTCTCGAGTCGTATGTCGAACGGATGTCACTAGCGCTCAAAAGATCCAAGTCTTCCGCTCTGTCTTTGTCGGGTACGGGGTCCGAATACCATGAAGGCGTGGATGTTGCGCTTGTAGCTTTCTCGACGGACTGAGAACTCGAAACTGGCCGTCGGAAGCTGTCCTTTGGGTTATCTATGCTGTCATCTTGTTTGATGGCATTCTGCGCTTCCTGTGACACACGAGTCTCAAACACGTTGCCCTCAACCCCAGTTTTAGCATATGCGATTTCGTTCTTGGACTGGAGCATCCCATTCGTGTTCGTTCCGGAAGGATACTTTGATTTGGGCGTATCTTCGCTGGGCATATTGTCATTCATTTTCAGAGGTTCTGTAGTATGGTCCGAGTCCTTCGCATTGATGGAGCTTATATCTCCATCTTCATGTATCAGGCGACCGGATACATTTCCAACTTCTCCCATGCCGTCGTTGATATTGGGTCTGCTGTCGGCTTCCACCGAGTCTTGGGCGCTGCCGCCTGCCTCCTGTACAGGAGAAAGATAGCCCACTCGTCTAGACTCGGACTTGGAGCTCCTGGTTGTGGATTGTTTTCCATTCGCATCATTCAGATCCTTCTCCAGTTCAATGGAACCATGTCCCGGCTTTCTCGGACTCATGCGACCACTAATGGGATCGAATTCAAAGTCATTCCTATCAATATCTGTCGAGGCGCGTGAAGTAGCATCCTCCTTGGTGTGGTCAACCGAAGTTTCATTCTCTCTCCGAGCAGATGGCTTCGTCGGAGTCGTCCGAGCGGTAGTATCCATTGGCCGTGGTTCCGCTGTCTTATCAAAACTTTTGTCAAACCCAAAGACAGACCGACACATGGAGGCAAGGGTGCTCTCCATCTTATCGAATGTGCTCCACGGCTCCAATCTCCTCCCGAACAAAGCTCCATACGGATCCGCCTCGATTTCTTTCTTGATCTGCTCGATCCGTCGCTGTGTCCGGGCCCGTTCGGCCTCCCAGAAGTCTTCCCCAGGGGGCCGCCCATTGCGAAAGCCTGGGAAGCTCGATTTGGAGCGGCCCCAGCCCCATCCTTGGATCCACCAGGGGTGGTGGTGATGTTCGTGGTCGTGCATTGCGCGTGGTCGCCATGGGAGGTGGGTTGCTCTGCTGCGGAATTTGGAGAGACATATGCGATGGTATTTCTCCATTCGACGCTTTGCGTGGTCGTTGATGCTGCCGTGTTTATGGTGCGAGCATCGCCATAGGCTGCGGCACTGGGCTGGAGCCCCCATCCATAGCTTGGGAGAGCGGGAGGGGACAAGATGCGGTCGGGCCATTGATAGGGGATCCGCGCATTTGACGGTCCCGATTTTCGAGATTGTCATGACGAAGGATGTATTGGAGAGGTTGTAAGTGGCTGGATGAGGATGGCGGTCCTAGGGATGAGCTGTCGACCGGATTCGGGCGGTCCACCGCTATGCTGGTCACATCCCAGGCTTTGGCGATGAGGTGAGTAGATTGAGCTAAGCTATAAAGAGTACTGTATATTGGAGATGGTGATTATTTCGCAATATATAAGATAAACCGACCGAGAGCTGGCAGAGTACGGATGAACTCGAGTAGTGGAGTAGATAAGAAGCTGGAGAAGCTCCGGCGGATCATCGCGGGGTCAGCTGAAGGTGGATCTTGCAGCCTGAGGCACCACAACAGTTACTCAGCACAACCATCCATGCAAATGTATTTAGGTACTATCGTATATACAAAGCCTAAAGACTCAGAGCCGAAACGCCCAAGTCAGTAACGGCTGGTTGCTCAATACTAGAGGTAATAAAGTTGTTCCAAAACCTCAGGCCCTCAATGCCCTCTTCGCGACAGAGTATACCCCGGTCCTCGGCCATTTCCAGCTCCTCTGCGGCCACGCCAACACTCCATTTGAATCGCTGCGCCGCTTCCTGTGCACTGATCGCGCGGCCATACAGACGCCAGTCCCATGGCACGGGCTCTGCAGGAGGAACCTGTCGCAGCTCCTCCATCCACTTCTGGATTTCTCGGATGGTCTTCTCGTCGTTCCAATCGTATCTCTGAACGACTAGAAGCCCACTCTTGAACCGCCGTAGACGGACGGGTAGCTTCAATTTTTCCCACAATTCTGCTGCGCGCTGGAAATCGGAAGGACTCACAAGCTCCACTCCATTCCGGGATCGGTTGAAAATGGCCCAGAGATCGATCAGGCTCATGATGCCACCCTCCTTTTGCAGAATTCCCTTCCTGTCATCGGTTAGATACTCAGCGAGGTTTCTCGAGAGCTCAGATAGGTATAAATTTTCGGCACCAGATCCAAGCATGTCTTTCGTCGTGACCATTCCAAGGGCTTCTGCAGACTGCGAGAGGACCGCACTCGCCTCTGTGGAGCGATCATCGCTAGCCATCCCCGACTCCCTTGCGAGAGTCTCTGCAAGTGCGACGATCTGCTTGGCCGACGCCATGAGGGCCTCGAGGTCCTCGAACGCATTTCCAATCACGAATTCGGCATTCTTGCGTGCCTCGAGTCCTCGTTGCTCAAGCCCGGCAATTCCAACAGCGGTAGGCCGAGTCGTCTGGGAGGCACTGCCATTGACGGGAGCAGCACCGGACAAGCCAGTAGATGAGGAGGAGTGTGAAGGCTGTTGCGGTACGGGTGGGGCGTCATAAAGGAGCCACTTCCTTTGGATCAACGCACCTTTCAACCGTTCATGGAAAGTTTTCTCCCCGCCACCACGAAAGGATAGTTTTATACTGTCTTTGATCTCCGTGTTTTTGATTGTATCCTGCTGGAATATAGGAGCCGGAGATTCGGAGCGATCTTGATTGGGAGTTCCAAGGGGGTTTACGCTTGTTAGAGATGCTCCGCACATCTCGCATTCGAGAAGGGAAGGGTGGTTGACAAAGGTACATCGGGGACATGAAATAGAAGCGTTGCGTTGCGAAGGAGTCGAAGTGGGTGTGCCATTGTTTTGCGGAAGAGCTTCAGCCTCAGGCAGAGGGATAGTGTTTGTAGAAGTGCCCTCGCGACTGGCTGCGGCGGATATAGCAGCCTTGAGAACAGTGGTGAACGGAGGCTTTATACCGCATGCTAGACAAGGTGGGAGATTTGTTGACGCAGTGGCCGTAGAGGGATCGAAGTTGGAGGGTACAGGATTCGAGAAAGAGCAGATGGGACATATCCAGGTGGCATTTACAAGCTGAGATTGCTTGAACTGCGGGACGGAAGTCTGAGGGAGCGGAGACTGTGATCTTGTCGCCGAAAGACCTGGTGCCTGGGACCGCGCTGGACTACCACCCGTACTTCTGGACTTGAGGTTGTTTTTGGGAGGTTTGGGGTATATGGTGAGCTTGGGGGAGGATTTCAAGAAACCAGCCTGTTTCAAATCAGTCATCAAGCGCACTAAGACGAAGAATATGTCAATGCATACTTGGTACTCCACTCTATCAATGTCCTTCAAGTCGATGGCAACCGAGTGCTTGCGGGGTTCGTCCACCGCGACATAGCAGACTCGGTGGGACGTCAAGTAGGCATGGCCATCTTGGTAATTTGGGATCTTATACTTCCTAAAGTTCCAAATAATATTGTCAGCACGGCTGGACGAGAGGTGATATCTGGCGTAGAGACGAAGGCGGACCACTTACCCTTCGTACAACCCCACGGCATCCTGGACGAAGAGGAGAGTCTCATCAGGCAACAGAGAAGGCCGGAGCGCAGTGGTCAGATCCAAGGGCTTGAAAAACATCTAGGAGACTTCACCGGCATTCTCTCCACCATATGCGACTGGGAAGAGACGAGGCGCGAGCTGTCATGCGACATCATGAGTTCATTCCGTTCATCACTTCGCGGCGGACCTGGCGTCGCTGACGTAAGAGGGGGAGGCCGATAGCTACGGGCGGCGATGAAAACCCACTGCGCAGTAAGAAATTCTCCGCCACTGTCCCGAGTGGGCATAAGCGAGTTTTGTCTCCCCAAAGGCATCGTCTCTCACCTCCACCTCCCCCATATATACTGTATCCTTATTCCTTCACATCTCTTGTGTCCGAGTTAACAGTCATCTGCACCATATAGTCGACTGCGATTTTCATTTTCTTGTCTTTCCACGTGTGACCTACCCAACCGTGCCTTGTGTAGGAAACGATGCCCTGACTGTCTCCTCGATTCAGCAATCAAGCCGTAGTCTATACCACTTCAAATCTCACTTCTCTTTCATTTCTCTCCTTCCTTCTCTTGTTTTTCCTCGTTGCGAATCTCGTTCAGAATGAGTTCCAGCATTCCCCCGTGGCGTGCCACGGCGTCGGCGACGACCACTACATCCCCCTATCCTGGCCATGGTTTGTCCACCTCCCTACCTGTCGAGCCACGTCCAAATGGCGCTAACATTTTACCTACAGCTGCCCCAGCGTATATCCCCGTTCAAGCTCGCCGTAGCTTATCCCATAACACCTCGACCAACTCCACCCCTGCCTCGGCACCCTCGCAAACATCTACCGCCCAAGCGGCCGCCCGCAAACGAGTAGCCTGGCCGGACCCCGTCCGGCTGTACGTTCAACGAAGTTTCGCTCCCGAGAACCAAGTCGCCTCGGTCAGCCGAGAGGAGATGGAAACGAAATTAAAGTCGGTCATTACCGATGCTGCAGAGAAAGATATGCTTGACAAAATCAACTGGGAGTCCTTACCCTTGCCACAGGTCATGGTCCAGAATGACCGCAACAAGATCTTGGCCAGCCCCAATGTGTCCTCGTGGGGCGCTTCGACTGCAGCCTTCCGAAGATCTGACTCAGACGAGTTCTCGAAGAAGAGGAAATCGGCTGAATACCAAGACGAGCCATCCAGTTGTCCGCCATGGAGACAAACTAACAAACATAATGCTTTTGAAGATCGAATCACTTATGCCCCCACAGACAAACGACAGCGGCTAGACCAGAAGAATCTAAGTAAGTCCAAAGCTAATCTGGAAATGCGGAGGAAACGTTTCGAGGAACCTCGGTCCAGATATGGGTCTTCGCCATCTTCGCGCGGTGAATCGCCGGCTCCCAGCGCGAACCAAGGGCCTGTTGTCGGGAGATGCCAGGATCTGGAGAAGAACTACTTCCGTCTGACCTCAGCACCCAATCCGGATACTGTCCGGCCTCTTCCGGTATTGGTCAAGACTTTGGACCTGCTGAAGAAGAAATGGAAAAAGGACAACAACTACGGCTACATCTGTGATCAGTTCAAATCGTTACGGCAAGACCTGACCGTTCAGCACATCCGGAACGAGTTTACTGTCAACGTTTATGAGATCCATGCCCGCATTGCCCTGGAGAAAGGAGATCTTGGTGAGTATAATCAGTGTCAGACTCAGCTGCGAGCACTGTACGCACAACAACTTGGAGGGCATCCGACGGAATTCAGGGCGTATCGTATTCTCTATTTCATTCACACCCGCAATTGGACGGCTATGAACGACGCGCTGGCCGATCTAACCGCAGCAGACAAGCGTGATCCTGCTGTGAAGCATGCTCTGGATGTTCGGTCAGCCCTTGCCCTTGGGAACTACCATCGTTTCTTCCAGCTTTACTTGGACACGCCGAACATGGGAGCTTACCTGATGGATATGTTTGTGGACCGGGAACGCCTTTCTGCTCTCGCGGCCATCTGTAAAGCGTAAGCTATCATTCCTCATTTTGTTCGTTACGGGTATACTAACCCCTTCTGGTATAGGTACAAACCCGATGTAAAAATTCGGTTCATCACGGAAGAACTTGGCTTTGAGTCCGACGAGCAGAGCGCCCGTTTCATTCTGGATCACACCTCAGAGGATTTGCTCCTGGAGAAAGACGGAGCTGTGAGGCTGGTAACTTCACTGAAAGCTGCCCAATTGTTTGAGGGAGCCAAAGCGGAGGCTCATCGGGTCGTGGATATCAAGGGGCAGATCTAAGGTCTGGTGCACCTTGAATCTGCCTTCACATACTTGACGGTGGTCAGTGACCACCCCTCGTACATCTACTGCATTTCCTTTTCTCTTTCGAGTCGCTTTGGTTTTTTCTCCCCGTTTCTTCTACGTTGTTTTCGGCATCCCGGCGTTATACATGTTCTTTCGACAGCTTACGGAGTTTGATACCCACCTTGACTTCAAAAGCATTGGTGGTACTTGGTTTCAAGGCGAGCTAGCATGGTGGACTGGTTGGTAGGTGACGTGCAGTTTGATGTTTATCTTACTATTAAATACGAACCTGAACTTTCCCATTATATTGACATATCTATAATATCCAAGTGAATACCAGTGGAGTGGAAATAAAAAGATTAGAAGTTAGGTAGGTTACCTAGCTAGATTCAATACACCAACACAAGGCCTTCTTGGCAGAAGGAGCGGTCTCGTCACCCTATCCTGCTTCATTGGTGAAGCGCCCGCATAGATAATCACTTGAACGCTTCAAGATTGAATACTCCTTGTAGGTATACATATACACACCCTGTCTCTCAACCACCTCCCACTCCTGATTTCAATTTTCTCTCTGCTTCCCATGAACTTCTCCTTCAGCTCAAGCTTGTCTCTTCAATCATCCAACAGCTCGTTCCTTTCTTATTGTCAACCAAAACGACCATTATGCTACCAAAATAGATTACGCGTTTAGTGGTATGTAGGGTGGAATTTATGGCTACAAGGTAGTCTTATAGTTTGACCCGACCTGAGAAACCCGCCATATATACAGCATACGCCCTTTTTGAGTACTTTAGCACTGCCTGGTGGCGGAATGGCCTTTTGGTTTCACATATCTGTGTCATGCCTGGCAGTCATCATCGCATGACTGGGGAGAGCCACTTCTACGAAGACATTAGCGATCGGATCTGCCATTACTGCCATAATTGTGGCATCCTGTCACCAACTGTCCTGTCCAGGAAGCTTCTTATGTCTTGTTCGTCAGGAACAACTCTACTGGGTGAGCATTGGCTAATAATAATTTTGAATAGGGAAGAAGGCTATACAGCCTCAACATGCCCTTGAACACGATACGAGGACAAGGGTGTGTCGATTTGAGACAAGGTCTGAACCATACCATACCGATTATGGTGATTATTTTGGCTAATATAATAGAAAGCCACGGAGCTAGGTACCCTCCTTGAATCCGCATCGCCAACATGTGGAATCAAGACATATTCGGAATATGATTCTAGCTCCCAGCACTGGGCGCGGCAGCCGCGTCATATGTCGTCGGCCTAAAAATGATCCCAGGCAGCTGAACCTTCTCCTCAATCTCAGAGGACACAGTCATCTACAGTCGGTCCCAAAACTGATATCCTCTGGAATTAACAGACCATTGCGTCACTAGAACAGTGCCAAGGCAGTCAGAAGTGCTTATGGTGTGCTATAGGGCTGTTTTATCAGGTTAACATCTTTCCACAGGAACGGACATTCGCGCTGACAGGGCAGCACACGCGTGCAAAAATCAGAAATTGACACTGGAATATATGGAGTATCCGTATCTTGTCCTATCCAGACACCCGGGGGGCGGGGGCGGGCGGATACCACAAGAGCGTTAAGATACCCAGATCTCTAGGATATGTCGGGGAGGATGCTGGAGATTAGGTACTTGGTATTGGAACTATATGACGTGTGGATTGAGAAGGATATGTCAACCAAAATGGTCTGGGTAACCCACTTAGTGGTATGTAAGGTGTAATATATGGCTGTAGATGTGGTTTGACAGTGTGTATATGATAAATAAGCAGAAGATGCCGGAGCCTCAGGCCTCTCACCTGCCTGTTTAGGCCGAGCGCTTTGCCTGCTTCCTCTAAAGGTAGTACAGAGGACCTCACCCATCCATTATCTATCAATCTGATTACCTCTTGAGCTTTGCTTCTTTCTTTCCCCTTGACAGAAAATAATGATGGCGTTGTAGATTATACCATGGTACTTCATAGTGACCTCATCTTTTGCTACCTGGAATGAGTCAAAGTCACGCACTTTTAACTTATCAACTCCCCACCAACTTCTACAACCAACACATTCAACCTGCGCTCCAATATCCTGCGCTCCAACATGGCGATACCACCTTCTTCTCTGGGCTCGCTTGGAAAGCTCCCAGCAGAACTCCGGCTACCCATTTGGGCGGATGTCATATCGTCGCGACAGCCTGCAGTCCTACGAGCAAGCCGTGCCATCTACGAAGAAATCGTGCATGAGCTCAATGATGTCCTTGAATACACCCTCTTTCCTGATTACAAACGCCCATGGCTCAGGCTACATTCTCCTCGGACAGGATTGACATTGGACATCACCAGACGCGATGGAAAGAAGATACGAAAGAGGCTTTGGCAACTTCCATACAATAACACTGTCCTGTCCATACATCTTATGGCGCCAAACCCCAAGAAGCCAGGCGAGATCGCTTTGCTATGGCAGAAGGCACACGATCTCGTGGGCATACTGAACCGTGCAAAATACCACAGGGCGCATGTCGTGCTCGTGTTTCGGGAGACTGAAGGACGCTTCTGGCAAAAGGACAACACACCCACCGAGAGTATACAACATCCGGGTGATCCACGACCGGATTATTTCATCGCATTTCTGCCGTTCTGTCGTCTGAGCAGAGTAAGAAAGATCGAAGTGGTGAGAGTAACACCAGAGGGCCAGAGAGTCCCGATTCGTTGGCGTTTTGTCAAGTACGGATGTGACTTCATCATGAATGACGGCTACAAAAACTATAATGATTCAGACTACAGCCGAAAACCGAAATACCAACGCATCGCTCGAGCCTTTGACGATGTTGATCGGATGCTGGCCGGAACTGACTTCTTCCTGGATACGGCGTTAGACTTACTCCCTGGACACACGGCCGCCATGCTCCGGCTTGACCGATTTGCGCGCTGGTTCACGACAAGTGACCCAGATGACTCGCCATACCAACGGCGGTGTCTCCTGACTATCCGAGAATATCCCCACGTGGTTGATACCTATGATCCGCGGCTTCGGAGGATGGCTGAAAGACGTGATGCCTTCGAGGTTTTCTATTTTGCTGTCGCTGGTGCCAAAAACAGCATCGCTGTCCGGTGCAATCGAAAAGATTGGTATACCGCATATCCCAATGGGATTGACATCCTCACCCGCGAGCGAATTAACTCAGAAAAAAGCCGCGTCCTCCCTCGAAAGAGATGGTTTGAGCCGCCAGGGTATTATTATGAATTCGCCAGAGACATCGATTCTTTTCTTCTCATCCAACGGGGAGATTTCAAGGCGAGAAGAAGAGTTCACTATCTCAGGACCAGAATGGACTGGTGTAACAACTGTGCGCTAGCTGGATTCAGAACGGGATGCTGGTATTGTGAGGCATATAAGCAACCTCTTCCCTATATCACTTACTGTGCTCTCGGAATGGAAACCCCAGCAGATTTTGAACCACCTCGCCTTGGCTGTATCTGCGAGGTCGATTAAAACAGACACCAATACTCCGAACCATTGGACTCTACCGGATAGAAATGATGGGAATATTCGACTTTTCTAGCTTATGATGTTAGCATTGCTAGATGGTGATTGGAGTAGGCAGACTTATATCTGAACGCGGCTCGATTGTGTACATCTCGATGACCGCTCATCATTCCTATGCAACTCTAGTTTGTATTTTTTTTATTTTTTATTTTTATTTTTACTTTTATTTTCAAAACCACACTGAATGACGCCCGTTGTACTGTGAAACGACACAGTGTTTGTGAATACCAGCCTGAAGAACTAGATCGCCACCATGCGACATAGTTCTGGATTTACAGTACAAGTGAAGAAGAGGTTGGTTCGTGAGACTTAGCTGCCATGCTCATTAGAGCCGTTGCAGCAGGGGCAGAGAACATAGACTACAGGTTCTGGTTCAAGTATGTACATAAGAGCTCATCTTCGCTTCGTCCTCGTAACCATCGAGGACTACTGGACCCCAGCACCACGTTGAGGTGCGAGCTCATCGCTGGGGATAAGTAGGGGCGTATATTGCAAGATATAATACGTGGTCACACGTGGGAATACGCACCTCTACTCACTTACCTGGTTTGGGCCCCCCTAGTCCTCCGAGGCCTCTTCCGTACGAGGCCTCTTGGCTCGTCGCGCCTTCTTCTGCGCCTTCGCTGCCATCGCCTCCTCCTTCTCTGTCAATTTATCCTTCGCCTTTCGAACCCCCTGCAGGGCTCCCTCCAGGGCTCGGCGACCAGCTCCAGGGTTCTTGTCGTAGATGGCCTTCAGCTCCTCATGCAGATTCCGTAGAATTACTGAGTCCGTTGCATCTCCAAAGGCCGCAAGGAATGGCTGACGGGGGCTAGCCGTTTTGTTGTCCTCAATCCCGTGGGTACCGCCGTCCGGGTCAGGAGATCCAGAGGCACTCCGTTTCCGTGGGCAGTAAGGAATCAGATCCGACATACTAGACCGCGTACGGGTCAGGTACGGGGTATGGGGCTTCCGATCCTCCGGTGTCCGGGATATTGATTGCAGCTGAGCATGAAAGGCGCCGCCTTGGAACGCTTGGGCGCGTTCTGGAGTGGTCGCACTTCGCAGGTCCGGGAAGGTGTCGGCAGACTGACGATGGGCCTCCGTCCGGTCGTCCTTGTGTCTGGGTGCTTGCCTACCTTGACTTGCCTCGTAAAAGCGAATGATCCGCTGCCAGGTGGAATAGTAGTGACGAAACTGCGAGTCTGGCAAAATCTGTTGGAGGGAATCCAGGTCAACGTGAAGGAACTCGGTCCAACGGCGCGGGTCCTTTTCCGCTCCAACTTTTGCGTGGCAGACTTCGTTTCGTTTACTATACACCAAGATTGCCAGTTTTGCCATTTCCAGGTCCACCTCGTAGCCCTGTTGTTGAAGATGCTCGACAGCATCTTCCAGGGCTTTGGTGTTGCTTCGGGCTTCTGGCGAAGAGTACTGAGACTCTTCGGTTAGCTTGTCACGAAACCGAGCGACCCTACCGTCAATGGCAGACTTCCGAGCAGGGCTCGATTCAGCCTCTCTGAGTCGGTTCCATAGTCTACCTGCGTAGTCGCCGAGCCGATGAAGGAAGTGGTACCGGCGTACACTCTCCGCGGAATCCTCGTAGATATCTTCTGGCTCATCTTCGATGAGCCAGTCGATACCTGGACCCCACCAGGTGCTGCCAGCTGCAGGGGGAGTGGCGTCGGGGTGTTCTAGTGTCATATCAGCCATGGTCATATCCAGGGAGGCCAACTTACCGTCTGTAGATTGGGAATCATGGGTAGAACCCGCGGTTTCCACCTCGTCGCTGAGTACATGTCAGTCTAGCCATACAAGACCTATCCGCCAAAAGGGACCACATACACCGGTGTCGACATAATCGCGCCAACAAAAAAGGGGGGCAGGAGTATCAAAGAGAAGAAAAAAAGTGTCGGGAAGCTTGCTAGGCCAAAAAAAGGGAAAATGTGATAGCTGGGTACGAAGCTGAGAGGAAGAAGAGAGGAAACAGAGCCAGAAGGGAGAACACCCCCGTATACACCAGTCTCAATGTGAACACGGAAGGCACAGTTGGATAGGATCTCTCATGGCAACGCTTTTGCTACTGAAAGAGGAAACCATGAAGCCATACCATGATGCAATAGTACCGCGTACGGCAGCCACCACACATTGTGCCATGCGGAAGAAGAGGGTGAATGATACAATAGCTACCTGATAGACTTTTTGGAAAGTTCCCTTAGTTTTGCTTTACCTAGGAAGGTCTATTTCGACAAAATACTGATGAGAATTGTATAAGGCAAAAGGCCATCGAGATGTACACATCTAGACGCGGCCAGTTATGGATGTGTCTGTTCTAGACCATCACCATCTACTAATGTTAGCCTAATAAGCTTGAAGTGATGGACAAGAACTTACGAAAATGGCTCCGTGTGCAGATATACTTCCTCGACAGTGTCACCCAAAACCCTCCTCTGTGCCTCAGCCGCCGCATTTCGCACATCATGCAGCATAGATGCCGAGCCGCAGACATAGATACCTACTCTCTTGTTCCCACCGGCTGTAGTAGCAGCTGCGACAATTGCAGGTAGGTTGGGCCGCTGGGCCTTCTGTATCTCACCCTTCTCGGAACCGCTGTTGTCCAACGGGACAGGCGCAACATCTTCTGCACCTTTGGCTCCGTCGCTGTCCGCAGGAATCGCTGCACATGTACTCCCTGTGTCGTCCATAGTAACATGGATGGACGTGGTGACACGGTCTGCAGACACCTTATACTTGGCCATCATCCTCTCGATCTCACTGTAGTACCACTCTGCCACTGCCTCAGATCGCGTCGCATACACTACCTGGATCGTTCCGTTCCGAACGCCAGCGCGCATAGTGGCCTCCACCATGCCGAGTGAAAAGCCACCGCCAGAACCACCTGATACAACCACCACCGTATCGAACCGAGTAGCTTCAGGACTAGATTCCTTCGGTACACCGCCATACGGGCCCTCGAGGAGGACAGTCTTTGAAGCACCCGGGTGTTGGCTCGCTATCTTTGCCAGTCGTGCGGTGAATCCGCCCCGCGGTTTGATATAGAAGACCATTTCACATGGCTTCCCGCTCTGCTCGGGGTCATGCGAGACAGAGCAGATAGTGAACGGGTGAGCAGTCAGACAGTGCAAGCCGAGTTGTGGGGTGAGAAATCGGATGAATACATGCTGACCTGGCGTCCAGGTCATCAGGGTGGGTATGCGGATGCGGACTAGCCCGCATGGAAGAAGATCAAGGATCGCTTTGTGGCGGCCATGGATCAGGTATGTGCGAATCTGAGATATGGACAGACTGAGGATATAGATTGCCCCGGCGGCGATGAAGTAGTCCCTTCGCTTGTTAGTGGGGGATGCTCGGAGGGGAGATGGACGTACCATGAAGACAGGCGGAAGTCGCAGTGGAAGAAAAAGAATAGGATGAAAAGCAGCGCCGCGAGGAAGTGGGTTGCTTTGAAGAATTCGTAGAATCGGTTTCTAGAAAGTCAATATTGTGTCTTTGAATGTACGTAGGTAGGTGCTATATTAAGGGGACGCACCGAATCGCAGGTAGAGACATCACGGTCAGATAGGCCTGCGGTATGAGGGCCGCCACGCCTGTCCAGTACGTGACGCTCGTGTTCCACTGCTTGACCATGTCTCCCTTGTCAATGTGGTAGATGATAAAGGGGAATGTGTGCACCAAAGCCAGGACGAACATGGCATAGCTAGTCCAGTGGTGGAAGACCTGCAGCTTTTCGTGCGGCACGCCGGTCAACATGGAGATGAGGTTTGCCTTTGCGCCGAGCGCTCTGCAGTCGTTAGCCGGAGGCTGTCTGCCTAACTTCTATGGCGATAAGGTTACGAACAAGACAAACGGCAACAGCGCAAGCGCCATCCATCCTGCGCGCGTTGCAATGGGCGGGCTACTCCCGTAAGACACGGTGTCGGTGTTGGGCCAGTAGTATGGCTTCGGACCGAGTGTCATTGCTGAGCTGTTAGTCCCGTACAAGTAGGAAATATTGCGTAGATCATACCGAAAAAGAAAACAGTGCCTATAATCCCCAGAAGCAGCACCCCCAGAGATGACGAATTGTGTACCAGCGCCGGAAACTGGAAGCATTTGTAGGCGAGGTATCGCGCGACCGCCGTCGGTCGTCGCCAGAGAGCGCTTTGCTTGAGACGCTGGGGAGAGTATATACTTGCCAAATGAGCAATAGCAAATACTCCCACTGTCGCGCAGAGGAAGTATATGGTGTTGAGTGCGTAGACATGGTCTGCTTCATACCTGTTCAATCACTGGTAAGTGTCAACCGACTAGCTACATGCATTGAGAAAACGCACCAGTATCGCCAATGCCCCCGTCGATAAGCACATTGCTCCGGCGTCAGTTTGCACGTGTCTGCGCGCGAGGAATGTAGGGTGACCGGCTGGTCGAGCCAGGGGAGCCCGGAGGTATGCTCGGACATGTGCATCATCGTGCCGGCTGCGGAGTTCCTGATGGACGGAGGGATCGACCGGAGAGAAACAGCAGCCATCTGCATTAAGAAGCACACGGCGGAGCCGCCCTGATGGTGTGTTGCATCTGGCAGAAAGCAGTGTTGCTGTCATCGACGGTTGCAGTTAGGGCTGGCCAGATCCCGTGCGCTCATTGGCCGAGACTGCTCGCAATTGAGCAGATTTCTACAACACAGACGCTACAGTGAGCACATTTGCGCGCGATCTACTGGACGTATCAAATAGGTGAATAATGAGTAGCAGGTTGATTGATGCAGGTATCGATAGGAGATCGTGCTCGTTTCATTAACATAACACAGAACAACATGACAAGTAACTACTACGGAGGCCCCTAATTCGACTGCAGCGGCACCGCGATATTCGCACTAGCACTGGCCCCATTGATCATCCCCGTCGAGCAGGACGGCGTCTCCCCCCAGAGGCCATGGTCATGCAACGCTTTGTACCCCCCACGCAGGCTATCCGCCTCGATGCCCTTGGCGCGCAATACACTCGTGGCTACTCGGGCCGTGTCGCCATTGTAGCAGATGACCAGCACATGGGGATGGTGCTCATGCAGCGGGCCCACCACCGCCAGGTCCGTGAACACGGATTCGAGTTCGCGCCATTGCGCCTCGAGGACTTTAGGATGGGCGAAGGGCTTAGGTGTGTGGGAGTCGAGGGTCTGTAGCGGGAGGTTCACCGAGCCAGGCAGATGCCACGAGTCAAAGTCTGCGGCTTTGCGCAGGTCCAATACGCAGCATTGCGGGCGCAGCACGAGAGAGCTCAGTAGGCTCTGCGACACGGCCGTGGAGGGGGTCTCGTAGAAGTGGGTGAACAGGACGACGGGGCTGCGTTCCCAGCTTTCGTCGTATCGATAGAGGTCGACCTTGGTCAGGTGCTGTGAGAGTCAGTATTTCTGGTCGGCAGAATTGCATAAAGCAACTCGACGTACCTCATTCGTGATTGGATGGAACTTCTCAGACCCCAGTTTGTCGAAGTACTCCCCAATATACTGGTACGGCAGATCGCAGCACAAGAACACACAATGGATAGATCCATCCGGCCCGCGCAGCTCACCCAAAGTGTCTGCTGCCTTCCGCTTCTCCAGCATCTGGAACAGCCCCTGCAGATTAAACCCGGACGACGGACCACAGACAATCCCCTCGCGACAGAGGTCCAGCGACAGTGCAAACGAATCCGGCGAAGTCACCTCCTCAATACTATCCACAGCCTCCTTCCACGGAAACTCGACCGGCTTCATCAGCGCAAACGACCGCGGACCCGGCACACGGTCCCCAGGCGCAGTGCACACGCCCAGCCGGAAGACCGACGGCTTCGCCTTCTTGAAGTACGTGCCCAGCCCCGTCATGGTGCCGGACGTGCCCATGCCCGCGCACAGCACGTTGATTTCCGGCAGCTGCTTGAAGATCTGAGGTCCCGTCCAGCGGATGTGCGAGCCCCAGTTGTCGTCGTTCTCGTATTGGTTCGGGTTGAGGATGTGCTCGGATTCCAGGGCCATGCGCCGCGCGCTCTGGATGCCGCCGCGCTCGTCGTACGGTTCCGGCTGCGAGGGCCCGCCGAACAGCGTGATGTTCAGCCCGAAGAACTGCATCAGGCGGAGTTTGGCTTCGCTGGTTTTGTTGCTGAGGAAGGCGCGTGTGTCTTGGATGCCGTGCATGACCCGCGCGATCATGGACATGGAGATGACGGTTGACCCGGAGCTGTACTCGATGATGGTCTTGGTTTGGCCCGGGACTACGCTGTGCTCCAGCATGTTCATCGCTGGGGAGTCAGTAGGATTCACTTGGATGAACGGGGAGGGTGGTTGTACCTGGCATGGCCTTGACGTTGTTGGCGGGATGCATGGTCATCAGCTTTGCATAGATCCGCACGCCATCTTTATGGAAGGGATTCAGGTGCTCTGGCAGTTCGACCAGCGGGAGAGGGGGCTGGGAGTCCGGATCAAAGTACTTTTTCAGAGAATCCGGTCCGAAGTAGACATTGAGCTCGTTGGTATTTGGCATGGCGTACAGTCACTGAGATAGAGATAGGGTATGGAAGAGTATGCAAGGAACGGAGTACCCGAGGAATGTAGTAGACAGCTCACGTACATATGCATGCAGCGCAAGACGCCGTCTTATAGAGGGGCAGACTACCACCGCATTATATCTACTGCAGAAACTCACGCAGACCCCCTCGTCTGCCCTGGTGGCTTGACCCACCGCATACGGGATCCTTCACAGGACCCTGATGTCCACTGGACCTTGCGGTGGATATATGCCTTTGATGTCGTCAGGGACCTTGCGAGTCTCCCCGATGCAGATCATGCTGTGCGTATCGCGGTGATAGGGCCATAAGGCCTGCTTCGTCGGCAACGTTTCTCATGCCAAGGACATGAGTTGCTGATCTTGCGGAGGTCTTTGTTGTGCATGCGAGAAGTAAAACTCTGACATTGCAGTGGCTGTCCGGATTCGTTCGGGAGTCTGGAAGCGGTTGTAGTCCGGTCAGATTGATGTCCAATGGGTTGTATACATTTTGACTTTGGCATGAAATAATTCATTCAATTGATTTGCGTGGAATGCTGCTATGGAAAAGGCAGATACCTTCTACATCGATATGGTTCTTCAGGAGGCTATACAGCACCCCCGAGAAGCAAGCAGCCCCTTTTGGCGGCCAGACATCCCCACAAGGTACCTATATCACAATAACGATAATATAATAATAACACTGCAGGTCCTCAATCCGAGAATTGAACATCACCTTGGCAAGAGGACTTATGAGGACCTTATGAGAGTGTTTGAGCAGGTTTCGGCATGCTGGCGCTGATCCCTGCCGTCTAGCCCTAGCTACTAGTATCATCTCACGGAATTCCTCAGCGTCCACCGCAGCAACAACCTCGGAATGAATTATAATGGATTATGGAAGTAGATGGATCTAGAATGGGCCTACAGGCCCGCCCACAGGATTATCCTCGCTTAGCAGGCTCCGTCGCTCTCAAGGTTGCATCGGTTTAAAGCAGCGGTCCCCTGTTCTGCATCTTCAGCCAGACGCCCGGGAAGTATAGACGAACAATGGCTGGAGCAGTCTTACAGCAACAGGGCAACAGTCCCTCTAACACACCCTCCGTCTCTGCATCAGACACCGACTCAACCGGCGATTCCAAACCCGCCGTCCATGTCTTCAACGAGCAGACCAACTATGTGCCTCCCAGAACTATCATCACGGTACCTCACTGCTTTACACCTCCCCCTCCCGTACCCCAGCCCCTACTAACAGCATAGATCTTCCTCGCCTGCTCGACAGTCGACCTCATCGCCCTGATGGACCAGACCACCCTGGCCGCCAGTCTGTCCATCATCGGCAACGCCCTGCACGCCAGCGACCAGACCTCCTGGATCTCCGGCGGATACTTTGTGTACGGCCCCGTCTCCCCCTTCAGCGCATAGTTGTACTTCACGCAACTAACTCTCCCAGTACATCAACCTGCTTCCAGCTCCTCTACGGCCGTCTCTCCGACATCTGGTCGCGGAAGCTCGTCCTCTTCGTCGGCCTCTTCATCTTCTTCACAGGCAGCCTCGCCGCCTCGCTCGCCCAGTCCGCCACGCAGCTGATCGTCTTCCGCGCCTGGACCGGCGTCGGCGGCGGCGGCCTGATGACCGTCGCGCAGATGATCGTCAGCGACGTCGTGCCGCTGCGCGAGCGCGGCAAGTACCAGGGGATTCTGGGCGCCGTGGTGGCGATCGCGAACGGCATCGGCCCCGTCATCGGCGGTGCGCTGGCGGCCACCGCCCCGGACGGCTGGCGCTGGATCTTCCGGCTCAACCTGCCGCTGACGGCGCTGTGCGCCGCCTGCGTGTTCTGGTTCATGCCGCTGCGCAAGGTGACGGGCGACTGGCGCGTGAAGCTGGCGGCGGTCGACTTTGCCGGCGCGGCGCTCGCGCTCGGCGGCACCGCCGTGCTGCTGCTGGGGCTGAACTGGGGCGGCGGCGAGTATGCGTGGCGGTCGGCGCAGGTCGTCGCCACGCTGGTGGTTGGCGGTGTCGTGTGCGCGCTGTTTGTGGTGTGGCAGTGGAAGGGCGCGCGGTATCCGCTGGTGCCGATGCATATCTTTGCCTCGCGCATCGTGAACGGCGCCTGTCTGACCATGTTCATTAACGGGTGGAACTTTCTCGTCCAGGTGTACTATATCCCGACGTTCTATCAGCTCGTGTTTGGGTACTCGACCGTCAAGGCGGGTGCGATGCTCCTCCCCATCACGCTGATGCAGAGTACGTGTCCCTGTGTGTGCTGTGCGGTTTGATATGGCACAATGCTAAACGAAGCAGCGGTAAGCAGCACCGTCTCCGGCTTGGTCGTCCACTGGGTCGGCCGGTACAGAGAGTGCATCCTCTTCGGCTGGATGATCTGGGCCGTCGGTCTGGGCCTCTTCTCGACCCTCGACAAGTCCTCCGGCCTGGGAAAGCAGATCGGATATGGACTGTTGACGGGCGTGGGCGTAGGAAACACTCTGCAGCCGTGAGTGCGTCCATCATGTCTGTAGTACATCCCACTGACCCGCAAAGTGCCCTCATCGCCGTGCAAGCCGGCGTCGACCGCCGCGACATGGCCGTCGTGACATCTTTCCGCAAGTACGTCTCACGGCCCATACTAGAGAGCATAGAGACTGACTCAAGCAGCTTCGTCCGAAACTTGGGTGGAACCCTCGCTCTCGCCATCGCCGGAACCATCATGTAGGTTCCCTTCTCCTATCCAGACGACGGTGCTAACAAGACAGAAACAACATGGTCGGCTCTTCGATCTCCAGCTTGGGACTGTCGGACTCTGAACAGCGGGCTTTCCTGTCCAGTCCTCAAAACTACCTCTCCAAACTTCCAGCCGACGAAGCAGAACATGCGCGCGCACTGCTAATTCCGGCGTACAAACGCGGGTTCCGCATCATTTTCCTCATTGGGGCGGCATTGGCAGCATTGGCCTTCGTCTTGGCCTTTGTCCTGATGCCGCAGGTAGGCCTGAAACGAGACGACGATGAAAAGCTCAAGGCGGAAGGCCGCATGAGGGTGAAGGGCGAGATTGGACATGACGATGTCGAGCAAGAGCCGACAGCTCAGACGGGTCAGGGCCTACAGAACGAGAGGGAAGCTGAAAAGAACACAGAGAAAAACTAGAAAACCATGTTGGATCGTGTGGGATACTAGCAGAAATTAAAATTGTATAATAATTCACCCGTGAAGGAAGGTCATGTCTCATCACATCATAATAATCAGCAACCTGTTTTGTATACCGACTCCATCAAGACGCCGGTCCAAAGCACCAAGACAAGAAGACGCTCATATCTCGTCAATGACCACCACTCGTTCAACAACCCAGTCCACGAGCACCTGTCCCTCCATCCTCCACTGCCCATCCTGCCACACGTCGTGCAGCCAGTAGCTCCAGCTCCTGCCCTGTCCTCGTCGCGGGACTCGACCGGGCCCAGGTTTCATGGAAAAATCACGGTTCACTTGCAACTTTCCCACTCCCACGCCAGAAGCAGCCTGTCGGGCGTTCCACTCGCGCTCCGCCTGTTCACCGGCTCGGCGCGCCACTGTCTCTTCGTCCTCATCTTGGTAAAGCTCGCACTTGGAGCATTGCGTGCATCTGGCACCAGGAAGGACACGGAAGTGCTCACAGAAATGGTGGTAGCCTTCGGGTTCTTCTTCATCAGAGTCACTCTCGGGGTCCTCAGGCTGAGGTCCAAGAATGCCTGCTCCCCCAACAGGACGGATATTTTCCTGTTGGTTCATGCGTCGACGACGCCGTCTGTTCCCCGGATTGTTGGGGCCATTCCGGGCCAGAGGTCCAAGGCCCTTGCGGCAAAGATAACACATGGAATATCCGCATACACAGGTGAGTTTGTTGCAGCCAGAGGATTTCACAAATGATGTGCCACATCGGGGACAGGTGCGTTTTACGGCAGCCGTTCGAGCGGCCTCAACTGTAGCCCGGAGATCCAGTAGCAGTGGCTCGTGGCAGACATGTGGATCCCGCCACGGTTTCTGACAAGTAATGCAGCTAGTCTCCCGACAAAGGGAGTTGGCGCAGATGAATTTCTTCGGGCGGATCGTGAGGTAAAGGTGGAGTATAGAGTTGCGCAGAATAGTAGGAATAATCGTAGAATCCACAAGATGTAGCATCACCAGGGGAATCGCGAGTAAGGGTATCAAATCAAGCAATAACAAAGTCATTAGAATAGTTGGAATCAATCCATCCCGGCGAAACCGCCAGGGAATCCCCCCTTCCGGAGGATGATACGCCGAGTCGACCTCGGCATAGGAGCAAAAGGGGCAGCGGACAAGTTTCAACTGAGTCCTCATCAGGGCGTCCGAAGCCAACCGCGTCTCAAACTTGGTATATGTCTCCAGGCCGGATTTCTCTAGAAGAAGAGCTTGCTTAACGACATCAGCGTTTAAACTCCCAGTGCACGGCTCGTCCGAGACAGGTGATAAGCATTTCAGGGTCGATCTCTCCGTGTCGATCGACTGCGACCAACCCTGTCCAAAAAGCGCTTCGTGAATTGTTCGGCGAATGCAGTCATAACACATGATGTGCGCATTTTCGGAGCACGTGGCAATCTCCTCAAAAGTTACATCTGACAGGCAACACTCGCACTCGTACAGCGCTTCGGCCGCGATGGCTTCGTGTACGTTCAGTTGTACCGCCAGTCGACGGTCCTGTTCCTCCCGAGCCTCCTGATTCGCCCGGAGAAGCGGCACCAGCAGCGCATCGTGCAGTTCCTGATCCAATTCCGAACAGCCCGTCTCTTTCAGCCGTGGTATGAGCTCCCCTTCTGAGTGTCGATGCCACACGATCAGTGGGTGGTGCGGGTCGCGCTCCCGCTTGTTCTTGAAGGAGGGAAGGATGTTATTGATTGTGGCTCGCCAGGTCTTCCGCGACAGGTCCCGGAGAGTCGGGTGCGCACGCATGTAACTGAAATTCACTTCCGCAAGCACCGCCTCGACCGTACTCTTGCTGAGGCCGCTGAACTCCTTCGTCAGAGCCGCCTTGACCGCAGCTTTGTACTCGGTCGACCGGAAACGCTCATTCGCAGGAACTATAACTTCACCGGTTTCTGTACGAGTTCGGACACCACGTTCAATATTATCGCTACCTTCTTTAGTTCCCTCCGGAACTTTCCATCTTCCGGCTACCCACTCGTCCTTGTGGCGAAGGAGCTGTTCGGTGCAGACATGGAGCCGGCTATTGCCGTCGAATCGAACGAGGAGTTCCCGAAAGACCTCGATTTTCACGTCAGGGAATATCCTGGCCAGTGTCTCGAGATCGTGATTGAGTTGCTCTTCCTCTTGTCTCGGGTCGTGGGCGGAGGTCGGCGCGGGGCGGGACCGTGTGCCAAAGGGGTTGTTGCGCAGAGCTTCGGCAATGGTGGTCGAGATGGTGCCGTCGCTAGACATTTGGGTAAGATTTGGCCTCGCAAAGCGCGAGACAGATAGCGAGAGCACCATCGTTGCATGCAAGGGCGTCTGACATGCTACATGGTCGAAGGAGATGTGGTAAGAGGGGGTGGGAGAAGGAACGAGAACGAGAAGCAGGAAAGCGTGAGACAGGCGGCAGGAACGAGAGAAGTGAAATTGTGGAAGACGGAAGGAGGAGGGATGATGGAGGAATGAGTGAAGTTATGCGATGGAGATGGTGAGGTTGAATACGGTTACATAATCGGCCACCACCACCACCACCACCACATTCCCTCCACTCCACATATCCCAGCAGACTACAAGAATGAGCACAAAAACAATTTACGAGGAATGCAGTCTGGTCATTTTGAGCACTGACAGCGACATACACCAGGAATGATCCCAACAGTCTGGACTCAATCCGCTACTTCAACAAAGGATAACTTGAACTTATGCAATTGCCAAAGACAGAAACGTGATATCTATTTACACAATTTGTTCACTCCGAACCCAGAAAATATATAGAACTGACTGCGACACCCCGCATTATTTTACAGCTTAGCCTTGGCTCCCTCCAAAAGCTCAACACCGGCGCCGGTGATGGCAGGCTTGCCGGTCTCGACTACGGTGGTCTGGAACAGGACGGTGTTGCCCTCCTTCCACATCTCGGTCTTCAGGGTCTGGCCAGGGAGCACGACACCAGCGAAACGGACCTTCAGGTTCTTGAAAGCACCGAACTTGGTGAACACGTGCTTGCCGGAGACGCCCAGAGAGCAAAGACCGTGGAGGATGGGGGTCTTGAAGCCACCAACCTTGCTGAACTCGGGGTCAATGTGGAGAGGGTTGCGGTCACCGTTGAGACGGTAGAGGGCGGCCTGGTCCTCAGAGGTCTTCTCCTCAATGACGGCATCGGGCTGACGCTTGGGAGGCTTGTAGGCGGCGGTGGCAGCCTTGGGGCGGGCGGCCGTGGGCTTGGGCGAGCCACCGAAGCCACCGCTGCCACGGATGAAGACGGTGGACTCGTTGTAGAACAGGTCCTCGCCGGTCTTGGCGTCCTTGGTGGTGTAGCCGGCCACGACAAGAGCGGCGTTGCCCTTGTCGACAACGTCGATGAGCTTGGGGTAGGTGACAGTGTTGGCGGCGGTGGGGATGGGGAACTTGCGGATCTCCATGTACTGCTCACCGTGGAGAAGCATCATGGGAGAGAAGTTCTTGACAATGTCATCCATGTTCCAGGGGGTGGCCGTGTTGAACCACGGGATCACACCGTAGGTGGGGAGGGCCTGGAAGTGCTCGTTGTTCTCGTACACGAGAGGCAGGTCGGTGCGCTTGGCGCCCAAGCTGAGGTTGTAGAGGATGATATCACGGTCGACGTAATCGAAGGGAGTACCATCGCTCTTGGCCTGCTTGGCCTTCTCGATGTTGGCAAGGATGTCGTTGCCACCCTCCTCGGCACCACCAGCGCGGTTGGCCATGTTGGCCATGACCTTCTCAGTACCGGCCTGGCCGTCCTCGGGGTGATCGGCGCGGCCGTCATCGAAGTTGGCAATATCGTTCCAGTGCTTGAGCACCTCCTCGGGGGTCAGCTTCACGTCCACGGGGAAGCCGTGACCGCCGGTGCGCTGCCAGCGGGTGCGAGCGAACCAGCCACTGCCGCACTCGAAGAGACCCTTGGTAGAGGGCTCCGGAGCCATGTCCGAGCCGAGGAGGACCACAAGAGGAGCAACGTAGTCGGGCTTGAATGCCTGCACCATCTCCTCGGGCATGATGGTGCGGGTCATGTTGGTACCGGCGTTGGGGGCAATGGTGTTGACCTTGATGTTGTACTTGGCACCCTCGAGGGCGAGGGTACGGGAGAAACCAAGGATACCCAGCTTAGCGGCAGCGTAGTTGGCCTGGCCAAAGTTACCGTAGATACCGCTGGTGCTGGCGGTGTTAATGATGCGACCGTACTTCTGCTTCAGCATGTAGGGCCAGGCGGCCTTGGTGACCTTGTAAGTGCCACGGAGATGGACGTTGATCACAGGGTTCCAGAGGTCGTCATTCATGTTGGTGAAGGCCTTGTCACGCAGGATACCAGCGTTGTTCACGAGGATATCAATGCGACCGAAGGCATCGATGGCGGTCTTGATGACGGCGTCACCGTCCTCGCAGGAGGCCTTGTTGCCAACGGCCTTACCGCCCATCTGACGGATCTCCTGGACGACAGGCTCGGGGTCAACCAGATCGTTGACGACGACGGAGGCGCCGTACTTGGCGAACAGAAGGCAGTAAGAGCGGCCGAGACTAGATGGTTGTTAGTGAGGAGGTTCTGAGGGTTTTGAGACGCATGACCGAGGGCTGTCAACTTACCCGTTACCACCACCGGTGACGAGGGCCACCTTGCCCTTGAAGTCAGGCTCCTGACCAGCCTGGGCGCTGGGGGTCTTCAGGCCATCCTCGAGCAGAGACATGAAGTCGGCGGGACCGGTAGGGTAGCTAGGAGCGGAGAAGTCGTTGACATCGTTCCACTTGCGGGCAATGGCACCAGGAGTGAGCGAGGCGTCGGTCTTGAGGAGAGCACCCTTGGCACGCTCCCAGCGCAGCTTAGCGACGTGACCACCGCCAACTTCGTAGATGCCGCCGGACTCGGTGGTGTTGGAGGAGTGGCACAGGACGGCCACGAGAGGGACCACCCACTCGGGCTTAAGGTTCTCGAGGACCTCCGGGGGCATGACGGTGGCGGTCATACGGCTAGCGGCTGTGGGAGGTCAGCAACAGCGCTCCTAGAAACTGGAAAGCTACCGGGATCGCACATACCAATGGGGGCAATGACGTTGGCAATGATGTTGTACTTGGCACCCTCCTTGGCCAGGGTCTCGGTGAAACCGACCTGACCGAGCTTGGCGGCCGAGTAGTTGGCCTGACCGAAGCTACCGAAGAGACCGGCAGCAGAGGCCGTGTTAATGACACGACCGTACTTTTGTTTCCGGAAGTGAGGCCAAGCAGCGCGAGCGCACTGTCGAGAAAGCTGTCAGACAAAGCACACGAGCCAAACGCGGAAAACGGGATGCCCACCTTGTATGCACCATAAGTGTGGACCTTGTTGATGAGATCCCAGTCCTCATCCTTCATGTTCTTGAAGCTGATATCGCGGAGGATACCAGCGTTGTTGATGAGGATATCCACACGACCGAAGCTCTTGATGGCGGTGTCGATGATGGCCTCGCCATTCTCGACGCTGTCGTAGTTGGCGACGGCCTTGCCGCCCGCGGCACGGATCTCCTCAACGACGACATCGGCAGCCTATGAAGGTTTTCATGTTAGTGCTGATGTTGCTGTGAGGGGTTTTGGCATGTGACGTGACGTACCTTGGAGGACTTGCCCTCACCCTTGTGAGAAGCACCGAGGTCGTTGACGACGACGTTGGCGCCTCGCGAGGCGAAGAAGGTAGCGTAGGCCTTACCCAAGCCACCACCAGCACCCGTCACGACGACGGTCTGGTTGTCAAACCGCAACTCCGACATTGTGATGTGTGAAGAGGGAGAGATGGAGAGCGATACAACGAGAGAAAAGGAAGAGGGGAAAGGGTATAACTAAATCACAGGGAGAAGGAGTGAGAAAAGAAGAAGCTCGAGGATAGAGCAGATAGTTATAAGAGGGGAAGTCTGGGGGGAAGAAGAGGAGGAGACGATGAAGTTAAGAAAAGAATCCGGGGGAAGAAGAGACGGTGGTCATGCTCGGCAAGGTGGGCAAAGCGAACCTCGGCATCTCGCAGTGTCTGGAAGCTCGGAGGTTTTGCTGTCACCGCCCGGCGTTTTGAGCTAGGCAGATGACGACCCATCACATGCCGATTCTTCCACTCTGTTGTTGTCTTGATGTCCACTGCCACGGTCCACGGCCCTAGGCGGGATTTCGGATTGATTATTCCATTGTAAACATTCTCCTTGGTCAATGCAAGCTCAGTTCCAGGGTGGATGGAATTTCTGTGAGTCGTACACGTACGTACACTGCATACGTGAAGAGGCATAAGGAATTGTGTTGGATGACATAACACATGCAAATAAGCTAGGCCGAATAGGGACAATACAACTTAACCTATTCAGCCCATGTGAAAGGCGGCTACGTCATGCCACGTGAGGACTTACTCATCCGTCAACTGGCCAGCACTGCATGGGTAAGGCTCAGCCGAAATATATTCCCAAACATCCACCTACACATCGTCAGCGATCGTTACCCCACTCCTCCAATCACTATGCTTAGGCCGCTTTTTCTTCTCCAAATGCTCTGCTGCACGTTAAATCTACTAGTTCCCTAGTAGAAAGCTCTCGGTCGATACGGAGTGGGTATTTCCGGCCCCGGGATTCTCCCCAGATCCGCTCGGCTCACCTCCGATACGCCAGCGCTTTGTATATAGCCAACAACCTTCACTTCTCAGACTTCAATACATCCTCATCTTTTCACCTTCACAGCGACACAATGCCCCGGATTGTTGACGACAAATCCCAATACTGCATCCCGTTCCTCCTGGACCGGTTAAAGCATCACCAGGCGCGCCATGGAAACAACCCCCACCAATACCCCACCTTTCTTCCTCGGCCTGAATGGCGTACAAGGGGGCCCGGGAAAACCGTCCTGGTAAGCCGCAAGATTGCCGCATCTTGCACAGTGTGACCTGTTTGACAGCCACATTAATACACGCAACAGGTCTCCACCCTCCAATCCACCCTGCGTGCTCCCCCATACTCCCTCGCCGTCGTCACCCTCTCTCTCGATGATCTCTATCTACCCCACGATCAGCAAGTCAGCCTCGCCCGATCTGTCCCAGACAATCCGCTGCTGCAACATCGTGGCCAGCCCGAGACCCATGATCTCCTCCTAGCGAAGCAGGTCTTTGATTCCTTGCACGCCGAGCTTTCCACCCCCATACCCCAGTATGACAAGTCCGCCTTTGCGGGACAGGGAGACCGGGTCCCCGCGTCGCAATGGGAGATTGTCAACGCGGATGGACAGGAAAAAGTCAAGGTGGTGATATTCGAGGGTTGGTGTGTCGGGTTTCGCGCGTGGGATGATGAGGTCCTTCGACAAAAGTGGGAGGAGGCCGTGCGTCTGAAGGAACAGGGTGGGTACAACGGCCGATTGGGCTATGTAAAGTTTGAGGACGTCAAGGCTGTGAATGATGCACTGCGAGACTACGACGCCATCACAGAGTACGTTCCCATCCTCAGGTCCGATGAGAAACAGGCTGATCATTATGTGTAGTCGGCTAGACGCCTTGATCCACATGTACGTTATCCTCTCCGATGGGATATCGGACTATACTGACAATCTGCAGTGACGCCCAAGATCTCCATTTTGTCTACGACTGGCGCCAGGAACAAGAGCGAACTCTCCGCGCTGCCAAGGGAACCGGCATGACCGAAGAACAAGTTACGAACTTTGTCAATGGCTGTGAGATTGGCTTGTCCGCTGATTTCGTCACCCTGGAGCTAATATGGATAGATTATCCTTCTTACGAACTCTACACCGAAACGCTCCGCCAGGGCACCTTCAAGCCCATTCCCCACGCTACAACAGCAAACGCGCCGACAACTGGCTGGGAAGGGAGACAGCTCCGTCTCATTGTCAATCGAGACCGGCGCGTACAGGAGGTCGTTCCGATCTAGGTTAGCCGGAGCCTTTGGGTTCGTACATAGACCACGACAGTATACAATCGACGACACTTTACGGCACTGATCCGCTGAACTATAGCCCTAAGCCAGATTACAGTCGAAGAAAGTGCTCGGGAGACTTTTATCTGTCGATATTGGGTTCAGTGACTGCCATGATACACGCTCAATGTCCTCGTGAATAGATTCACCTTCACCGGCCAGACAGATGGTCTTTCGACAACCTTTCTCATTCCAGAAAGGGTGCAGTGTTGAAAAGTAATGCTATTGACCAAAGACGTATGAGCCAAAGCATTGCTGATCAGAGTGGGCCCACAAAACCAAACCAAAAGCGGACACTTCAGTAGAAATCCGTATATCCCGGCCTTAGCCGTGCAGAGCTCCAGCGACGTTGTACAAGCTGTTGCCGTTTTCGGAGCCGGGCTGTCACAGAACTTCTGGGGGAGACGTCATCCAACAACACATGTCTTTTTGCTCCCAACCGAAACGCTCATATTGGAGGGAAAACAGCCATGAAAACAGGGGTTACCCCATACTTGGACTGTGGATATGAGACGATGTCACGCAGCCAGCGATAGGACCGTGCAAGACTGACGATTATCTGTCGCAACAAGTCAGAGCACCAGGTGCACGTAACACTGTCTCCGCATGACCATAGCATGCCCACTGACTGACGATGCCGACTAATGGTAATATATGGCATGGATATGATACATTGCCTGATCATTGCATAATTATGTCTGGTTTGTAGTCTGGGCCGGGGAAGTGTCTTGGTGGGCGGGATTAAACCCCGACGTGAAGTCGACGGTAACTTTAGGTTCTAAAATCCACGGGTCCATCAGTCGCTCAGAGTCCAGCCCGCGCCTCGTATGATCTGACATGCGGACGATCAAGAGTAACCTGCCGATTGGTAAGAGCGGCTGGGGAGTTCTGTTCACATCCCGGCAAGCCGTGGGCGTGGTGTGTTTTATTCGCAATGGCTGACTTCATACGCATCCATGATCTCACAGGGGTATAAGTACCCTCATGGTTTTCCTGGGTTCACTATCACCAACACCAGTTTTCTTACACAAATTACACAAAACTACATCAACAAAGAGCCCTACGAAAATGGACGGGGGATCCAGTTCTGCAAAGTTGGTCCGCAACTTCGAGACCTTGGGCCGCAAAGATGTCGGCCTGGTGGGTGGGAAGAACTCATCACTGGGGGAGATGATCTGCGCCCTGAAGCCAAAGGGCATTGCTGTACCTGCAGGTTTTGCGACTACCTCGCATGCATACTGGCATTATGTTGAGGCCAATAACATCCGGGACAAAATGACCGCCCTGATCGCAGAATGGGAGTCAAAGAAAGCTACTCTATCAGAAACAGGCCACGCGGTACGCAATCTCTTCATCCGTGGATCTTGGCCACCAGATGCAGCAAAAGCCATTAAAGATGCCTACCGTGAGCTATCGGCCAGCGCGAATATGGAAAATTTGAGCGTGGCGGTGCGGTCTTCCGCGACGGCGGAGGATCTCCCGGACGCAAGCTTCGCTGGACAGCAGGAATCCTATCTGAACATCTGCGGGGAGGAAGCCCTTTTGGATGCGTGCCGACGCTGCTATGCGTCGCTTTTCACAGACCGTGCAATCAGCTACCGTCGAACCAAGGGGTTCGACCATATGAGCGTTGCGTTGTCGATTGGTGTGCAGCGTATGGTTCGATCTGATGCCTGCGGGTCTGGGGTCATGTTCTCCATCGATACCGAGAGCGGTTTCGACAAGGTAGTGCTCATCAATGCGGCCTGGGGACTGGGTGAGAATATTGTCCAGGGAACGGTCAACCCCGACGAATACCAAGTCTTCAAGCCCCTGTTAGACGACAGCCAGCTGGTTCCCATCATCGAAAAGAAGCGCGGAGACAAGGAAAAGAAGATGATCTATGGAAATGACGATGACTCGCTGCACCCAACGCGGAATGTGCCGACCTCCAAGCTGGAGAGAGAGTCGTTCGTGCTCTCTGACCAGGATATCCTTCAGTTGGCATGCTGGGCGTGTACTATCGAACAGCACTATGGCTGCGCCATGGACATGGAATGGGCCAAGGACGGCATCACCAACGAGTTGTTCATCGTTCAAGCGCGTCCTGAAACGGTTCACTCACAGCGCCGGGATACGGCCGTCTTCAAGACCTACAAGGTCCATAAGAAGGGGCCTCTTCTCACCACTGGCCTTTCCATCGGCGATGCCGCTGTCGCTGGACGGGTGTGCCTTATCGAAGCCGCCAAGGATATCGACCAGTTCATTCCTGGCTCCATCCTAGTGACGGCGGGTACTGATCCAGATTGGGTGCCCATCATGAAAAAGGCTGCCGCTCTCATTACCGATCATGGCGGGCGTACTTCGCACGCTGCAATCGTCAGTCGGGAGTTGGGCCTACCCGCGATTGTAGGCACCGGCAATGCAACCTACATCCTCCACACGGGTCAGGATGTCACTGCGTCTTGTGCCGAAGGCGACAATGGCTTCGTGTATGCCGGCATATCCGAGATCACGACTCAGACGGTCGATCTTACGGGGCTGCCTGCTGTGAACACCAATGTCATGCTGAACCTCGCGAACCCTGCCGCCGCGTACCGTTGGTGGCGGTTACCAGCGGACGGCATCGGACTGGCACGGATGGAGTTTGTCGTCACCAACGCAATCCAAGTTCACCCCATGGCGCTAGTCCACTTTGACGAGCTCAAGGATGAGGAAGCCAAGAAATCTATTTCCCGTCTGACCACTGGGTACGCCCACAAACCGGACTACTTTGTCGACAAGCTATCCCGCGGGTTCGCAGCCCTCTGTGCGGCGGTGTACCCAAAGCCAGCGATCATTCGTATGAGCGACTTCAAGACCAATGAGTATGCAGGTCTGATCGGCGGCGCCGAATTCGAACCCAAGGAGGAGAACCCCATGATCGGGTTCCGGGGTGCGTCCCGATACTACTCGCCGAACTACAAAGAAGGATTTGCATTGGAGTGTCGCGCAATCCACCGGCTCCGAGAGACGATGGGCTTTACCAATGCCATCGTCATGATTCCCTTCTGCCGCACCGTCGGAGAAGCCAAGAAAGTGCTGGATGTGATGGCGGAAAACGGTCTCCGGCGCGGCGAGAACGGGCTCCAGGTCTATGTGATGTGCGAGATCCCGTCGAATGTCATCTTGGCCGAGGAGTTCACGCAGCACTTTGATGGCTTTTCGATCGGCTCGAATGACCTTACGCAGCTGACCCTGGGGGTGGACCGTGACTCGGGGGAGCTGTCGGACTTGTTCAATGAGCAGGATGAGGCAGTGAAGTGGATGATTGCGAGGGTCATCTCCGTGGCTCGAAAGAACGGTTGCAAGATTGGTATTTGTGGACAGGCGCCCAGCGATCATCCGGAATTTGCAAAGTTCCTGGTCGAGGCTGGAATTAATTCGATATCTGTCAGTCCTGACAGCTTTGTAGCGGTGAAGAAGAACGTGGTTGCAGCTGAGAGGGGGCAGTGACATTCTACATTGGTTTCAGATGCATGTTGCTTGCGATTTAATACGATAGTTGAGCTTTCTTATAAATCATAGTATCATTTAATTAATACGATAGTTGAGCTTTCTCATAAATCATAGTATCATTTGATTCAAATAAAACCAAAATGCATTACTCAATCTCACAGACCATACATAATTATGCGTACCAGGGGCGTACATGATAGGAATATCACTTATCACCATCATGAATCTGATCAAGCGTCTGCTTCAACTCCTCCGCCGACTTCCGAATAGCATCCTTTTCCTCCTGATCAATCGGAACCTCAAGCCTCCTCACAATCCCCTTGCGTCCCAGCACGACCGGTAAACTGAAACAGCACCCATACTCAGGTTGATAACAGCTAATCGGCCGGACATTCCGTCTATCCTCGGCGATCGAAACACAGATGCTCGTCACAATAGACCCAATCCCCAAAGGCGTGGCCCCCTTGGAGCGGATGATGCTCTGCGACCTGTGCTTGCACAGATTCGCCAACTGAGTGCGATCAAAAGTCTCAGGCTGGAGCGCTTTGTCGATCGGCATCCCGCCGATAGTGGCCGTAGACCACGCTGCGACCTGGTCGGCACCGTGGACGCCCAGCACGTAGAGATCGATGGAGTTAGCCGAGACCTGTCCACGATTCAATCAGTTAGAGCTGTCCGTCGTCTGAAATTGTGACCGCACTCACCCCAGTGGCTTCTGCGAGCAATCCGCGCAGCCGGACGGAATCGAGAAACGTCCCGGAACCCAGGACCTGCGACGTCGGAAGACCGGAGATTTCGTGCGCGAGGGACGTGAGTAGGTCGACTGGATTCGCGACGACGAGCAGGATGGCGTCGGGCTTGAATGGCCGCATTGCCTCGAGCACGCCGCGGAGGATCGCCATGTTGCGGTACCTGTGCTGCATGCTGGTTTCGCCTGATTTCATCAGCCCGTTTGGCCCTCGCTGTAAAAATAAATCTCATCGCACGCAGGTAGCTCCATACCGATGGAATATTTCGAGCCGGCCGTGATGACGATAATGTCACACTCTCGCGCCTCGTGGTGCGTGCCGGCTCGCACACGCGTGCTGCTGTTGCAGGTGTATGCGGCATCGGAGAGATCGCGAGCCTGCGCATCCCTCAGATCCGACCGGATGTCGACTAGGACGAGCTCACTGGCGATGGAACTGAGGATGAGAGCGTAGGCTGCGGCGCCGCCGACCTGGCCGACGCCGATAATTGCAATGCTTGGTTTGGGGGTGTGTTGAGTTGCCATTTTGATGCTTGACAGAGAATGTAGTATGGAACTGGCAGATCGTTCAAGAGATGGTTATTTGCAGACATTATGGCAGAGCGCATGTCCCGTTCTAGTAGTATGAGCGGATCAGGAGGTGTGATGCAATCTAGAACGCATCCGGCTTTGACTTGCGGGGACCAGAACCGACGCTGTCATCTTTCTGGTGCGGGTATCAGCCCACTCTCTTTGTGGTACGGGGTCAGTCCACTCTTTTACGTCAGGTTCTGGCCCTGTTCCATCAGCAAAGGTAATGCGGTCATAGAGCTAACATGTGTCGGTGGTTCTATACTGTCTGTCGAATGGGGAAATTGCCGATATGGACCAACAGCTCGTCCTACGCGCCTCACAATCTATTTCTGAACTGGAGAATTACATCCTCCATTGACAAATCCTTCTTCATATGAATACTGCATGCATTAACTAAAATGCGCTCATTTCATTCAGCCGAATGACTGATGAATCTTTCTGACTGCGACATCTTTACTCGCCCTGCACATTCTTGAGCAAGCCCTCCTTATGTGAAACACCAGGAATCACTATGCGTTTGATGAGACTACCCTAGCGAGATTCTACTCGTGGAGGATTGCACATATGTTCCCCAGCCTCTCCCGCACAAAACTCTGCAGGAAAGGGATGGTGCAGAAAGCATCTCGTTTCGCCACGGAATCGAGACTATGGATTCTTCAATCGGTCATAGATATAAGTCCCTATGGTTAGTGTCTTCCGCGAACTCCCAATTTGTCGTCTTCAGAGTCTTACAGTTCCCAGTATTCTTGCCGGTGTTCATCTCTTTCATCTCAGCCTACTTATCGGGTAGGAGTCACTGTTACTGCGTTCGTATCCGCATGAGGAACCAATAACGAGTTTGATGGAGTCACCAGGTGGCTCTCTGGCTGCAACAATACACACTACTTGACCCTCCTTCTTCTGGACCTGCAGGACTGGTATATAGTCACTTGGGACAGTCTCTCATCTCTGGCTACATCTGCAAGTGGAATCGCGAGAGTGACTCTCTGTCGTGGTCAGACAGCACTGATAGTGCCATGCTGACGGCGTTCGCGAAATAGAAGAAGTAACTTATAGTGCATACGGCCGTGGCACACGTGCCCTCAATTGGGATAATGGACTCCAGGATGGTTAGTGGAGTAGAACAAGGGCTTAGGGTTGAATGTCCAGTAGGATATCCCTATAAGCACGGGGCTGTCGGGACAGAAGGATGCGATGGATGGCCAAGAAGGGAAATAAATCTACACGACTTGCAGCTGCGCACTCTCTCGATTAAGTAAGTGGAATCCTGATGCCAGTAAACCTTGGCCGCCCCCTTGGCACCTTCAACGGCTCATTTGACTTGCAGTTGACATTCTTACCCACCAGATGGCTCTTGGAGGCCTAACTCTCATGTAGGGTTCATGTATCCCCTCATCCCACGATCTGCCATAAACCCCACGGTACATGCTATTAGAATCACCCTCTAGCATGGCGAAAGAATACAATTTGCACCCTCGGGGCTGGGAAACAGCCCCCGAAGAGGAACGATTCAGAGTGTCAACTCTAGATTACCTGTCCGGACTGTGCTACACGCATTTCGCCATCTACTTCCGTCTGGACGACACCGACAAACCCCAGACCCTAACCCTCCTCAAGGAAGGCCTAGAAGCAACCCTCTCCCAGATCGGCCATCTCTGCGGCACCATCGAGCGAGCACCCGACGGCAGCCACTGGTTCGTCAAGAAGCGCGACAGCACCGTGCGTCTCCTCGTGCAATGGCTCGACGCATCCACAGACGCACACAAGTACCCCTCGCTAGACGACATGGAAAGCGCCAGCTTTGCCGGGCGCGCCCTGGGCGATTTCAAGACCTGGTCCATCGAGCCCATGACCTACGGCGAGAAGCCCGAAGCACACCCGAACACGTCGCCTGTAGTGTCCGCCTTTCTGGCGAACTTCGTCCGCGGCGGTCTGGTCTTCATCACGCACATGCACCACTACGCCAACGACGCGATGGGCTGGTCGGGCTTCATCCACCAGCTCGCGGAGAACTGCTACGCTATCAAACACGGCGCCCCGTTCTCTGCGTGGGACCCGGTCTGCAACGACGTCGCGATCGTGTGCAGGCCTGACCCACCGGTCGAGCGGCTGGTTGATGGGCCGCCGCCGCCGGGTCTTCACCCCGATCAGAAACCGGGTCAGTGTCTGCTGTTCCATCTGCCGAAGAGCAAAGCGGCCGAGCTGAAGAGCCTCGCCGCGCCGCGGGATGGGACGTGGATTTCGACGTACGATGCTGCTGTTGCATTCGTCTGGCGTGCGATGACGCGGCTGCGACAGCCTGTGTTTAAAACCCCGCTCGACTCGCCTATATTCTGGTCTGAAGGGGTGGATATGCGCCGGCGCATGAACAACCCCCCGGTGCACCCGCGCACCCAGCACAACATCCTGTGGGCTGCGCTGTCTGACCAAGTACCCGTTCCACAACTCACGCATCGCGAGGTGATATCCGAGAAGCCGTTCTGGGAGCTCGCAGCGTATATTCGAAAACTGACCAATACGATGACGCAAGAGAACCTCGACGCGGCGCTGGATGGCGTTGCGTATATCAAGGACAAGACGGCGCTCAACATTCGCATCAACTCGAAACCGCCCATGTCTATCCTTACGACGGATCATCGGCAGGCTACTGTCACTGATGCGGACTTTGGGTTCGGTCGGCCGCTGTGCCACCGGCATTTGCAGCAGGGCGCGGGCGTCACGGTTGGGGTGCATGTGGTGTATCCGCCAAAGTTGGATGATGACCCAGACTCGGATGAGGGGAATATGTTTGCGTTCATGTATGAGAAGGAATTGGCGAGTGACCTGATTCGTGACCGGGAGTTTGCGCGGTTCTTTGAGTATAGGGGGGTGGATGGTGAGTGAGATAGATGGGGTGGGTTACGGTACTATCAGAAGATATGAGAAGAGATACCATTGAAATTGTCTGTTAAATTATATTAAGTATATGTAGGCTTTATCGAAGATCTCCAAAACACGAAACCTAGTCAAGCGTGAGTCTCGACTCGCGAGTACTGTTCGAATGGCTCGGCAGTTCCTGAAAGACAAACGACCGCCGCGCGACTTGGCTCTTGCGCGCAAAGACCGACTGGAGGCCGTGCTTAAAGTTCAGTATACAGTAGACCGTGCACATGACAATGACGACGGAGAGAGTCAATGCCACGCTGGCGAAGAAGAGCATCAATCCCTTCCCCGGGGTATTGGCACGTCGTGTATTCCCACATAGAACGACGATCCGGCTCACTAGATAGGCCACCACGCCTAGACGAAGGATCTGCTTTTGTCAGTCGGTGCACGTTGCGATTGACGGGGGGCACTAGGACTGACTGCAGTGACAATGGTGAGAAATCTGTATTCGCGGCGGATGAAATATGCGCCTAGGGTCATCAGCAGCAGTGCGGCCGGGATGAGGGCCATTGTCAACGAGTACTCGGGCTCCTGGAAGTGGACGTCGACGAGGTTGTACTGGACAATGAAGCCGACCAGGAAGTAGAAGTCGAACTTGATCAGAACAAGGTAGAGCTGTTCGAGGTGGTTAGGACTGTGTAATGATGGGACTCGCGAAGGGGGCAATCACCTCATATCCCAGGTACTGGTATCGGCTTTGCGGACTGCCTTGGACACACTGGTATATGGCCCACGAAAACTCCTTGTGGACACAGTATGCGACAGGCCATAGAACCAGGGTTGTCAGACCGAGTACAATCGGGACCAGGATCTCAGCCGGCTGGATCTCTTTCCATAGATCCCTGGAGATGTCCACCAACGGTTGAAGATGCGAGTCGCGACTATTTACGATGCTATGGGTGGTGTCGTACATGGAGGTGTATTGCATCGCCGAATAGGCAACTGCACAGATATTGCTGAGGCAGATTGCCAGAAGCAAGATACTATTCTTATGGTGCACCATCTCCAGACTCAGAATCACCTCATAGACGACAGCGAACATGATCAATGTCAGGTTAACGGGTACCTGATATGAGATCGTGACCTGAGTAATATTTGGATTGACCCAGGACTGCCATTGAACGAGAATATAGCTAGGAGGGGAGGTGAGTAACTGTAAAAGATGTGGGAATCATTTCGAACGTACATCTCCAGGACAAGCACCAAGAGAGCTTGCACAACCAAGGCTCCGCAGAACCATCTTTCGTTCGTCGAGGTCGGCCGATACATGGTGCTGCCCTGGAATCGCCAGTTGTGATACCAGGTCGGGCATGTACAAGTATTAGGATAGGATATGATGATCCTTGTATGATGGCGAACTGACTTTTAACATCACGAACAGCCGGAGACCCACTAATATCCTAGGGCCTCTACTATTATCAAACTATTACAAAGTTGGTCCTGGAACAAACAGTAGTGGCCTGCTCGGGCTAGAGTCCCTAGAGAGGGTCTCAGGGTCTCCCTCGGGGACTCTCCGACGTTGCCCCGAAGAAGATGGTGAAGGGCGCTAGAGCCCTACTTTTAGTCGAGAGGGGAAAAAGAAAAGATATATAATAAGATATAAGAGATACCTACGGTAGATATCACTATCGCTGCTATTGTATGAGAAATACGATGTTGACAATTGTTTCTACTCTGTAATTCTTTGGCAAATATACCGAACACGATGATTCCAATAAGGATGCTGTAGGGCTAACTAGTATGGACAGAATTTGCATAGCGAGACCCTGGTGGATCGCTCTTCCATGGGCCAGGTAGCCACCGCCGCCCGATGTCTCACTACCCGGCCTATCGCTTTTCTAGAAACCCTCTCCTAGCGCCACAGATCTTCGTGCTTCGAATTTATTGAGCATGGGCTTTCCCTTCCAGACCAACCACATCCCCAACATCCAAGACAATCTGAGAAATCAGCTTTCTTGGTACCCCCTTTTCTATTCATGAAACGCCCTAAGTTCTAAACGACCCTCCAGCTTAGCGCTTGTCGGTGGCGACTCCGGCGCCTAAGCGGGAATCTCCGACAGGGTCCTCGGCACTGTATTCCGGGGTAGGCTCCTTTTCATCCACTACTGTACTCCGTACTCAGACAACGGTTTGATAGAAATTAGGTCGCCTCTCTTTTCCACTTAACTGTAGAGATTGGTAAATAGCTGAACTGTCTGTTCTAGCTATGATTGCGGGCATGACTGATTGTAGGAAGGGGGCAAGGGGTCGTTAGTATACTGTTCAGAATTACATCTCCATCAGCGTGGACGAATCTCTAGATCTTGAGGGACTCAGACCCTACACTCTCAAGACCTTTGCTCACCATGAGTGAGGCACGGTAGCTAACCAGATCTGATATCGGCTAATAACCAGCAAAAGGACCCGTAAGTCTCCAGCGGAGATTACCAGCAACCATCTGCTCCACCGTGTCTAACCATTATATGATAGCTGGTGAGACTAGTTGTCCCTGTATCTTGCGTCGTTTTAAGAGTTGCTCCTTTTGGATCGCAATGGATATAATGGCAGCCTTGGCATCGCCGGCTGAGACGGGATTTTGTTTCTATCGAGCCCTTGTAAAAGGTATCCACAGGGGGTGCCGAAGAAGGCTCCCAAGACCTCTTGTGGTGATCCATCCGGTGCCTACAGGTGTACAATATCAGTATTGTACACCAGTCGTCGTAAGGCGATGTTTGATCTGCCAGAGGCGACTGTGAACTCATTAGCTATGCTTACTTCCTCTCAGCAACGTTCACGGTATGGAGTTGTGAGAAACTGTGAATAACAATACGTCACCCCCTAGTCAGCATATCTACCTATATCATGTTCTCATCACTCGACTCAGGGCTCTTTATTGGGTAGAGAAATCGAAGTATACTGTACAATACAGACTGAAATGGGGAACGCCCTAATCCCAAACAGGCAGTCACGTTGGCCCTAAACCCAATTGGGACTACGTTCTCCATCGCAGGAGTCCGAACAGCTGAACCGTCCTTGATACAATCTAGGAACGACGGGAGGTCTTTGGAACTGGGCGGCCCCTAAATGAACAACCACCTGCTCCCCTTCCCGTACAATCAGTCGCGCCCCCAGTCGTGGCTGGAACGGGTAGCCCAGCCGTTTTCCACTCTCCTTTTCGGAGAGCCCACACCGTCCGCTCCACAGGAACCACCACCAACGCCGATTGCTCTCCAAAACCATAAAGACGATCTCCCGCCGATCCGCATAATATGCATCTCAGACACGCACAATGCCACTCCTCCTCTTCCGCCCGGTGATATCCTGGTCCACGCAGGCGACCTGACCGCCCATGGGACCTTTGACGAGGTACAAGCGCAGCTCCGATGGCTGTCGTCCCAGCCGCATACTCACAAGATTGTCATCGCGGGAAACCACGACATTCTCATAGACGAGGCATGCGATACGAAGTTTCCTACTCGCACAGAAGACTCTGTTGCAAAGCGGGCGGAATTGGACTGGGGCGGCGTTCGGTATTTGCAAGATGAAGCTGTCACCTTGGAACTGCCGGTTCCTTGTCTTGGGGAACAGCAAGTGCGCAGGGTCAAGATATACGGGTGTCCACTGACGCCAGAATTTGGCCAGTGGGCTTTTCAATACCCCCCAATTCGGGATGTGTGGACCGGGCGGGTCCCCGATGATACTGATATACTGGTGGTTCACGGACCACCGGCGCTCTATGGTGACTGTGATGGTGAGAAGGGACCGAACGGGAAGGTCGAGGTGAAGGGAGACGGGTATCTGTTGCGCGAGATACGAAGGGTGCGCCCTAAGATGGTGGTCTGTGGGCATATCCACGGGGCATATGGTCTGGCTCTTATCCAGCATCATGGAACCCAGCACGTTGTGAATGGATTGCAGATGCGATGGGAAGGATATAGTTTACTCGGAGCTCTGCAGAGGACGGTTCAATGCTCAATTACCAGGAGGGATGATGATCGACCCCAAGAAACCCTTGTCGTCAACGCCGCCGTGGCACCGGGTGCTTCGACCAGTGAACGCAAGAACGCGGTCGTCGTCGATTTTTTGTGAGCTACCTGTAATAATGCAACAATTTATCATGTTCGTGGCTCGTAAGCCAGCTTACTCGGCCGCTAAACAAAGTGAATATGAGGTTGCCAATGCAGGATATTTTTCGCGGCCAGTTGAGCACTGGCCCGCTCATCCGCGAATGATTCCAGTACCTCACTGTTCTCATGAGGAATCACCAAGGTCTCTTCTAACCGGGCCACTTTACTCGTCCACTCTGGGACCGACTCGAAGATCCTGTCCTCCTTCTGGTACTGTTCCAATTCCTCGCGTGAGATAATGGCGTCTGCTTTCCGCGGCAGACCCAACTCAATCCGCCGGTTGAATGATTCAACCAACAATGCTGGGATGGCTGAAAGGACCGCGTAGCGAGATGCGGATGCGTCGTGGGGGTCAGGGATGGCGGCAACCGGCCACTTCGCGTACCAGAAATACTCGATTTCGTTGCGTAGGCCAACGTTGTCGTTCAGAACCAGGTGCTCATACAGACGGTAGAGTGAAAATAATGGTGTGTCTTCCGATTCGCCTTTAGGGATTCGATGGACGCGTTTGAAGAGTCGTTCACGGTGGACATTGGGATGCGCGAGGAGTTCTTCGGGCGTCGGCGGGGGAAAGACGGGATATGCGGGAGATGAAAACCTCCACCAGAGGCATTGCAGCCATCGGGGGATGAGGCGCATTCTCTGTTCTTATGCCTGCATCGTATGGAGAGAGTTCTGATGTTCTCTTACACAGCTTGGACGTTAGTCCTAGCGCAATAATCATGATCCTTGTTCCTTGTTGGTTATTTAGCGCCCTCCTTTGAGATTACTAAGCCCCAAGAGGATTGACCTTTTTTGAACCATGAAGTAGCTATTATTATCGAGCGACTAACTGCTTGATACTATGCGCTTTTCTCTTGCGTTACAAAGACAGTCTTCTGGTTTTATTGATTCTAACAGTTGGTCCAACATCAACTTTTCTATAGTGCACGCTGTATATTGTGGTTTCTCCCTCCTTCGCCTTCTATAACGCCTTCTATCCCTGCTTTAGGGTCTCGTCGAAGGACTCTAATGCGTCCGTAGCACAGAAATGAGCAGGTTGGCTCTTTATCCTATGAATAACCATAGGGTATGGTGTATTCCTCACAGGTTTGATGCCCAGGGCACGCCCGCCAGCAAGCGCCTACTCGAACTTCGAAGGATCCAAGAGCTACAACCCCTGTTTGACTGGCGCTTACAGGCAACGGGTTGATCATATATAGATATGCCCCATTGAAACAAAGCATCTAGATATCCGCAGCTCTTCTGCACTTTCTAGGCACTCTCTACTACCTACAGTCAACCCATCACATTTTCACCCGGACTAAGATGGGGAATAGCTCTTCCAAACAAGCTAAAGGCCCTCGACGTCGCCAGGCCGCAAAGCAAGCGCAGCGCCCCCAGATCTCCGGCCCATCAGGTGGGCTCCAGATGATTCCGACTCCTCAGAGAGATAACACCGGCCGGCCAGTCGTCCACCGATCGTTTGAGATCAATCGGGACCAGTTGCTTCGCGCGTTCCGGTACATGGCCGAATACCTTCGCCAACAACGTACCCATTTGACCATCTATGTTGCCGGCGGTGCAGTTAACACTATCTATCTTCGTTCACGTCACACAACCGGTGATGTGGACTTCTTTGGCGCAAATGAACAAAGTCGGCTTCTCAGAGACGCGTCCAAATATGCTCAGCAACGTTCCAAATCTCAACTCGGAGCCAGTTGGTTCAACAATTCCATGTCCCTGTTTCTGACCCGGACGCTGGAACAGGAACTCATGGGTGCATCCCAGCGCCAGAATGCCGTCCTGTTCAATGAACCTGGACTCACGGTCTATGCTGTTCCTTGGGAATACGCACTCTGCGGCAAGATGGACCGACTTACGAAGCCGGACAAGCGGCCGTACGATGCTGCAGATGCTGTGGCTTATCTTCATGAATGTGTCAAGTCAAATGGCGGGCGTGCAATTCAAGCACGCCAGGTTGAGGCATGGGCGCAGAAATACAACAAGGCGACTTCAGTCAAAGTGCTGAGGGAGATTGACACCCTGTATAAAGGCAAGTACGGGGCACATGGCATAATTTTCTGATATCCCTGGGCTTGGTTTGTTTCTATGTGTGCTATATGTGGTGTCCGTTTGCAATTCTAGGTGTTGCTTGAATTCTAAGAATAGCTAGTAGCGCGACAACCCCTGTTATACTCTTAGGGCTGGCTTTATAACATGCTCTCCAGCCACATGGTTTTGGGTGTCTAAAAAGTAACCATTCATATGAAAACCGATTGTTTATTGTTCCAACGCCAATAACTCCTGCACCGACGAGACGATCCACCATTAAAGAACACACTCCCAGGCATTCTCGTCAAGATACGAACCCGGCCCCCTGTAAACATTTCTCCGCGGATACCGACAGTGCTTGCGAGTATACTGAGGATGGCCATCCTGATCAAGCTTGGTGCCCCGAATAAATTCTGGCGCAATTCCCTTCTCAACCCACTCCACCATAGCCATGAGGACGTTATCCTCTGGGTCGTCACTGTAGGCCGAGGGAGCCGAGCCTCCGATATAGCTGGCGCCGTCCCCATAATAGCAATGCGCCATGCCGGAGATCCGGAAGTACCGATAAAACTCGTCCAGCTGGTCTGGGGCCAACCCCATCGTCTCGTGGACATGCTTGTAGTATTCGCGGGAGTTGAAGGAGCTGACCAAGAAGTCCTGCATCCCATGATAGGTGATGATCTTCCCTCCGGCGTTCTGGAATCTGGAAAGATCACCCTCCCACGTCTGGATGTTGAACGGGTTTTGCTTCAGAGCCGCCTGGGCGTCTTTGATGTTGAATGTCGTGGGATCCCAGTTGGTGTCGTTGTAGACGACATATCTGAACCACTCCTTAGCATAAGGGGTAGGTACGCCGGTGTATAGCAGCGCCGATGACACCGTCTCAGATCCGGGCTGCATCCCCGGAAAGAGCATAGAGCCGTCGGTGTTGTAATAAGGAGACATGAGCTGGATCACCGTATTTGCTTGTGCCTCGGTGATGCAGGAAAGGCTCCCGTTGTTGCTCTTGTTGTCGGATGGACACATGATGTTCTCGAAAGTCGGATGGCAAAGATCTGGGTCCTCGATGAGGTTGTCTTGCGCCCCGTCCAGTCCATCGCACTGCCTCATCACCTCGCTGTGCACGATGTTCCACAGCGCGGGAGGGAGGTATGTTTCCTCGGATTTGTTTCCGGTTATCTCATAGATGTGTCCGGCCCATGAGATCAGGTTCACTTCATGAACAGCTGGGGCACCGGCCACGACACCGTCAAAGTCATGGGGATACTGTTGGACAGACTTGAATCCTTGACGGCCACCCGTGGAGCAGCCCAGATAGTAGGATTTCCGGAACCCTTCTGCGTAGAAGCGCTTAGTGAGTTCTTTGCCAACCTTCGCGGCTGTATGAATAGACCGATCGGCGAAATCCCTAAGGACTTCGGGACTGTTGAGAAAGGCCTCCGCAGACGTGCCATTATGGCCGTTGTTGGTCGCGACCGCAGCGAATCCCAGACGCGTTGTGTAGTCAAGCTCTGGGTAACGTATACCTAGCGATGTTAAAGTTCGGACAGATGAGAAATATATGTGAAGGCCTACATACAGCCGCCGAAACCACCATTCCCAGTAGCGAGGAACCGACCCGTATAGTTGCGCGGAAACCATGCTTCCATGACAATCTGACTCGAATTCGATGTCTTGACCACCATGGCCGCTCGACAAATATCCGCTGTCACGAATTGCGAGCTCTGGTTACAGGAAGGGTCATTGTCCGGCAGCGAAACGTTCTGCGACCCCGCGACATACTCCACGATCGTAGCCTGCACATTGGGGAGGCTGTTAATCGAGTCTCTGAAGTCTGTGCATCTTTCCTCGAATGACTGAGAGGCTCGAGCCACCGATACGTAGCTTAGCGATGCTACGAAAAAGTATGAGATCTTCATGACTGAATGAATGAAAAGTTGAGGACGGTGGATATCTTTTCCTTCCTCTGGTCAAGACGATCACAAAATATGGCATCCGGGCGGACGCGCCCGCTTTCGACCTCATTCATGGCTGACTCGTATCCTGTTTGCAGCGAGGAGGTTATACTTGCATCGACTCGCATATTTCTGACCGCCACTCCGTTGGTTCATCACCTACCGAAAGCGGAATGTCAGTCGTCCATTCCACGCCCCTTCTTTGCAACTTCGGCTTTGCCTCTACCCCTGAAGGATATGACAGCCATTTGTTTTGACACATAGGGAACTATCTCAATCCGGCAGTCTGTTGGGTACCTAGATAGTATGAAAAGCTGCGAATATGTTTTGACCTATATTGGTTTCCCAGCAGGATATGCGGTATTAACATCTGACATTATCACTATAGCTTCCGTTCGAGGATCTACTATTTTTTTTTTCTATAGCCATAGATATTGATTTAGCATCTTCATTGGCAGAAATAGAGGGGAAATATAAAAAGAACCGTCTTTGGTGTTCCATTCGGCCAGTAAATATCTGCCCGGATCGGGAGCGAAGGGGTGTTCCAGGTCACCGTCAAATATCCCTAGGTCCGACAGACTAAAATACTACGCACATCGTTTTAGTGTTTTGTTCTTCAATAGTGGCCATTTTCAGCTCTTCTGAGGATAGGTCCAGCTATTCTATGGAATTGGTCTGATATAAACATCAGAGGGTCCCCTATCTGCTGTAGAAGAATATAGTGGCGCATTCCATTAGAATTCGAAACCTCAATTATTGAGAAATTTCGGATCCATTGAATAAAGACAAGAAATCTATGCTTTTCACTTAACATCAAATTCATTCTCGAAAAGATATCACAGATATCACATACTAAGGAATGGTGGTCCCGATATCGTGGGAGGACCAGCACGGTACTCCTCGTCATCAAGCATCAGTTTGCAAAGGAAAGCTCCTCCAGCTAGTAGTCCAGTCCGTATCACTGGACTCTGGTGGCCAAATAGAGTGGAGGGTTCGCGTAATCCTCCGGGGCACCCTAAACGGCCGTGTATCTTCAAACTCGTCCCTTTCGGCGAGAGCCTCCTGTTCGTCTTTCTTTTCATCCCTTCCGATCTCGACGACTTTTCTTCCACCGTGGGTGACGAGGTATGACCCCGCCAACTGTAGGAATGCATAGACTTCCTCCTCGTCGTGGATATTATAACCCCACGGAGACACACGAAGCCGGAGCAAACTTCGGATCGGCTGTTGAGAGGAAATCTCTTTCCAGATGGCCGTTGCTAGTGCACTATCCGTAGCAAAGTTGATGAATGCGTCCCGGAGACTCACATGTACTGGAGGAGATCTTCCCACGCCTTCATCTGAGAATATCCCCTCCTCTTTTGAGATCACTGGGCGTGGGTTCCCGTAAAGATCAAGAATCAAGTTCTGAAGACGAGAAAATTTCCCCAGCGATCGGTAAGTGCGGACTTCCTCGTTGCTACCTTTTGTCCGACGAATAGGGATGCGAAGTTCCTTTAGATTGGGACAACTTTCCGCAATCCGCTGCAGATGGACATGATCCAGGAATGGGTATGCCCATCCGGTGTATTGGGGCTTCAGAGGAGGAGATGTACGTGACCGACATGTCTCGTGGGGCTCTAACATAAGACCCAACAGAGATGGGCCGTGCCTCCCAAGAATCGTATGAAGGAATGTAACATGCTCGAGGGCTTCGAGGGACAGGTATTTCAATGGCCTGAGCCGTTGAAAGATACATTCTAGCTCCCCAGATATCTGCTCCCATCCGTCTCGCCCGGGAGCAACACATATGAACAGCCTCTCCAGGTTCACTAATCCCGCTGCTGCATCTTTCAAGGAAGACGGGTAGTCTATTCTGGGGACGTGCAGGCTCCGCAAAGCGGAAAAGTCCATTGTTTGAATCCATTTTGATAGAATGGGTTCCTCGAGGATTTGCGATTGCAGAGCAAAAGAATCCAAGGTCGTCCGTTGATCTCCATGGGCGCTGCTCTCAGGGAGCTTTTGAATGGCATCTAACAAATCGCCCGGCCAGCGAGTATCGAGTTGTAGATAGACATGCTTGAGATTGGGTGCTTGCCAAACGTACGGGATCATTTGATACGGGTGGAATATGCCGTTGGGCCATCCGCGCGTAATGAGTGGATAGTCTAATTTGATCGCTTGGAGACAGGGCGAGCGGAGGATCTCCATATCAAAAGGGTCGTTGCTGACCTCTGAAGGTTGACGAGAGCTATTGAAAGTATATTCCAGATCAACACCTGGAGTGTCCAGCCGGAGGCTTTGAGGGCTCCAGATGTTGATTTCACATTCTGGGTGATGTTGATGGACGGCATCAAGCAATGACCTCGGAAACGAATTAGCCACGGCGTAATGCATCGCTTTTAACTTCTTCAACCGACTGATCAGAGAAACTAGCGGCTCCCAGTCCTTTTCAGAAAAGTACCTCGGGAAGTCACTCGAACGGAGACGGTAGCCTGGCAGGTCAAAATAAGACATGAATCTCTCCATGAAGGACCCAACAGTCCGAGGAAGAAAGTCTTGAATGGTGACGCCTTTGTCGACCACCCCAAATCCATGCCGAGCTCCTCCGCCTTCTCCTCCACGGATTCGGCGAACGCGCTCGGGAAGGGCCACGATATCTAGCCTGGTGGCGTGGGTCAAGAACGGCCGTCCACGGCCATCGTCCGTAAATTCCGCCACGAGGTGCCGCAGATTTGAGCTATCAGTAAATCGAATCGAAGCCTTGTCGTAAAGACAGCGGGCTGCTATCTGGTACACGTTTGAATTGACAAGGCTCAGTGCCCTGAGGGAACCAGGGTCATCGTCCTTGAGCTAGTGTGTGATCGCGTCAGCCCGACCAAATAACTGATAGACGAGGACATACAATATAGCATATCTCCTGCAGAAGCTCTAATGGTAGCGAATTCATCAGCCTTGGTGCTATTATGGTAGTGGATGCGAACAACACTGAAAGTCCAAGGACCAAGGCAGTTTCAACCTAGGGGCCACTCATTTATAGCCAGTAGGCAGTGCGTCATACGAAATCACTCGGCACTAAGCTTACTAGTAAGCACTTAGCGTCCAGCCATGGTCTCGAGCTAAATGAAGCCCAGGTTACGTTCCGAAAACAATGGAAATGGAGTATAAATAGCAAAGAATAGCAGTAAACAAGAGAATGGGGGGAAAGGATCATGAATCTCTTCATAATCCATATGTCGTATTTCTCCTCTCTCTTGAAATGCTCCGTAGATGTATTATAGAGCAGATAATTAGCCATCCTGCCCCAGACTGACCAAATGTATGTTCCTCATAACCGTCCCCTGTTCACTAGAACCGACCCCGTGCATGACTGACCACAAGAAGTCCATTTTTGTTGCCGATTTTGACAGGGTGCCATTACTGTAATTTCTGTAGCTCATTAAGCTATATAAAGAGGCTGAGGAGTAATCCCAGACAATGCACGGGAGTATGTTCCATCGTAAGTGTCTTGACTCACGGCCCAGACCACAACTCCACCCAAGCAAGTTGTGCGCGCAAAGTCCAGCTTCAACTGTATGGACTTATCATCATCATATGTGGCCCATTGCCTATCCCAGGTCAAGATTTGGACAGCGGCATCCGTGTCCAACGTGGACTGGATATTTTTCTCTTTGCGGATGTCATCGAGCTCACTGTTGAGAAGAATACCAGCCTGTCTGCTGCACCTGCCGGGGTTTCCAGCGGACGCAAACATGCAGCCGGGATTCTTGCAATTGTCATCGGCCATGGTGTAGACTCGCCCATAGAAGGGCAATCCAAGTAATACCTTATCTGCGCTTATCTCGTTGCGCCAGAGCAGGTCCATCGCCTCCCGAATTTCGGTCAGATTGCTATGGGAGTCCAAAACGGCACGAGTCAATTGTTTCTCTTGAATATCAGTTAGCCAGCTTTCTCCATTGTTGCAGTTTTCCGCTTACCTCTGTCCCATTTTCCATGGACATCGTAGGACAGGTAGTTGAAATAGTCAACATTCTTTTCCAGGGCCTTGATATCAAAGTGCTGCAGGTACTGATATGACTTTGGGAGTGTCAAGCTGAGCTCATCCCGACCACACGTGGACATCAGGACATTCTTCAGGTTGGCCATGAACTTGGGAAAGTTGTCAAAGTCTTCTGGTCGACCGTTCCTGTCATCGGCGACTGGGTATTCCCAATCAATATCGACTCCGTCAAATCCGTATGTGGACATAAATGAGATAAGAGACCTAAAGAACTTCTTCTGATTTGCTTCAGAGCGAACTAGGTCTGAAAATACACTTGCGGTTGGTCCAGGGTTATTGAATGTCCAGCCGCCGATGGCAATATTAACCCGTAATGAGGGCTGCGACTTTTTCAAGTCTGTTAGACGTTCCATAAGAATCGCTTCTTTGCGACTGGTGGGTCCAACTTCAAAGGTCCTGGGGTTTATAGTTGCGAATGCATAGTTCAGATGCGTATAAATATTCGGCGGAATTTGCAGCGGATAGAATGGCTTGTATGCACGAGTAGGTGACCAACCCTCGTAGTATCCCACTACTCGAGAGAGACGGTGATTTTTCCTACAGACTGGTCTGTCCACCTTTTGGGTACCTATCCATGCCGATCAGTATGTGTCCATCAGTTACTTGGCTTCCCACTTCCGAAAGGAAAACATGAGGGCCTCACCGCAAAATTCCCCAGTAGTGGCCGTATAATCGCAGCGTGCCACACAAGGGTCCCTTTCCTTTGGATCTCTCATCAATGGAGACTTCCTTAGGTCTGTAGAGGCGCAGCGACTTGCGCTGCAATAATCCTCAACGTTACAATATCCGGATCTGGCAGGTGGTGACCAGCTCTTAGTACGTCTCGCGACGTATGTGCCAAAAGTGTACATACCTGGAGCAATAACCTGTAGCGCATGGGTTTGTGACACTGTAGTCTTGGGAGACTACTTGTGTACAAAACCATTGGAGCAACAGAAAGACGATCAGCAGAGGCTTTCGCCGCCTAATCATTGATAGCTGCGCCATGATGGTACGGCTGGGAACAATGCAATAGAGAGCTCGACGAGAACCTAAGGTTCAGTCGATTCTTAAAAGATCTTCAGAGCTATGACAATGAAATTGAACATCATGAGCCGCTTGTCCCGACCATCAAACGGCATTCTATTCGTTATATTGGGTATTCGTCGTTTAATACAGTTGCACCGCTATACCTTTCTGTCCGGTTATCCGAGGCCGTACATGGAAATTAGCATAGAACCTCACCAATCGTAGAGGCTTCCAACGGACACAGAGAGCCCTAAATTCCTTAGCACCTCTTAACGTCTCTTGGCTTCATTAACCCCCTTTTGCTACTCCGGGCTAACTACTCCATGTTCAAGACGATGTCACCCCAGGAGTTCGATAGTTGCCCAAAGCGTCCTTGTCCTTGTACTGCTATGACCACCATGCATCCTAGAGCCTCACCTTTGGGGCACTAAACACATCGGAGTTTGCTCCGCCAATGTCTCAGTGCATATTTCAGAAAAAAACACACCATATACATCAGCCACTACCCTAAGCGAGGTTAGTCACGTCTTCTGAGCATTGGCTATGTTCCACCGGTTCATTGAGTCTAGTGGCGTGGTCGGTGTTAGTACATCGCTTCGACAAAAGTGGGCTTGTTCCTGCGTTAGTGTCTAGTCACAACGGATGTAACTCTACAATGGTATCCCTGCACATGTTGGACCGAGGCTGTCCTCCCTGTCTCTAAGCAATGTGATTTTGGGAAAGCAGTGGAAAGGTCTCAGGGCTGGGCATCTCATAGAGAATACTCTCCGCTTCCGAAAGCGCATTGTACATCCTTTTCATGTCTTGATTTCCCCCGACCTTCTCGAGTCCGTAGTACGACAATGTTTTGTCTACTCGATAGGTCGCTTCACGAGAGCCGGTGGCTCTTCTTAATGTTCTTTCTCAGTTGCGTCGAAGCGCACCAGGGGTCACTTCATAGCGGCGGGAGCCATATGCTTCATGATCCAGTCGGAGATCTATTCTCCACTGATGTGAGATTTGCATCCGCACAGGGTACTCCGTTGAGCTTATCCGAGGCTCAGGAGCTGGCGAATGAAGGCCCATTGGAATACCTGCAGTCGAATCAGTACAGAATTCAACAAAGCAACACGGACGGACTCCAGAAATCCCTCCTGAACGAGGTCATCGGCGAAGAAATGTTCTCTGGATTCCAAATCTACGAACTGGAGGACCTAGAAGACGTCGACAGTCTGACACCTACCTGCAAGGCCGCCCTCTCCCAGACCATCCACTGTGCTCCGTTCCTGCAGACGTTCCAACATCCCAACTCGGGTCGCTACTTTGAGGACTCCACCGAGGCTGACAGGATCTGTGCCGCGAGCTGTGGGAGTAGCCTCAAACGTTGGTTCGACAACGCCTCTATTAGTTGTGCCGGCCAGACTCTAGGGAACTCTGACCCTACTCGGTACGGCGGCTATATCTATGCGGCTTACAACCAGAGTTGCTATAAAGACCCGACGACGGGAAAGTACTGTCAAGAAATACTTGACGCGTACCCGGCGGTCGAGAGGATCGATTCGATGCCCCTGGCGGAGATGTGTTCATATTGCCACACACAGAAGTACATCATGATGCAGGCCAGTGCGTACTCTGCGTATGATGTGCGGTCCCAGGAGAATTTGGAGACTCTTCATACCAATTGCGGATTGAAAGGAACAACGGAGATCCCATCACCGCTGGTGCATATACCAGAGACGCCAGCGCCGATGTGTCTATCAGATATCATCTACACTATTAAGGACGGCGACACCTGCGACACAATTGCTCTGCAATACAGCGTGGCATCGGCGGCCATCCAGGCAGGAAATGCGCAACTGATCAATGACTGCTCAAATTTGATCGCCGGCAGAGAAATATGCATCCCTTTGAGTTGCGAAAGAACCTACACCCTGCAAGACAGAGACACCTGCCTTTCCATCGAGATAGACCATGGATTCATGCCGAACACTGTGCGCAAGTACAATGCATGGCTTGATCTCGAGTGCCTCGATCTCCAGCCTACGAGGCCCATCATTGGAAGCGTAATCTGCCTCTCCCCACAGGGAGGGACATACAACGATAAGGACTTCGTCAGTGACCGCATCACGTCCGGGCCTTCCTGGACTACGGGCTACACAACAATGTCAATAGACCCTCCCGAAGATGCGACAGTTGCCGAGGGATCACCCTGGTTCTGTGGGCGATGGCACACGGTCGAGGCCGGCGAGACGTGCGCAATGATCTGTGTGCATGATGGGATTCCCGCGGAGCTTTTCATGGAAGTAAATCCGTCGCTTTCGCCGGATGACTGTGATGGGAGTCTCAAAGTGGGTGTTACCTATTGTACAGGGCCAGACGATTACTGGAACGATGCTGGTTTTTGGGGCCCTGAATGGCCTGGCAGTCCTACCGGGCCTGTGTCGTCTGTGCCCTCGCCCACCTCGTCCACGTCTTCGTGAGATATATCATACTTCTAGAATTTAGTGAGCGAAGGAATTTATAAGTCTGTATGCAAAGTAAGGTCCATCAATTAGGAGCGATGTCTTCAGAAGTAATAGCACATTCCATGGCGCTATACTCCGAATCCTCACTCCGGGTGATAAATTGTGTCCAAAGCCACAGGCTCATAGCAATGATCTGTCAGCTTCAGGGTTTTCCTGTCATGCAGATTACTTCCCTGGAGATCCATCTGATCTGCAAGGGATTGGTCCCCAGCTTTCAATGACACCGTCATAAGTCCAGCGATAGATCGCGCCAAAGCTCCAATCGAGCTCTTGGTGGCTGCTGTGGAGCTTCTTTATGAGCTATCGTGTGTTTGCATGATAGGATACTGGGCTGGCTGAAGGTTGCGATGGGTCAGTCCATAGCAAACAATGATTGGAAGGAATGATCATCCTGGAGCGGGGATATGCAAGTATTTGGAATCTATCAGAATCTAGCATCAGTTTCCTATCCTTCTTGTCAACACGATCCACCTCATTCCAAGGATCTGGCGGACGAGCCGCTGCCTTCTGCTGACACTAATGAGGTTTGTTTATTGGCAGCACTAAGTAAACACTAGACTCCTTCACATCCCCAACCTTTTGCCCCTCAGCACGATTGTCATGACTCTGCAGCAACACGAGCGAGACAGATCTCCAGCGCCTGTGCGTCGCCTGGCAGATCCGCGCCATCGTCATTCTGATCAAAGTACAATCGCCAGATGTCCTTGCCGCCGCTCCACAAACCCCCCATGCCGTGCTCTCGGGCCTGATCCTCGGGAAATCGAACCGCCAGCCACCCCTCCCAGCCTTCCAATGTGATCTGGGCTTCGTCGCGGGTCCAATCATACGGTCCACAGAGGTGTCCCTCGCTGTCTTGTCGGCCGCCCCATCGCACTTGGTGGGTTTGTGCGTCCACAAAGACCCATCGCAGCACGGGCGGCGTCTCCCCCGACATCGTCACCAGTCCGGCGGTGTTGTCCGGGGGAAATAACGGGTGTTGGAAGAAGCGGCCATTGAAGGGAACGAATTCGGGGGGAGGATGTTTTGTGATGTAGAGCTGTCAAAATGTTAATCATCTGTCTCTCACGTAGGACGTCGTGTGTACCTTTCCGTCCGGTCCAAGATATACTCGCGCATTGTGCACCTGTTGGCGTTGCTCCTGTGTGCCTTCGCGTATGTCGCAGGTGGCCACCAGATGGCAACGCTGTCTGCGGGCAGCTTCGCGTCTGGTTTCCTCGTTGTCCCGAGTCGACTGGGTCGCCTCGTTTAAGCCGATCATCGTCGGCACCATCGTGGCCAACGTGATTATGCCTAAGACCATGGTGACTGCGTATAGTGGCTAGATTAGATTAGCAAGTTGGAGAGGCTTTATGATGAAATCGTCGCATGAACTCCCTTCCGGTGCTGATCAGGTAGAGGCAAGACATAGCCCTCAATGATACACTGAAGGCAAATCATGGAGCATAATCCCTCAGCGGGGACTCAGTTCATCGATCCTCCCGATCCCGTCTGTCGCCCGCGGGCAAAAGCAATATAGCGCCGATCGACAAGCTGAACGGTGGGGTATGATTCAAACTAATACAGCTGAAACTGCATGGTGAGACGGGAGAGTATTCTGGCGTACTCCGTACTGTGCAGGGTATAAACCCTTCCCTTGCCGGCTCCTCGCTCCTAGCTGTGAATTCAGCGCTCTTTCGTCGTCATTCACTCTCTCGGCCTCACCTCAGCAGCCCATCGTCAGGGCCGTCCTATGCCTGCTGTCCCCATCCCATTGCCTCTCACGTTCCTGTATTTCTATTCTCCGCTGCTACCCAACCAAGGCTCTGCAGCCATGGCAGACAACCTGCTCAGGTAGGGCCCATTTTGCTCTCCCCTCTCCATCGTCTCTGACATCTCGATACAGTCAGAACCCCGCTGAGACGGTCGGCAACACCCCCAAGGGCGGACGCAAGAACCGGAACAAGGACCAAAGCGGCGACGATGACAAGTCTCTTCTCCAAGGCGCAGATACTTCGTTGGTCCCGACTGTCGGGGACAAGGACGAGGGCGATGAGAGTCTGAAGATCCGGATCCGGCTCAATCTCAAGGCCAAGGTGAAGCTTGAGTTGGAGGCTGATATCCAGGGCGAGATAGTGATTGGGCTGCTATGATTGATCTGGATAGATTCCAATTATTCTGATTACTACCTGGCCCGGTATGTTGTGCTTTTACTGATGTTGTATAATGAAGTTGTATGAAAGCTCTATACTTCGTAGATTGGACCCTCTCGGCTGACGTCAGGATGGGGTTTCCCCGCTCCCCTCATCTTCAATGCCTTTTCATATCTTTCAATTCTCTCACGCTCCTTACGATAGACACATACCTACATATCCTTAACCCAGTAACAACCGGCAGACATGGCGTTTGCCCGCAGGTTAGCAATCCTCCCAGGCGGCCTAGGTATGACCACGGGATAGCTCCGAACTACACCCCGACATCCCCGCACAGCAAGAATTAACATCCACCGCCCAACAGGCGGCCTCGGCTCCAGCATTGGCAAGAAGCTCCGCGAGCAGGGCGCCCGTCTCGCGATCCTCTACGCACCCTTTGAGGCCGCCCGACGCGATGAGCTCCTGCACGCCGGCTACGGCAGCGCCAGCGGCACAAGCACCAGCGACACCGACATCCGCACCTACGAATGCGACATCACGTCGCCGCAATCCGTCTCGTCCGCCTTCAGCGCCTTGAAAGAAGAAATGGTCTCGCCGTCGTCGTCAGCAGCGAGCGCGCGCGCCTTCCCCAGCATCCTCATCAACACGGCCGGCTACGTCTCCCTCAGCGACATGGAGCTGACCCCGCCCGAGGAGACGATGAAACACCTGACCACCAACGTGCTCGGCCCGATGCTGTGCTCGCAGGCGTTTGCGCGCATGTACTTCGAGGCCGCGGGGAACGCGGCCGCGTCGACGAACCCGCCGCCGCCGGGGCGCATTGTGAGCATCTCGTCGCAGGCGGCGCATGTCGCGCTGCACCGGCACGGCGCGTACTGCGCATCCAAGGCAGCGCTGCTGGGGTTGGCGCGCAGTATGGCGTCGGAGTGGGCGCCGCGTGGGATCACGTCCAACACGGTGTCGCCGACGGTGGCGTGGACGGCCCTCGGGAAGAAGGCGTGGGGGGAGGATGCGGTGCGCGAGGCGTTCTTGAAGAATATCCCCACCGGGAAGTTCGCGCTGCCGGAGGATGTTGCTGATGCGGTGCTTTTTCTGTGTCAGGTGAGTTTTATGCTTGGGTGTTGGGTTTTTTGATGCTGACGAGGCGATAGGATTCGAGCGGGATGATCAATGGTGCAGATATTCGTGTTGATGGTGGGTTTACTATTCGGTGATTACCTTAGATTTCAGTAGACGTTCGTGAGCGTCCGGCTTTGTTGGGTATCTTGGGATTGCAAAGATCAATAGATGCCGCGGGCTATAGTATAAGATTAAATATAGAGTCGCGATGTATGCGGTTCCCGAACCTCATCCGATGAAAAGCTGCAATGGAAGATATGAGATTCTCCGACTGCGTCTCCTGCGTCTTCTGTATCTGGAGAAACCTGAGACTGCTCGTCTCTGACACTCGAATCATTTTCATACCCCTCTGAATCGAATACTCTTCTGCCACCTCGCCCAGGCCGAAATCCCACATGTTTTCGGTCTCGTGGAATTATCTGAATCCCTTGATGCCAATGCCTAATAGCAGACACCCGATGGAGATTAGGATCACACAGCTACATATCGTTAGCTACGTCGTCACTAGAGATCAGACAGGCCACATACACGATAATCGTGGACGTCCAGCGCATTCGGCTCACTGTATCAGACCACCGTTTCCTCTCTAGCAGACGTTGCGGAGTATACTCCTTCATTGGACTTAGGCGGCTATCCCCTCCTTCGCTGTAATCGCGGTGCCAGCCACTATTCTTGTGCTGGACTAAGGCCTTGGAGAGGAGACCCGTGCGTTGGGTAGTGGGCTGGGCGTGTGAGAAAGGATGCAATTGCGTCTCCAACTGTATGAAGAATCTCATCTCTGTCGTCCCTAGCAGTGAGCAGTATGCAGACCAGCTTTATAATGATCAGGTATATGGCGGGCTGAAGGATAGCTGGCACCTCTCGTCGGTTGGCAAACTGACAGAGTGGTCGACTTCATAACTCTGAGCGAGAGTAGGATTTTTGACGGGTATACAGCTACAGGGGTACACATTCATATCAAATGTTTCTTCGACGGTGAGGGAAACGCTCTACCAGTCGTTATCATGACCTACAAACAGAAGACCCTACAACTGCTATCAAGTCAGGTTGATGAAGCTTTTATTTTTGTACCCGAGCTAAGACCATTAAACCGCTAACCGACAACAGTCCGCGCCACAAACAACCCAGAACACGCCGCATTCAACAGAATGAACTTAGTTCATCTGGCGGATGAGGGCGTTGATGTTCTCCTCACGGTTACCGTAGTCACCACCCTCGATGAAGTGCTTGAACTTGCGGGTGTGGAAGCCACCGGTGGGGTTGGAGAGCTTGAAGGGCCAGAGGAAGTTGTTGGCCTGCTTGAAGTTGGGGCCAACGGTGTAGATCTCGTGGATCAGATCCTCCATGCAGACAATGCCGTACTTGCCGAGGTGCTCCTCAATGATCTGGTTGTCGGTAAGAGCGACACGCTGCTTGTCGACCTTTCCGTATCCGCGCTTGTAGATGAGCTCACGGACGCTCTTCAGGTTGGGGTAACCGTAGGCGATGTAGGGGTTGATGATGGTCAACATCTCCTGGGTGGCCTTGGTGAGGCGCACGAAGGTACCGTTGTTGATCTGGAGCAGACGGAGCAGCTGCAGGATCTTACGGGGCTGAGGAGCGATCTTGTTGATACTGCGGGGCGTTAGTACGAGCTTGAGAGACATATAAATTCAAGAGACATACCCCTTGATACGGATAACGAAGACCAGCTTGGGCTCGTCAGCGACGTAGAAGTTACCCTCCTTGCGAGCAACGCGGGCAAGGCGGATCTTCTCACGCTCAGCATCGCGGTACTCCTTGACGTAGGACTCGGCACGCTTGAAGATGACGGCACGCTTCTTCTTGTTGGCCTGTACTTCTCCGTTAGCAAGAGTTCGTACCAAGACTCATGTGACAAATGGGTCAAGAGCATCGTGTCAGCCCCGAAAGATGGTTAACAGAAGCGACAGCATCGACCGTAGTCTAGTCGCGTAGGTGGTTGTTGTCATCATCGATGGTGGGAAGGGAAAGCGAAAGAAAAGCTCAATACTGACCTCCTTCTTCTTGGCGGCCTCCTCACGGGCAACAGCGCGAGCCTGCTCCTGGCTCTTGCGCTTCTTCAGGAGGGTCTCGGGGACCAGCACCTGGTTCTGGGTGGGGACAGTGCTGTGAAGGTCAGTATAGTCCGTCCGTGGTATTCACTCCAAGACAAAATTCGCCGAGTGTAAGAATTGCAGCTATAGCGCCACATTCTCAAACTGAAGGCAAGAAAGATAATACAGAGGCACTCGACGACATGAATTTAATCGGTGAGGTATTGAGTGGTTGTCCACGTGAGTCGCTACTAGCCAGCATTTTCAGCATGGTTTTCGCAAACCCACGACAGCGACAACCGATATCCTCAGCCGACAAAACCCCGAACCAAAGTTCAGGAAGTAGTGTTGACGCTGTTCGTCCCATTGTCTGGCATAGTCCTGGCCAACAAGAGGCACATGCGATACGCCAGACTGGAAGCGATAGCTCACAACAATATTTTTCAGGGAGAAGGTGCTGTCAGCCTTCAACCCCAATACCCCAGACCACCGCTCATGCCAATTGCCAGCGCCTATCCTCAACAAGTTCATTCAAAGCGCATTCATGGAGAGACGACGGTCGCGGGAAGAATCGAGCTGGTGCTCAGCGGCCGACGGGATCGACCGCAGCATCTCCAGCGAGAAAGGACGACTATAATCTGAACCCTTACAGGCTCATAGCGAATCAGCCGGAAAGGGGATCAAACTGGGAAACCATACGTAGCAGTGGCGGCCATTGCGACGGTCCTTTGAGTTCGCGAGTTGGGCGGTTGGCGAAGGCTGTCTCGTACGGAGAAGAGAAGAAGAGAAAAACTGCCCGAACGGAAGATGAAGAAAATCGAGTTGTGTGGGCGGGTCCGGTACTAGCCTGATTAGGCTAGCTTGCCCTCTCCTGCCCCCTTGCCATTTCGGGGAGTCATCAGCCCTTATCGCATGTAGGGCTCTATCATCACCTGACCATCCGATAACCCCCATGATGCTGGCATCACCCCTCTGTACCCCAATCCAGCAAGTCGTTAAAACCATCTCCTACACAATCATGTCCACCCGTCGCGGCGTCGGCCTGGGTGCCTTCGCCAACCGCACCCAAGCCAGCCAATCATACGCCAACCATGGCGCCAACCTCCGCTCCACGCACCTCTCCTCGCTGCAAACGCAACTCTCCGTCTTCCAGTCTCTCCTGCACACCTTCGCCCTGGAGCACAGCTCCACTATCAAATCGAACCCGACGTTCCGCGCAGAGTTCGCGCGCATGTGCAACACCATCGGCGTCGACCCACTGGCCGCCAGCAATGTAAAGAGCAAAAGCGCCCGCGGCGGCAGCGTCTGGACGCAGATCATGGGCGGGGGCATGAACGACTTCTACTTTGAGGTTGCGGTGCGCGTCGTCGAGCTGTGTCGGGAGACACGCAGCGAAAACGGTGGGCTCCTAGGCGTGAAAGAGTGCCGGAAACGAGTCGGGCAGGGGAAAGCCATCGGGAGTGGACTGGAAGTCACCGAGTATGTTCCCGCTGCCTGTTCATGGATCAAAGGCGAGTATCGACTAACCGATGTGTCTATCAGTGACGACGTCTTACGGGCCGTCAAATCCCTCGAGCCCCTAGGCTCGGGCTTCTCGATCGTCCGCGTAGGAAGTAAACAGTATATCCGGTCCGTGCCCAAGGAACTTAATACCGATCAGGCGACGGTGCTCGAGGTCATCCAGATCCTGGGATACGTGAGTATATCGATGTTGCAGGTGAACCTGAACTGGGAACGAGCACGCGCGCAGACGGTCATTGACGATCTCCTGGCGGATGGTCTGGTTTGGCTCGACGCCCAGGGCGAGGAGAACGAGTATTGGTCGCCGCAGAATCTCCTTGGGGATAGTGGGTGATGTAGATCTGAAAGATTTATATATATGTTTGCAATTCAAGATACCCAGCGTCTGTTTGTGAATCGTTTCAAGATGTCCCGTTGACGTTATGAGGTAATGCCGTAAATATATATCCGCATCTCTTCTACGGAGTACACAGCTACCCATCCTATCCAGAAATATATTTACAACACGGAACCAACTTGGAACATTGGATCTTCGATGCTCTACATGAAACTTGGACTCCTAAATATCTATTCGAATCACAAATCCAATCTAACATCCTATCATATTCATTCTTCTATTCAACCACACCACTCTCAGGAGTTCATTCAGACATCAATTCGTCGAGAAAGGGTAACACAATACGGGATGCGTGAAAGATAGAAGAAAGGAAACCGACGGACTCGCCGAGATCAGATCGCACATGGAAGGATCATATGTAGTTAGATTCCAATCGGACGCATTAAACCATGAAAACTTGAGTGCCATTACACACACAGACGGGTAAAAGAAAAGGAGAAAGGGAAAACATTTTTATTTATGCCTTGATCGCTCCGCCCAATGCACCACCGCTGAATTGCTGTCCACCCGGCCGGCGGCCTTGCTGGCCACCGGGGAATCTCGGGCCACCGCGGGCTTGGCCACCGCGGCCGGCGCCACGACCACCGCGGGCGCCAGCGCCCTGATCGCGCTGGAAGGCGTTGGCCATGCCTTGAGTGCGCTGCTCGAGAGTCTTTTCGTTGGCCTCCAGGAGGTTCATGGACTTGTCGGCCAGCGTGACGATCTGCGACTGGAGACGCGAGAGTTCGACGCCCTTGCGGAAGACGATGGCGTTGTTGACCTGGTCTAGAGCAGCGGCAAGCTCCTCGTGCGAGATCATGCGGCTGATGATGGCCTGAATCTTCTTCTCGGGGAGCTCGAACATGTTGGAGAGAGTGGCGATGGAGACGCTGTCGTAGAAGGGGGCGTAGGTGAAGAGGTAGGTGCGCAGACCCTCCTCCTGGATCTGCTGCGACAGCATCTCCTTGATCTTCTCGGGCTGCGGCATCAGGTCCCAGATCTTGATCGAGTTGAGCATCTCGGCGGCCTTCTTCCAGTCGCCTGCGGCAAGGAACTTGGCGCTCATGATGACACCGTCGCGGGTGTTCTCCGCAGGGCCGGTGAACACCTGGCGCTCGTTGTAGTCGAGCATGCGGCGGAAGGTCTTGGAGATGACGCGGCGCTTCATCTCGGGAGAGGACGAGGTCTGGGCCATCAGGGGCACCTCAAGGAACATGCTGGAGGTGAGGTAGATGCACTCGAGGAGCTCGAGGTTGATGTGCATGTGGAAGGGCAGCTGGCGCTGGCGCTCCAGACGCTCCTGCTCGGGTGATACCGTGGAGTAGCGCTGGAGGATGATACCCTGGGCCAGGAGTTCTTTCTGACGGCCGCTGCCGCAGACCTCAGAGAGAGTGTTCTGAGCCTCGTAGACAAGACCGGCGCGGAAGGCGCACAGACCGATCTGGACCAAGGTGCGGTTGAAGAGGATTTGAGTGCTCACGTCGAAGTTGGCGATGTTCTCCGTCAGGTGGGACATGAGCATCAGGTCGCGAGAGCGGTAGTATTGGTCATGCAGGGCAAGGAAGTAGATCTGGCACAGCATGGCACGGGCGCGGAGGATACCATCACTGTGGCGGAAGAGGTAGTTGCAGAGGGTCTGGACGAGGCTTGTCACTTCACCGGAGTTGGCGCGAGGAGTGATGTCGGAGGCCAGGTTGGAGGGCAGGGACTTCCAGGTACCTTCCTCCAGGATCGTAACCACCTGGGCGGGCTTGAAGTAGATGTGCTCCAGACGGCGCATGATGACGCGGTTGAGGCTATCCTGGCGGGGGTCGCTCTTCTCCGAGGTGGTGAGGGCCTCGGCGTACACTTGCGTACGGACGAGGTTGGTGTACAGTTCCTTCTCATCACTCAGACGCTCGATGTACTCGGCGGTGTGGGGGTCGATCTGCTGCAGGGAGCGGGTGAGCTCGTCGTCCAGTCTCTCGACATACGAGACAATGCTGCCGGGGACGTGCAGCGTCTCGCCGGCGGCAACCTGGGGCTGCTTCTCGTCGTCCTCCCACTCCTCGGCACCCTCGGTCACAACGTATTCGCGGTTGCTCTCCAGCACCGACAGGAGGGTAGAGAACTCCTGCTGGGCGAGCTTCCACTGGTCGACACTCATGTAGTTAGCGCTAGAGGAGGAGGTGAGGTCGAAACGGGTAGAGATGAGAGTAAGGTAGATGCGGATGCGCTGGTACGGGTTCTGGGCGACCTCGAGGAGCTTCTCCATTGTCCGGATCTGCTCGAACCGATCTGTGTTCTTCTTTCCTCGCGACTCGACGATAACGCGGAGGTGCTTGAGAATGCTCTCAGGGGTGTACTGCAGGGTCTTGCCGCCACGACCGACGGTCGCAAAGCCATCGTCATCCGCAGTCGCGGTGACAGCCACGGGTGCCTCAACACGTTCAACCTTGGAGATACGGGGCGCCGAAATGACCGGCTTGGGCTCCTCATCGCCACCAGCCATGAATCCATCCTTGTCCGCCCGATACTTCTCAATCAGAGTGGCATACTCCTTGTTGTTCTTCTTGATGCGTTGCTTGACGGCGTTGAAACCCTTCGCGTTGCTGGCGTTCATCTTCTTGTTGGAGGACTTCTGCTTCGCGATGGTCTCGTTGACGAAGTCCTCGAGATCCGCCACGGTCTGAATGTAGATCTTGGGCGTCGGGCCGGCCTGCGTGACCTTGACAATCTGACGGTTCAACTTGTCGAACTCTGCAGACAGTCAGTAACCCTATCCATCAACCCCACTCTTGTCTTCTGATGCATCGATGCATCCGCGCATAACCTCATCCCTTCACCACGCGGGGCACAAATATAAACGTACCGGACGAGATCACAGCCCAGTCGTTGATCTTCTCAGCATTCTCAATGGCCTTGATGATGCCCTCGAGTTCATCCAAACGCTTATCCTTCGCACTCTTGACAACCGTCACCCGCTCCTCATCCTCACTCTCCTCACTTTCCGAGACATTCTTCAAGAACCGAGAGGCACCGGCACCCTCGTCATCCGAGGACTCCTCCTCCGAAGACTCAGCCTCACTCGACTCCTCCTCCGAGTCTGAGAACTGCTCCTCCTCCTCGCGATCGCTGTAGAGTTCCTGCTCATCCTCGGAGCTGGACTCGCTGTCGCTGCCGCCACGAGCGAAGAAACGCGACATGATTGCGGACGGTTTTTTTTGGTAGTCGTGATACGGACCGAAAGGGGGGTCAAAAAACGTCGCAGAAATCGGGACCGAGCGGACTGCCTCTGAAAATGGCAGATTCGATAGACGCACAGTCGTAAATGATAACGGAGGGGTCGATCCGGTCGGTGATTAACCTGGTAGAGAATTCCGTTGTGAGGGTTCGGGAGCCGCAGAGGTTGGCCTGCGCGAGCCACACACGAAATTTAAGCGAGCGCGCGCCTAACCGCTTTGGGTAATTCGCTGCCTGAACCGCGCCTTGGACAGATCGTATCAAGTACACTCGATGGCTTCAAGAATGACTCAGTCTGCTTACTCCAAAAGATTCATTCCCGGATAATTTGTTTATTGGTGGAAGACAGAGGTATCATAAACATGATCCGACAAATATGCACAATCCGAATATCTACTACATGTCTAAAACAGACTTAGAGCACAGCGTCCCAGCCATGCCCATCATGCCAGGAAGGATTCGAAGTCAGAGTATCCAAGTTAATGATGCTTCTCTTCTGTGAATGAAAAAGACATAAGATCAAGTAAAGACGCAGGTGGAAACGGGTCGGCCTTCCGTGCACTTAGGATGTAGGAAGTAGAGAGATTCAACATGATAGCATATGCGGTAACAATGAACTTAAATCGCGATCTTTCCAATCACTCCTGGCGATGCCGAAAAGCACATACGCGATGGTCTGAAAAGAAAACGGAGACGGGAGGGAAGAATGCGGATCGGGATCCCAAGGTCCGACTGCAGGGAAATAAGGGATGTCATAGTCCAAGGATCTGCATCTCCATCCACGAATTCCACGGCACTCATCACTGCTAATATAACCCCAATCTGTAGGAGTCACTTCCAGCGAGCGCTACCCTGGCGCCGGGCCAGGGTCGAGGTCTTCCCATGTGTAAACGCTAACAGAGCCAGTTCGAGCTGAGGTGAACCTCAAACTGTCTCGGATCGACCGAAACCGATTGGCATGTACGCAAGGGAAGCGCTCGGGCGGATACCAAATGAAAAAGGACATCGTAAAAGCGGTAGCTCTGCGTTTCTCATGGGGATATCAACGCACCTGGAGCTATCCCCTGTCCGGTAACGTGGAGTCAGCAGTCGGTAATGATTCATGGGCCATTTGATATCACCATCGACACGTCTGTGCTCAATGCCACTGGTTCTGCGCCATGAAACCATCACCGCCCAAGACGCCATCTTCGAGGGTCCGAATGAAGTCGCGATTTCGGGTGGCACCTGCACGGCTTCCTCGTCGTCGCTGGTTACCAGCATTGTCGACATAACCATCTGCAGGCGGGGGGTAGTAGGCTGGGCTGGGCTGTAGTCGAATGGGCGCATTTGGGTCAAGATGGCTTGCCACTCGTTGGATGGTGGGTGGGATACCACCTCCCTGCGGATCCATGGTGGATGCACGCTGACGACCCGCCCGTGTCGTAGCTTGAGCGTACAGACTTTGAGATGGCGCGTATTGAGTTTGCGGCATTTGACCAGGCATGAGGTTCATCTGGTGACCATAGGTCGGTGGTTGAGTAGGGTACGGGGGAGGAGCACCCTGCTGATGTCCAGTATACATCCCATTGTACATGGGAGGAGGTTGGGCAGCATGATTGGGGTTGTGAAATTGGTTCATCTGGAGCGAGTATGCCTGTTGCGCCGCCGCAGATTGGGCGTGGGCGACGTGTGCAGCCCTCTGTTTGCTCGCCGCTTCTGCCTGTTGCTGTTGTTGGATGCCGGGTGCGATGGTCTTGTTGAGCGATGAGTATTTCAAGTTCATCGGTGGAACAAATGGCCCGGTGAATTTCTGCTGCGTGATGAAGGGATGCAGCTTGGCTTGCTGTGGGGACCATCGCTCCAGGGGGTTAATTGTCAGCAGCCCCCGAACAAAGTCAATGAAAGCCACCCGGTTATTGAGTTCTGTGCTGAGTTAGTTGATATGCTCACGCAAACAGCCACATTGAACTTACCCCTCTCCATCTCTGCTGGTTTCATATGCTTCCGGGGCATTGGGTAGTTTCGGATTATCTCTTCCAAAGTGTTTTGTTGGAAGTACTTCTTGCTTGGCTGCTCCTTGGTGTTGTGTTCCCGAGAGTATTGCTCGAGGCTCTTCAATCGATATGTCTTTCTTCCGAACTCGTCCTGAGTCTTTTCAAAGAACTCGCCAGATTGCTTACCCATCTCGAGCATCCAGGTGGGTGGCAAGCCTAGCATTTCCACGATTCGACACACTTGGTTGTATTCTGAAGACCCTGGGAATAATGGCAAACCAAGGAAGAGTTCAACGACGATGCATCCGAGTGACCACATATCAATGGCGGAAGAATACCTGCAGCCTATCAGACATGAAGTCAACAAGGATTGGACAAGAGATGACGTACGGTAACCCAAGGAGGACCTCGGGCGAGCGGTAGAACCGTGACTGTATATATGTGTAGACGGTTTGCCGTTCATCACAGGCCGAACCAAAGTCGATGACTTTGATGATTGGACTCTCAAGACTGTAAAGGTCAAGGTCAGCCCGGTACTCCATTGTACGAGCAGATGACTTACTTCTTCAAAAGAATATTCTCTGGCTTGAGATCACAGTGAATCAGATGGGCCTTGTTCAAGAGGCTCAGCGCGTTCAACAGTTGTTGAGCGAATACCCGCACAAGTGTCGTGCTCAATCCTCGGAACTGGTTCTGCTTGATCAACTCGTAGAGGTTGACACTGAGCAATTCGAACACTAGACAGAGATGCTGCCGGTGGATGAAGGTGTCCTTCAATCGGAGGAGATGGTGGTCATCATTTTTGTCATATCTGCTGTTCAGCTGCGGGGAAGTTAGTAGCATGCCAGGCCAGCGGTGCAATGGAATACACCCACCAAATCCAAGACCGACACCTCCATCATACTTTGATTGAAGTATGCTGTTTTGTTCTTGATGACCTTGACGGCGACCACTTCCTGCGTCTTCAGATTCTGGCATTTGACAACTTGCCCAAAAGTGCCTTGACCCAGCACATCGAGGATGAGATACCGGTTCCTATGAAGGTGTAAGAATCAACCACTGACACTAAGGGTGGTGCTTTGAGGGTAACTCACTTATGACCGGCCTCCTCACTCCCGAGAATATCATTCACGTACAGAATGTAATCACTCTCCTCGTTGTCGAAACCATCATTCTTGACCCCTTTGCTAGGCTTCGTGAGAACACGCCTCGGGTTTCTCGACGACTCGTAGTTGAATCCGGGGTTACAAATCCGATACGTCGCAGGAAGATGCGTTGTCAAGGCTTGGAGGGGCTGTGTGTACATTAGATACGCAACGATCAATGAAGCAGTCAAGGTACGCTTACGCTGATGAACCCGCCTTCGGGATTGGCACGTCGGTAGGGTGGCTGCATGTTTATCCGCGGATGCAGGTCCTGCACTGACTTGATCTTCTGGAACTTAGGGATGGGTCCTCGACCAGGCTGCGGGGGTCCACCCGAGACTGCGGCAGACGGTGGTGATCGTGCATCCGACGCGAAAGGCGTATTCAGCTGGGATCCTGCGGATGGCGGGTAGTAGCGATCGGGGCCGAGTTCGGTCGACTGCAATGGAGGAAGCCTTGGGGCGCGCGATCCGGCTGTGGCACATCCCGACGTCAGTATCAAACGGAAATTTCCGTACGTCCAGTGAATTCACTCACCAGGAGGCGATTGATATTGCTGAGGCGGCGATGCATAATTGGGCGCCCTGGTTGGCGACCGTCGCGACTGGTTGGGACCCGGTGGAAAAGCGTAGGGGGCCTGAGACTTGCCCGGGCTTGTTGGATTATAGGGCATGGAGGGCGACAGGACATTCATCGGCGAGTACCGTCGAGCGGCGGAGGATTCCTCCTGGGGAAAGAACTGCGAGGAGGGCCGACTGTGCTGGTTCGGCCTGGTCGAGTACTTTGCTCGGTTATACGGATCCGCGTCCTCCATGGTGGTGTCGGCATCGGTGACATAATCGCGGCTACGTGGCGTGGCGGCGGGAGACGAGGCCATGGACACGGATTTCGAGTTGTTGCCCAGGGAGGGAGGCTGAGGAGCGATCGCGGGAGTTTGGAAGGTCTCATATGTGTATCCCACGGGCGGCTGGGCTTGTTGGGGCTGGGCGCCATATTTCGATGGCAGCTGCTGTGGAGGAGCGTGGTTGAACTGCTGCACCGGACGGCCCCCCATCATATGGTCCTGGTATGGCTGCCACTGGGAATCCATCGTGCCTACTCCGCTCTTACAATGTCGTCACAATGTGAGGTGTAGAAAGTCGGAGAAATAGGAGGATCGTCAGTCGCAGTCGACGGCGCACATGCACCGTGGTCGAGAGCGAGAACGACAACGATGGATGGTCGGTATCAGCGGGGACGGCAGATACACGTCGAAACGCGATCCGACGAGGGTTTTGAAACCCTGGAACGATTCGGACGAGAGGAGACGACGATGGGAGGAATTGGAGGTCAGATTTCGATTGAGCGACACCTCATTATCCAGACGAGGAGGAGGGGAGGTGATGATAGTAGTGAGGTAGTACTCCGTAGTAAGAGTGTGGGTAAGGGCGTGCGCGGTGGAGGCGGTCGCAAATGATGACAACGCGAAGGGGGTTGGGGAAAGGAGAGACTCGGCGGTACTACCTGTTGGAAATCCCGAGCAACACGGGAATCCAGACAGAAGTACGGGACGAAGAGAAGTGCGAATGAAGAGAACGAAGAAGACTGGAGGAGAGAGAAGAAAAAGGGAGGGAGGAAGAGGGAGAGAGCAAGAGAGGGGGGAGGCACAGAGAGAGAGTGGAGTGTGTCGTCGTAGTAGAGCAAGCAAGCAAAGAGTGAGAGATGGATTTCTTGGTAGGTTTAACTACGAAAGGTAACCTCATTTGGTCCCTGCGGGTGCTGCTGATCTCACGACTCGATCATGCTCCATAACATTATTCCTCTGATATTTTCCGAGACATTATGTGCTCGTCAATAACAATTCCCACGCCAACATCCTTGAACGAATTCATTACTTCGATTGCGGGCTTACTGCACTCGATCATCACCACCCTCACCGATCCATCCATACCGCTCCTCATCACTGAACCTCTCTCCATTGTCCAGCCTCGCAGGCGATCGGCGGAGTTGGACGCCCGCCACCCGACGGCCACAATTAAATCGACTGCAAAGAACAGGGTTTTGCCATTCGATGCCCCAGGGAAGCTTCATTCGGTGCAGTATCACCGACGAACCTCGATCGCAGGCAGCGAGTTATGCAGGGGGAGGTCCGTAATCATGACAACTGTTTGCAGTAATCCGAGCCACCCATAATGATATTATTAGGTAGTTATTACCAGGAGCCTATAGATGTCCAAGTAAAAGAGGAGGAGAAATCTCCCCCTGAACGCCCTGTATGTAAATTTCTACCAGATCTGTGCCCAATGGAACATCATGATGTCCACAGTGACGTGGGAGAAGCCGATGGATGACTCATCTGGAAGCGGTGGGGGCATCGGTGAAAGTATTATGCCGGCAATATTCTGATATCAGCCTCTCTACACTGCCTTTCACAGGCCGTGAAGAGTTCTGCTGATTCTGTCGCATCTAAATCACTCATCCTTTTGGGGCGACCTGGTAGTAGACCGCGGCTATTGGAGAGACTGGAGGCTCAGTCTCATTTGACATAGGACGGAAAAGTGCCTTCTAGGCAGTCGCAAGGCTCCAACACACCTACAGCCTAATCTCCCTTCTTGCGCCACCCGGCTGTTGCTCGAGGCCAAGTTCGGACTATCTGCGCATGCTGAATATGTCCAACCCCCATCTCGCTATACGAAAGTCATACTGGGTGTAATAAGTCGTCGCGTCCACTACAGCAAGACAATCTTTGACGCGAGTGACAACCTCTGACCATGGAAGGCGCTCAGATGCAGGACGCTGATGCCACCGGCCAGGATCAGCCCATAGACCAGAAGGACTCCCTTCCTATCGAAAACCAGTCAGCTTCGAGCTTTCCTCCGTCTGGCACAGATGAAGCGACCCGTCTCCAGGAACTCCAGGCCGCCGTACGCAACCAGGACGACCTCGAGAGAGACATCACCAGACAAGCTGACAAACTCCTCAATGAACAAGCTGACGAGCGGGACAACAAAAGACTCGAAAAGACAACCATCGAGAAAAATAAGGTAGAAAGCCAAATACTCCGCCTTCACCAGCGACTATCCCAACCGATAGGCACATCCGCGCGGGTTCGCATCGAACACGATCTTAAAAAGCTCGAAGACCGCAACACAGCCCTTGCAAAAGACCTGAAAGAAATCCAACAGCGGATTGATGAGCGACGAGAAGGCCAGGAAGCGGGTGGCCATCCCGCAGGTACGGGCCGGATGCCCAACGAGTCGCGGAGGGACTACCTAATTCGCACGGGGAAAATCACCCCGTTCTCAAAAATGGGATCCGGCCCTAACGATGGTCCGCTGGCCAGTCTTCATGATGCGTTGATTGATGCCGAAGATGAACGCGACGAGAGGGATGCGCTGGAACAGGTTCAAGATCGCTCTGCCGTGTCTCATCGGAACCTGGTGCGCCCCGGGTTTGACTTTGAGACGACGACTGACTCGAGCGCGGTGGAAGAGTCTGACAGGCCGAAGAAGCGGAGAAAAATAGAAAGGGGTGTTCGTGAACCGCAGTCCGTCCAGGAGTCCGACGAGATAGATCACGAGGCCGAGAGCGCGCCTGAGGTGCCTTCGGCTGACGAGTCAGCGAGTTATGTGGCATCTGAAGAGGAAGCAACCCCGTCTGAAGGAGAAGAGGATTTTCTACCCGAGGAGAAACCTTCCCGGCCTGCTGCTGCCAAAACGAAGAAACCAGTCGAGGAAGACGTGGAGGACTTGAGGGGACTAGATGATGGAAACGAAAAGTCCTATCAACATCGACTTCAGCGTTGGGTTACTCGCCGGAGTGCTGCCCGGAAACGTGCACTTCATGCGGGGAAGGAAGAATCGGAGCCTGATCCCAGTCCAGAGATAGGCGACGAGGAGTGGTTCATGCCTCACCCGACGGTCCCGGACGTGGAGTACGACAACGGATATCGTCTACCTGGGGACATCCATCCGCTCCTGTTTGATTATCAGAAAACCGGTGTTCAGTGGCTTTGGGAGCTGCAGCAACAGCAAGTTGGAGGAATCATTGGTGATGAGATGGGACTGGGGAAGACAATCCAAGTGATCGCATTCCTGGCTGGTCTACACTACAGCAAGAAACTCACCAAACCGGCGATCGTTGTTTGTCCGGCCACTGTGATGAAACAGTGGGTGACCGAATTTCACACCTGGTGGCCTGCTTTCCGTGTATCCATCCTCCACACATCGGGAAGTGGAATGGTTAATATTCGAAACGAAAGCAGAAGAGAAGAAGCGCTATTATCACAGACATGGGACTCACGGGCTAGCTCCAGCGGGCTCAAGGCAGGGAGGAGAGTGGTCAAACGTGTGGTGGAAGAGGGCCATGTTCTAGTCACCACCTACTCTGGGCTCCTGAGTTACGCATCTCTGCTAATTCCGGTGGAATGGGGTTGTGCCATCCTGGATGAGGGCCACAAGATCCGGAATCCGAACACTGCCATCACCATCCATGCCAAAGAACTACGCACCCCTCATCGCATCATTCTTTCGGGGACTCCCATGCAGAACAACTTAACTGAGCTGTGGTCATTGTTCGATTTTGTGTTCCCTATGCGCCTGGGGACGCTGGTGAATTTTCGCAACCAATTTGAATTCCCCATTCGCCAGGGTGGGTATGCAAATGCGTCAAATTTGCAGGTACAAACGGCTGCGAAGTGTGCCGAAACTTTGAAGGACGCCATCAGCCCTTATCTTCTCCAACGATTCAAGATCGATGTGGCGGCCGACCTTCCCAAGAAGAGTGAACAGGTTCTCTTTTGCCGACTAACCAAACTGCAAAGACAGTCGTACAAGGCATTCCTTGCCTCTCAGGAGATGCAATCCATTCTTCGCGGCCGGAGACAAGCCCTGTACGGCATTGACATCCTTCGCAAGATCTGCAACCATCCAGATCTACAGAGTCACAAGTTCTCAGCCCATAAAGCTGCTTATGGAGGAGCAGAAAAGTCGGGGAAAATGCAGGTCGTCCGGTCACTCCTGGAGCTATGGAGAGACACGGGTCACAAGACTCTCCTCTTCGCACAACATCGCATCATGCTGGACATTCTTGAAAAGTTCGTCAATTCGCTCTCTGGTATCAACTATCGCCGCATGGACGGGACAACACCCATTGCTCAACGACAGTCTATGGTCGACGAATTCAATAAGGACCCAAGTTTGCACCTTTTCCTCCTAACTACCAAAGTAGGCGGGCTGGGCGTAAACCTCACGGGAGCCGACCGGGTTATCATCTACGACCCGGACTGGAACCCGTCGACTGACATGCAGGCGCGAGAGCGGGCTTGGCGACTTGGACAGAAGCGCGAGGTGACCATCTACCGACTGATGACCGCCGGAACGATCGAAGAGAAGATATACCATCGGCAGGTGTTCAAGCAGTTCCTTACAAATAAGATTCTGAGAGACCCAAAACAGCGCCAGACATTCCAGATGAGCGACCTGCACGACCTCTTCTCCCTGGGTGATGATGAGCACGGTCCGACAGAAACAAGTAAAATCTTCAACAACGCCGACATCACCTACAATGAAGATAACCAAGGCACTACTCGGCAACCTAAATCCGAGACGAACACAGACGTATCCGCGAAGGACAATCGCGAAGGGGAGAAAGACATTCGCAGGGTGGAAGGCGTCGCTGCGGTTGAGAACTTTGAACAGGATGAAAAAGAGCCCGGTGATCAGAATCAAGAGGCCGCTCCGGCATCCAATTCAGAGGCTCGCATTATGCAAGGTATCTTTGCACGCTCCGGAGTCCATTCGGCACTGGAACACGACCAGATCGTCAACGGTAAACGAGTCATTCGCGCCGATCCAAAAATCATCGAAGCGGAAGCCAAGCGCGTCGCTGCGGAGGCTGCAGAAGAACTTCGACGCGCGGGAGAGGCCGCTCGCAATGTTCCCATCGGCACTCCCACTTGGACCGGTCAATTTGGACTTGCTGGACGACCCGAAGAGCCACCTATTCGCTCTCCCTTCGGCGGGACAAGCAGCTCCGCGAGACGCGCCGGGGCCGGACCCTCGTCCGCCAGCATTCTAGCCAACCTCTCGGCGCGCAACCCGGTGTCCCGCAGTGCTAGTAATAGCCCTGCTCCTGGGAGGAGCCCCAGCGGGGTGGACTTTATCACGATGATTCGGGACTTTATCACTTCTCATGGCGGAGCGGTCTACACGCAGATGCTGATCGACCATTTCAACCGCTACTGCACTACTCCACAGAGATCGGCAGAGTTCAAGGAGATGCTGAAGACGATTGCGGTATTGGAGAAGGGCGGTCGAAATGGACGGGGGAAGTGGTCGTTGAAGCCGGAATACCGCATCAGGAGTAGGTAGGTAGGGCGGCCTCTTGCATTTTACTATGAATGTGTATTGGGCGGGTTTGTTTTGAAATGGCGGCAATTGATATAATTGATAAGACGGCGCAACAGGGCCTGTTTGGCATCCTCAACCATGGGCTGGGAGGATGAGCTAGGAATACCCACGCGCTGGACAGGAGTTTGGTCAGTTTAGTTGTATATTTTGTATACTATATGGACATATGAACTATATGAAGCTCGTCACCCTGAGTAAGAACAACACTGGGCCTAAGATATCACTCGATATCCTCGCAGATGTGAAGATATAAAACTGCTATCCTCCAGTCACATATCTTCGGCCCTCGGCCTTTTCCCGGATCAGACTACGTGATTCTCAGGATGAAAAGTCCGTATGCGCATAGAGGCCAGAAGGTTCTGTTTCTAGAACTCCAGCCACCACCGCTCTTCGGCATGACCGTCCGTCCTGAGGGAACCACCTGGCGACAGGCGACTTTCCACGGTTCACCCAACCAAATGGAGAAATAGACTGCGGACAGACCGCGATGGATCGGTGGAGATTAGTATCCGGTCCTCTGACATCCTCTGCAATAAGCTTTGCAACGGGCGGATCGTCCAGACAGTGGTCCAGTGCATGAACACTTGGATGGAGCCCGCAAGGGAGAGAGGAATGTTAGGTTTGTGACTTTTATGGGCCTGCTCGCCTCCTTGCCACCGGGATTTTGATCCCATTGCATTGTTCTGGGGTTTAAAAGCATCAGCCTCCTCACTCTCCAAACTGCCGATATCCTAGAGTTGTTACAGTACCGCACGCTTGTTTGGGTTATCTCGTTTCTTCTCGCTTCCTTCGTTTTTATAGTGTCCCTCGTCCTTCGTCCATCATGAAGTTTCTTTCTTCTCTCGCTTTACTGTTCTCTGCCGTTGCCGCCAATCCTGTCAGATTCGTCAACGAGCCTCAGAAGTTCTACCTGAAGACGGCTGGCGCCTCGCACCCTGAACATAACAATCTCTTTGTGTACGGCTACCATACCGCCGCGGCACAGAACGACGCCGTCCTTACGGCAGACATCAAAACGGCCAAGCCGGCCTTCTTCAACGGATCGCATGTCCAGTTCGCCCTGAACACGCCGTTCCCATGGGGCCTGGTCATGCATCTATCAAACAACTATGCAGGTAAGAAGTTCTCGCCCTTTGCGATCCTACGACGCAAGCACTAACAGGTCCTGCAGCCTGGGAACCTGTTATGATCAACGTGGGCTACGGCGAGAATGACTTCTCCGTGGAAAACGGACAACTACAGTGGTCAAAGCCCGAGGGTTTTGGCGGGTGGTTGGGTGAGTAACTCCATGCCGAGCAATCAAGTATGTTGCCACTAACGAGGGATGATAGTCTGCGATTGGTACCACAACGAACCGCAGTTGTTCTACCTGATGAGCTTCCGGAAGCACAAGCTCCCCGCGGAGTGCAGCGAGATCCAGCTGCGGTTGGACTATATTTCCTGAAGAGGGAAGTGGTGGGGGGTTGCCACCGCCACAGAGGGTTCTGGTCTATGACGTTAAGGACTAATATGGGTCGAGGGACTATGGGGTTTCCTAGGGACGCTCGCTCACTGGATGAGGTGTTGTGCCTTGTTTTATACATATTTGTAATGAGAGACGAGATGAACCATGTGCGATGTTTAGGGTTAAGTATTAGTATGCAATGTTAGTGCATACGCTGCATATGCATAAGATGCATAATGAGCATTAGGATGGATGTATCGAATAGATGACTAAGAATCCACTATCGGTTTCAGCATTTTAGGGATCCAATAATTGCCAATGGTCCCGTCGGGTTGTTTGTTTGTGTCAATGGAAGTTATGTTCTACTCGGATATAGAGAACGAAGGAGAGCCCATCAAAGGTATTACCAGAGTTGACGGATTATATGCAATATCATCTCATATCGAGTAGAATGTACTCCGTATATATACCTGTATTGTATACAGTAGAATCGAATCTTGTCTGATGATCGAGTTATAAATAGTGTGTCTCACTAGATCGCCCGATCGGGCTAGACCCTGCGCATCCCGCCTTCTGCGCTTTTCTTCCTCCCATCGGCCTCTTTTCGCTCTTCTCTTCTCTTCTCTCGTCCTCCGTTATTACATCTTTCGTTCCATTCATCCCGGGTGCTGTCTGTCGTGCGGTATTCCCGTCCTATTCACCCCTCCAACGACTCCCCGTCGCGTGGTTGCCCTGTCACTCGCTTTGTTTACTCCTGTTTCGCTCGTCCAGGGTCCGGTTGACCCCCAAGACGATCTGCAATCTGTCAGTCCCACCGCCGGGCTTCGACTTCATCGTACACCATCTTCGTGAGCTTTTGCATATCCTGTGACTAGGATCGGAGGAACTTTGAGGCAGTCTACTATCTCATATCGCCGCATCCGCCCCCGGGACATCGAGTGCTGGGCTGTCCACAAGAGACCTTTCACAGCCGATAACCCCTTGTTCATTCACATCTGCAACACTCTCCACCATGCGTTCCAACACCTTCGTCTCAATCGTATGTTTCCTGTTCCTGCTGGGAACTGTCTCAGCCTGGCCATGGGGCTTGGACGCACTCCACGGTGGCATCGTCAAGAGAGCCGGTTAGTTCCTCTTTCTGTCGAAGGAGACCAGACATCAACTAACTCAATCAGAAACTACCGCCGCTGACAGCGCGACTACCGGTGCCTCTCCGACGACGGGTCAGACCGCAGCGAAAACCGACTCCGCAACCGACTCTGCCACCGACACCCAAAGTGCTAAGACCGGCAAGCAGACCGCCACGAAGACGGGCACTGCCACCGGCAAATCGTCCCACACCGGCAATTCCACCACCTCGATCTCTGTCGACCCTCGCATGCCTGCGGGTGGTATCTCCATGCTTACACCGACCGCCGGCTCCACGACCTACTACAAAGTCGGCGAGTTTGTGACGTTTGCCTGGAACTACACTTCCCTCTCTGTGACTCCCTCCGCCGTCAATGTCATCGCGTCTTGCAGCTTGAACAGTGCTACATACACTATCTCTAGCAATATGAGTGTGCAGGAGACCGGAAAGGTTGTGTGGGATACCGCCAAGTACCAGGCCAATGCGACTGTGCCCCTTTTGACCGCCACCTACACTCTGTTCGTCTACGACGTGGACAGCGAGCCGGGTGACACCGCGGACGCGGGACACCTGGGCTCGCAGAATGGGTACAATTTCGGAATGTACCTCCCGCAGTCTTACACTCCTCTTAATCGTGAGTTTTCATGGCAATGAGCTTTTTGGATATTGTAGCTAACTTACGAAGACTACTACTGCGCTACCTGCAACAGTGCGTTCTCTGAATCTGAACGACAGGCCGTCAAGTTCGCTGTCGGCATGGCCTCCATCACCATCGCTTCGTTCACCTGGTTTGTGGTGGGAACGGGCGTTTTCTCCACGTAACGGAAACAGATGACGAACAAACATTATCTTATGCATTAAAATTGTTGCATTGAGCCAGCGATTTTGTCTCTTTTTGTCATGACAAGCGATCGATCGCAGGGTGGGACGGCGTTCTGGTTGATTGTTGTATATTTGGGAGCTATTAGTATCTAATTGGTTGTCTGTTGTGAAGTGTAATTCTCAGCTGTTTGCTTGTGTCTATATCTGGGAAGATAGATGGGTGCTTAACATAATGAACGGTCATGAAGAAGCACATATGCATGTAGCGGTCGTGTTCATCTGCTCTTTGTCAGGGCCCAGTAGTGCCTCAAACAAACGCAAGACCTCTCCTCCCATTATCCAAACATGCACGTTTGACTTATAATGCAGGTATGGTGATTGCAGCACAACGACCTCGTCAAAGAACTCTTCATTCTAGATGCAGAAATGTAGTATGGATGAACCATGGCAAAGGGTATAAAACATAGAACCGCACGCCCACCCAAGCACTTCTCTAAACTTCATACCACCACCCTCCCAGCCCTCACAGCCACTAACATGTCTCCCCGACTTGCCTGGATCTGGCCCAAAGACCCGCGTCCAGGAAATCCCTCCCACTGGCCGCGCCTCTGGCGTCTCCGCGACGTCCTCACCAACCGCGGACCAGACATCTACATCGACAAGATCCACACGGGCAAAGACCGCAAAGTTAACTGGTCGCGATGGCCCGACGCCCACCCCGTCGCCAACGAGGAACACTGCGCCTGCTGCTGCGACTGCAAGCGGCGCGGGAAAACCAAAGAGAAAGCGAGAACGGCCAACGACGCCCCGTTCCTGTCTGCGAGACGCCACTCTGCCGAGCGATACGATTTTCGGACCAGGAAGTACGTCGTGCCTGACCGCGGGACGTGGAGTGGGGTTGAGTACTGTGATGGGGGACATGGACGAGGGCGCAGCGAGAAGCATCATATTCCCGTGCGCTACTGGGATCGCGACGGCATGGAGTATCCGGCGTGCTACTGGCATGATGTGGCGTATGGGGATGGCTGTTGGAGATAGGACACCGCTGTCGGTCATACGCAGGTGGCATGGAGCGCTTCCCATGTCGGCGGCTGGCCTTCAGCCCGTGGGAGGGTCTGGCGACGGATGGTAGGGAGGTTGGCGGCGTTGTCGGTCATTCTGCTGCATTTCACGCAGGGCGTTTGCTTGATGTCGGAGTAGGCGGAGATCATATCCTAATGCATTGTTAGCCACGACCCCCCCAATCCACTGCAGGTAGAACCCCGTAAACCCACCAGAAGATGCACCAGATCCCACTGTCTCCCCCGCGCATCAAACAC